AACACACAACAAAGTTAATTTATCGACTGGATATTACTTCGTTAAGGCTTCTGTTATTTTGGTGTCACGTCAAGTGGAAATAAAACCCCTGCACTAAAGGCAAACAATCTCAGCTGTAAAAATCTAACACAAACCTAGCTCATATAACCAGTCCGCGCATCAATGAGTTTCAGTGTCAGTTACGTCACCAAACAAAAACAAAATAAGAAAATTAAACAGGTAGGAACCCGTGGTCTTCCAGTAAGGGAAAGTCAACCATATTGTTAGCGGCCACTTGAACCGAATCACACTTGCACCTGACATGGTGTATTATTGAGAGAACGGTTGCCACAAATCTTCAGAAGAGTGCCATTCAGGGCGCATTCAGAGGGCTGTCACACCTGATGTGTTCTACAATGACCAAGGGCTGTGCGGCATTCACTAATCCTAAGTGGGCACTTCACTCCCACTCGATGTAGGCTTCGTTTTGTGGATAAACTATTAATTCCCCGGCATCTCCGTGGACGCAAAGCAGTCACGTAGAAGTAGCACCAAGCCACTTTCTGCCAGCAAAAGTCGAAAGTATAATCACTAATGCGTATTTTCTTCCGTTTTCTCTGTTCGGTACGTGACCCAGTGAGTGGCTATGGTAATCTCCAGTACTTACCTGGTTTAAATTGCAAGTGGAAGCAGAGAAAGGATTGAAGAACTTGCTTTATTAATGGGTTGTGTGCATTCCATTGCAACACCACACTGGGATCTGACCCCCCTGGATAACTCTTCTGACAATAAATACTTTGCACTTAGCGCCGTCTTTTTTCTAATGTTTCTTTTTCTTTTGGGTGTTTGATAATTCTTGGTTTCATGGTAAAGCATGTCAACACTTTAGTCGAATACATGAATTACATCAAAGAGAAAATAACACGTGGTGTAATATTCCATAACTTATTATTATTGATAAGTAGGTATATGAAAGTGACCGGGGTCGTGATTTAAACGGTCATTAACCCCCATTTTTATCCAGTAAGCAGGTAGACATAGATTATTGATTTCCATATCTTTTTCAATTTTGCATACCGAATATTAGGATCGAACAAAGATGAATGAAATATGTCATTTTACACAGTTGGATATCTTTTAATAAATTTGCCAATTTTGCGTTAAATAACACACCACAACATATCTAAGGCTTAAGCGGGTGGATTTGGTTGCAGTCACACACGTGGGTAACCAAAGTGATCATACATTTTCCTTGATGGCCGTGAGTTACATGTGCCAGGCATATTAGGAGTACGTTTTCTGTGCATGGGTAAATTTGTACCTATAGTACCCTTGTACTTTTCAGTCACTTTCAAATGTACTTGAGAAATAATAGGTGCGAAAATGTACACGTGTGTGTGTGTGTGTGTGTGTGTGTGTGTCAGTGTGTGTTTGCGTGCGTGTGCGCTCGAGCTAGATCTTAAAACAGCCTTTATCACTTTAGGAAAGAGGTAGGGGAAGAGCATTCAAGTATGCATATGATCTGACCTATCTACTTTTTCTCATTCAGAATTGCAATTGTGACCGCATCTTTCAATGAAGAACACTACATTCTCCTCCGGTCTGTGAGGGCCGCCAATAGAACATATGACATTACCAACCAGACGAATTCCGATGATTACGTGTCCGAATTGGGACGGAACACCACGAAGATCTTGGACTCTTTGTTAGACGGATATGACAAGAGCCTGCGCCCCGGGTTCGGAGGTTTGTGTCGTATGCGATTTATTCTAATAAAATTTCGTTAAATTGCGTACACTAATATAAATTTAATGAAGGACTGAAATCCAAGGCACTTGACTTTGACTTCATAAGATTTGAAGCTTTGCTGCCTTGCAAAAAAAATCAGTTTTGACACCTGGTCTTTTCAAACAGCATGTGTGTTTAGGGATGATTAAAACTCAACGCCTTTGTCTTCAAAGGTCAAAACACCTTCGGTGACCTTTTCTTCACCTATTTTTGTTATGGACAAGAACTTCTGATGAGCCTTGTCAATGGAATTGTGTGGTTAACGGGACCTCTGGGTAGGATAGTAATTCCTATATCAATAAAACGCAAATTGAAGGTAACTTCAGCAGCCAGCAAATAACATATAAGATAATGGAATCGGTCAGCTTTTCATTTGGTCGATAATTTTTATAGGTGCGGGTTGCTTTTTCCCCCCGAACTTCAGGTTTTTTATCTCCGCGGGGCGTTGCAATCTTTTAATTACTGCAGACCTCAAAACATGCGGGGATAAATACTTTGAATACGGTGCCCTGTGGTTTGAAAATTAACGTATCGACACAAAGATCACACATACAGAGAATAAAGGTCAAATACTCGCCACACCACCGATCTTCATTACAACTTCTATGAAATAAAACCTTTTCATCTGTCGAATCACTTTGTCAATTTGACGAAAAAAATGGGCGATGCGATATGTTACACGTGGCCGACAAGTTATATAGCATTCATCAGCAAATTAGCCCTTTACTGACCCATTAGAATTAAAGGGATAATAACTCTTCGTTTTGGCCAATTTTCCTGGAGTAAACAACAATTTTCCCGTACTTATCAATGGTTAATGAATCTATTTTTACATTCAAAGTTAGTCCCTGGTTTTTTGTTATAATCCCTTAAGAGTATAGCCATCAATGGAGATCACGTGGTCTAAAGACAAGCTCAGATATCAGAATAATAGCTATAACTGCCCTTTTTCTTGTACAACAGTAGGCCTATATACTATATTTCTATGAGTTGTTCACAATGTTTTTATTGTGAAATATAGATCTCATACGAAGAGTTATTATCCCTTTAAACGTTTGTTATGAAAAAATATTTTGAACCGAGAAGATGACCCATACACATTTATTTGTCTCTCCAGGACCCCCTCTCACTGTGAACATCAACATCTTCGTCCGAAGCATGGGGCCGATATCAGAAAAAGACATGGTGAGTACAGCATACATGCATTGTCATTTCTTTCTTTTCACGGTGGCTTTATTGAACCAATATTTAGTAGGCAAATGAGTGTTTTAAATCTTAATAAGGCTGTTCTTCTTCTCGGGAACTGTGTAAAATGATAGCGGGCGCTGTCTACAACAGTCATGTTTCTTCAATAACCCCACCTTTTAATGCGCTTACCCCAGACTATAGACAGACAGCGATAGGCCCGCAGGCACTGCTTTATTTCCTAGAAAAATCCATTTAGGTGTGTAATGTAAGCTGACAACAGTGCGAAAAAGATTTGAATCGAATACCTTAATTATGGAAATCGAAAATAACACGTTGATGAATACCTTCAGCGTAGTTCCTGATATCGATGTCTGTTTGCGGAGGATCGTCTTTAACGTTTCCTGATTTTCCCCGTGATTTCACACCAAGAATCGATACCGGGTTGTTTTAAATTGGCTGCCATGTGGCGCAAATCACGGCCTTATTAAGACAAAATCAGCCGATGAACTTTTTTTATCCTGTGAAAATCAACCTGAAGTGATGGGATCTTGTGATACACGTAACACATGTCTGTCTCAGCGCACGAGCAAAAGGCAATTTCACAGCATAGTGTACATTTTTATTTGTCGTAAACTCCCAACAAAAATTACAAAACACATAAATCTTGATAATAATGACTTTTTCGCCTTTGGCTCTACAAACGATTGGGTTGGAGATGTAAAGGGAATATGACAATTACCGAAGTGTTGATAGACTGTGGGTGAGTGTGTATGATGCATCTGTAGTAATTTTGAAGAGAAAATAAGGTGGCAAAACACATCTACAAGGAAATGTTTAAGTGTTAAGGTGCTAACGATGTAAAAGAAATAATTTTGATTGCAGAGCAAAGGAGTAATCTTTTCCTATATGTCTGTAATTGTACAGGTTTCCAAATCTGGGGAAATATTTTTTTTTAATCAAACCCCTTCCCCTCTCCAGAAATGTTTTTTTTTTCTAAAAGAGAGTCAAGTAAACGCTTTTGCGAAGCTCTTTGTCCCGTTTTGGTATTTTAGAAAAAGATTCTTGATAAATACATAATTTTGTTTTGAACCCCCCCCCAATCCTTTTTCCACTTACAGTGTGTGTGGCATGAAGTACTCTCAAATATGGCGAATTTTCAGGTATACAGCATGGACTGTTACTTCCGCCAAAGATGGGTGGACAAGCGACTGGGGTTTGACGGACCCAAATCCCTCAATACACTGACCATCAACAACATTATGCTGGACAAGATATGGAGACCTGACACCTACTTCTACAACGGCAAAGCCTCCTATCTTCACACCATAACAACACCCAATAAGTTCCTGAGGATAAGCAGGGACGGTTCTATTTATTATTCCATGAGGTTAGTTTTGTTGCCCATCTGCTTGTCTGCTTGTCTGTATGTATGTCTGTCCGTTTGTTCGCCTGGCCTGTCTGTCTCTCTGCCTTTGGTTCGTCGGTCCTTTTGCTTGTCCGTCTGCCTGTCTGTCCGTCATATATGTTTATCCGTCACAATTTTCCGTCTGTCTGTCTGTCTACGCCCTCATTCGTACACCCGCCGCCCTATCTGTCTGCGTCCGCCACTTCGTCTTTCTTTCCCCCCCCCCCTTGGCAATGGTAGGCTTATATATCTGATGCTGTCCTGTAAGTGTTTTATTTTAGAGTGTGACATTATCATATTGTGATTGGACAACGGTACTTTTGTTTTATTCTTATGGCTATATAGATATACTTATATGTGCTTTTTTAGATTTTCATCATTATATATATTGCTGTTGCTATGGAATAGATGAAATTCGGAGCACTCACTCACTCACTTACTCAAACTGAACTGCGTACATGTGTCCCATAAAATATTTCATGAGCGTTCCTGTTTTCTTTCGATTTACCTCCCAGAATGGCCAGTGACCGATTCGATTTGGTACTCTGGTTTTCCGTGTACTGCTTCCAGACAAACATATGTTCTCTTAGTACAAAATGCACATGTGCCATTTCAGCCTGAACCAGCCCAAGATATTTTTCCTCCACGGTGGTTTGGTAAATGTTACCGGTCATAGAATAACACATGGTAATATCCCCCTCTGGTGATTTCTTTTTGATTCCAAGTTATTGAGAAATAAAACGACGACTGGCCATTGGTCATTTTATCTCTATGTAATTTCAGGCTGACCATTAAGGCCAGCTGTCCGATGCAGTTACAAAAATACCCTATGGACAAACAGATATGTCCGCTGAAAGTGGGCAGTTGTAAGTATATTTTCTGTCCAAAGTTTGGTAAAGCCAATCTATGGATTGCCCTCTTACTGCTAATGACACGACTTTAAATATATTAAACGGCTTTGCCATCGAGGGGAATGTTCATCAAAGTGTACAACTGAACATACAAGCAAAACAAATGTTAAATTGGTAGTATATTGCAGGACTGGGAACTTGCCTTAGTGTACCACAACGTGTCTTTGCCCTTTCGGGAAGAAATAGGGGAATGAATTAGGGGGATAAGGGAATCAATGATATTCGTATCATGTATATAATAATGTTTTCTTCTTCTATTTAGAAACATAACAGCGGGTAAAATTAATAATGTAATCAGTAATATCATATCTAGAAGTGTACATTAAAGCGTCTTTTTGCATCTGAACATGAACAAAAAAATCTAGCTATATCCAAACTGTATATGAAAGAACAAGTTGCCATGTGTGCTATGCTGTCAATCCTGATATTTGACCATCGGGTTATACGGGGTAAACCAGACGTATTCAATCAGGCTAAATAGCGTGTTCTGTAACAGTACATGGTAAGAGGAGTCCATAGGACAAAGTATAACAAGGCACAGAAGGTATTCGGTAGCCGGCAAAACAAAGACCTCCTGCCTGGATACAGTGTGTAAACAACGCTAATATATCGAGGCAGCCCTCATGATGGACGTTCAGAGATGAGATGAAACTGTTAAGATCAAGGCTAAATTGTGTTACATAATGAAACGGGGTTCAATTTATGAATAAATGTAACTGATTTAGGAGTCAAAATCTCATTCAGCTTTTGAATATTTGTTTGACGTGATGGTACCATGGTGTGCGTACAGTGCGTACAGATATCTGATTCTTTTTATTTTTGGACTTTACCCCATCTAACATTTAACGCATCCCCTCACGTCGTAAACGCTCAACATTCCCCTTAAGATCCACATTGCTTTGTATTAATTGAAGCATAAAAGTCTCTTTTCTTATCCCAATGTCTAGACGGTTATTCTGACAGTGATGTGGAATATTTCTGGATGGGGGACGCAGTGGGCAGGGAAGCCGACCTCCAAATGTCACAGTTTCAACTGGTTGCTACTCCGTCATATTCCATAACCGAACAGTTTCCAAATAGAGGTATTACAGACTATTACGCACAGCACTCCCATACGTAACATGGACGGCATCATTCCAAATTTCTTCACAGAAACCACTCACAATAAGACTTCTGATAATTTTTGTGGGTCTCGTAAGAAATAAAGTAATAATTACCTTTCATTTCTTTAAAGAACACTTGATTAGATTGTGCAAATTATCATACTCACGATGGTGAAATTATATATAATCTGCAAATCTCATTATTGTCCGACAGGTAATTTTAGCTTCCTGGTAGTGAACTTTGAACTGCGCCGTCACATGGGTTACTTCCTGATCAATGTCTACATCCCGGTGATGATGTTGGTCATTATTTCCTGGGTCGGCTTCTGGATCAACAGAGAGGCGACAGCAGACAGGATTGCTTTAGGTAAAACATAAATTTCAATATGTATCAAGGGAGGTTCGGTTAAAACCAACCATTTGAAAAATAACTTCCAAAAACATGCTGGTGTTATACTGTATAGCCATATTGTTGAGCGTAATCGTATTTTTATTTTCAAACTTACAAAAATGGCAATGGGAAGCACAGAATGCAAGCTGTTTTCTTATTTTAGTATGCATTGTTTATCTTATGGTTTCTTCGCTCATTCAAAATAATAATGTCAGATGACTTTATATTTATGCTTGATATTTCGTTAACAATTGCTTTATTCCGATTCAGGAATCGCAAATCCCCTATTTTCTAGACTATGCAAATAAACACGAGACAGCATAGTGCAAGTAGTAAATTTTCGAACAAGAATTAACAAGCAGTGATAGAAGTCGTAATTTAAAGTTGTTGACGTTAATAATATCCCGTTGTTATATTGGTTCTAGGTGTCACCACTGTTCTGACAATGGCGTTCCTCAGTATTGACACCCGTACTGATCTGCCACGCGTCTCCTATTCCACGGCATTGGACTGGTTTATTGGGATGTGCTTTTCGTTCGTCTTGGCCACCATCATTCAGTTCGCCACCGTCCATTTTTTCACCAAGCACGGGACAGGGGAGGTGATGAACGTGGCACCAGACTCCGACGACGAACTTGAACCAGAAAGCCAACAGGAGACGCCGTTGCTTAAGAGGCGAGGAGATAAGGTGATTAACGGATTTTTTGTTTGCTTGTTTGTTTGATTTTTAAACAGAGAGAGTTGATGCATGCTATTAGAATGATGTTTGGCTATTGTGGGTGATTTTGTACCTAATTCAAAAATTCGCCGAAGCATATACGGCATAACTACGAGGTCGAGAGGTATAGAAAAATATTTTAGTATAGAAAAGTGTTTGAGTGTTTGTAAGATCGATAATTTGCCATTCTTTTATATATTTACATTGAAACACAGTTTGTGTATATCCTACATATTTTAAGACTTTAAAGTAAGTGTCGTTATTTCCCCTTCAGCGTTCTACCGTTTGTTACACCGTTGGACGCCGCCAACTGCCGGAGACAATTACAGAAGAACGCTGCAGCAACGGAGATGTGGAAAACAGTAAGACAAATGGCGTTCATTTCTCCGAGGGCATCGATGTCGAAGAGAATAAAAATGAAGGGGACAAAAAGAGAAAATCCTGTTGGACATATTTAATGTACTGCCTTAAGGGCAGTGGTGCTTACAAGAAATTCACGCAGATAAGCACGCAGGCCACTGCCCCCGGGGTTAATAGCGCAAGCAGGATCGATCAAATCTGCCGATGTTTGTTTCCAATTGCTTTTCTTGTAATCAACGTGTTTTATTGGTTTACTTATACACGGGATCAGGATGAAATGCCCGAAACTTAATGTCAAGTGAAGTCGCGGTAAAATATATGAAGCAAAATGCAAAAAAAAGTGTGAAGAAGTGGTGTGCACACACGTAATGTTAAATAAATAACTTTTACTATGAGAAAGTGGCATATAAGGGCGATGTTCGTGTTTAATACACCTCCTAGAAATGGATCTCATAATGCATAATGATAGAATATTCTAAATAGATCATGATTAACATACAGGGGGTACCTTTTAGAAGTGTCCCATTAAAAAGGGTGTTACAGCATTTTAATTGAAATGACCCAATACTCAGAATTTTTGTATTTGTAAATATATTTATTGGGTGGCATATTTTACTATGCCGTCACATATTGCTGCAAAGCTTGAATACAAGATCATTGCCAATTTTCATTTTGTATTTATAAGAAATATACCGAGAAGAGAAAATATTGTGACAAAGTAATCATGTCAGATGGCAATTTAACCATGGATCGATCAATGGTATATGTTATTAACTTTTATTACTTATTTTTATTATAAATACAATTGAATCTTGAGGTAGATGAAATATCACTTAACATGGCATTTATGTACGTATACAAGTCGACTGTTACAAATTAAAATATATCATTAAAATACATCACGGTTTTTTTTTTTTACTTTTGAACACTATTTTATCCTCCATTTCTACTTAAATAAAGTGTGCATTGCCTCTTATTACAATTCAACTTATGTTTGAGTTTAAATTGATTACTATGTTGTATTTTTACAGTCTTTTTAACATGTTCAACCAAAACACGAATGTGATCGTTAAAGGTTCAGAAACAAATGAGCTCCTGGTATGTCAACATATATCTTCCTTGGTATTCTACCTATTTTAAAACATCACTCCTGATAGAGATGTTGATAGTAACACGAAATGGCAGTTTTGAAATCACGGCGCCATGCTTTAGTCCAGGCTTGGAATGTTTTTGGCAGATCATCGATTTGCTTTTCTTGGAATCGCGTGGAAGTTACCACCTGTCCGTTAAGATATCTGATGTTGTCCAAAATATCCATCGCTCTCTCAAAGCGATGAGTTAAAAGAAGACGGTGCCGTTTTCTAGAATGAATCAATTTTCCGTGGTTTAAGGTCTGTCCAAGAGGATTGCTTCCTTTCGGGTCTATCCCATCCGCGTCATTTGGAATGTCGCTCGTTTCATCAAGGTCTGGCAATGCAAAAACATCATCTTCCATTTCCGAATCAGAATCGTCAGAGTTTAGGGTTTCAGGGTCTAGTGTAAACTGCATTTCCTTTTCATCCGGCAGAATAGGAGTCTCTTGTCTGAGATATGATGTGGTGTCTTCGTTTTGGCTCGTATTCAGCTTTGCCAATCTTTCAACTAGGATATCCTCATAACCTTTTAACATAGCGTACTGGGCGGTGGGAGACAGCGTTGAAGAAAACCTTGTGGTACTTGGCAGTTCTAACAAGATCTCTTGGGTTTCTTCCTTTTTAAGTTTTGGTTTCTTACTCTTAACACTCTTCCATTTCATGGTTACCCCAACAATAGTATGTACATTCGTCCCAATTCGAACAAATCGGCCATAATTCATAGAAGTGGCATACTTGCCGCGTTTTGGCATATTTGATTTGGGAGCATTAATCTTCTTTTCCTTTTCGTCCTCTAGCTCCATTTCTCGTAGAATTTCTCTTTCGTAAGCAAACTTTGATTTGTATTTCAGCTTTTCCCTTTCGGTGCTTCTCTTGGCTTCATTTCGTGCTGTTGTTTTTACTTCCAGCGGTTTGCGCTTTGGCTTCTCAGTCTTGGCGTTCTTTCCCTTCGTTTGACCTTGGTTCTCTGAAGGTTCATTTGAAGAAGCGGTTGTGGAAGTAGGCTGCTGGTGCTCTGCGGGCAATATTTGCCCAGTTATTGAACTGCTACAACCGTTAGGTTTCTTGCATATTGCTTGGACTTCCTGAGAAGCCAGAAATGTCCCTCTCTTCGTTTCTGTTGGCACATCGACGTGGTCAACAGCACGGACTCTGCAACATGGTTGGGGTTCCCCCTGGACAGAGAGAGCTGACACACTCATACCTTTGTCTTGCACACCCCCTACCAAAATGATATGCCTTTCTTTTTGTTCTTCTCTCCGACTGAAGATGAAGTCTTATGCTAGCTTATTTGAGGGCGGTCTACATACCTTTATTGAACTCTAATACTTAATGATCGACCAGAGAGAAGTCCTCGGTAAGAAACTTTGCAAGAGACGAACTCACGCAACGCAAATCATTGTTACTGAAATCAGCTTAAAGCCATGACTGATGGATAAATTGATTTCTCAGCAGTTTATAAGGAAGCAGATTTATAAATGATCTAATGGGCGACATTAATTAAACCTTCAATAATCCCGTTACGTTCTAACATTTTCCCTGAATTTTCTGATTTTGCTACTGGTGGTGTGCGTGTCGACCAATTTGCTTCCTTGAGACATACATCTTCAAAGTACTATCAAAGTATTATCCGACCAACATGTTTCCACTATCGTATAATATGGTTATTAATTTTAGAAATTTTACTGCGACTAAGTTATACCCGGTCATAGCCATTTGATCACAGGCGAGGTAAAATATCTGAACCTTCAGATGAATACATAACGCACCAAAGAGTATATCAATGATAAAACACAATATACATTTTGAATATCTTTATGGCGTTTTTTGGGAATGTCAATGACTGCACAGAATTATCTAACCAGTATGGTTTACGGGACTTCTGTTCAAATTGGCATCTCAAACTTTTGTGAAGAACAGGTGTGCCAATACAATACGTTCAGTATGGTGAAAGTCAGCGGGAAGACTATCCTGGACACTTTGTCTATACGGCTCACACTGTTGATCCCATCCGGGCTACCGCGCATGGTAAGCAACTTCCGGTACTTAGAGTCACCACGGAGACAGCGCAAACACAGTAAGCAACCATGTTCCTCTGACTTTTGCATCACGTTATGAATGCGATGCTGAATTAGCGTTCTGTGAGGCTGAGTGAAGCGGTGTTTTCTATGACGTGCTTTTTTGCTAGAGAAGCAGCCAGGGGATCCAGATTCACGGGGTTCTCGCTGCAATCAAAATTAATTACATGGAGATAACACGTATTGGTGCACTGAATGAATTATATGTGAAAGTTTCGGATTATTTGTTTCCATAAGAATATGTAAACAGAAGTCATTTTTATTATTTCAATGTATTGCCATAAATTTCTATCCTATAGTTATGGTTTCCAACTTTAGATTCTCCTTAATTCTTAAGGTTTGATACAATTTATTCCCTTGTCTATCTAAATGACCGAGTCTATCCATCTAATATACTGCAGATGTTGAATGCATCTTTTCTGTGAAGACGACAAAGTTACATACCTTTGAAAACCTGTTTTTGACACCTGACAGATATTCTACTTTGACCCTTTCATTCTGTTGTTTGAAAGATTTCTCTTCTTCCTCCTCTTCATCCTCCGCCCACGTTACGTCCACCTCTCCACTGCCAATCTTCGTAAAGTAATGGACGGCGGCAAATTCCAACATGGTGGCAATGATGTAGGTAAAACACATGATGAAAAACCAGTCTAAAGCAGTCGACGTACTGGTCTTTGGGAGATCCATCTTGTTTTCCATAAACATTGTAGTTAGTGTCAGGACTGTTGTTATTCCTGGAATAAACCAGTGCAGTGTATATTATGGCAGTCCATACAATTACAAACCGGCTCAAAGGCTAACATTCATGTGAGTTCTGCAAATCGAAGCTCCTTAAAACATTGCTTGAATATGGGGGCCAGTGTGTGTGTGTGTTGGGGGGGGGGGAGGGGGGGTTGTCAGGGAAGTACAGAAATAAGGATCACTGCTTCTCCATACTTAAAGGTGGAAATATTCTTATTCTGAACTGGATCATCTGCAAACTTTTTACTCTCTCCTTTGAAAATGAGATGACATGCATGCACAACGTTTAAACGTGCGACATTCCAAAAAAGTCTATTTCTACCCTAGGCCTAAAGTCAACCTTCAAAATGCCAAAGAATACTTTACTCACTTCTCTTGACGTCATGGATCAAGTTCCAAAACTAAAGACATAAATATGTGAAGTCGTCTTTCAAATAAAGGGAGGTTTATTAAAACATGGCCTTAAGCATCATCAAAGCTGAGGATAAGATCACATTCGAGGGTTGGGTTTGCGTGGTGTTGAAAGGTCGCCTGTGCCGTTAATTTCAATACATTACTCGCTGGTCTGCAAAACATTTGTCAAATCTTCATTTCTCTCGTTAACATTACGGTATCATTTCAGGTAACATACCACAGAGGTTACGGCGATGAAATAAAATGCTGATTCACCAATGTCTAGGATCGATTCCAGGTGTCAGCACCTTCGCTTTTTTTTCTTTCTTTTTTTTTTTTACAGAAATAGCTTTTGAATTTCTAGTTGGCCAATGCTTGTAGGATCTAGCATTTTGTTTCAGTGATTCAGTTCTTTTGAAAAATGGTAGCCCAAATCTGAAATTAAATTACCGGCCTTGCTCACTGCTAAATTACATGTACATTGATTTCATGCCGTAGATTCTGCAGTGTTCAGGAAATTATGAAACACATATTACACTCCAGTGTCCAATTGAGGACGTAACCCTTGAGATACATTGGGGAATCATGTGAATAAAACTTAATGTGAAATTGGAAGAGAAAAATATGCCTCAGCATCGCATCATTATAGACGGCATGATAAAAGACAAGCATAGTTCAAGTGCAGGATGCTTGCAGAACACATGCCAATGGGTAGATACCATTATAATTGTGGAGAACCACAAAACTGGTCCAATGCTTTTGTTCCTAAAGTCTTTTTGCAAAAAATGTGAGCCGATAATTTTCGGTACTCAACATGATCAGTCATCAGTGTGGTGAATTAAGCAAACCCATTTTTGTATCTGCATTGTGCAATCCTATATTGCCCGATTATTGGGAGAACATGACTGAAGGGGCTTCATCAAAAAGTAAAAATTGATCTACTTAACTTGTCTTTTTAACTGTATGTAACCCTTAAGAGGAAACTCGTTCCGTGTAAAATTATTATAAAAATATGAGCAATATACAAAAATAACTTTTAAAGAAAAAGATATTGCGCAAAACCTTCTCAGAGGAGAAAAGATTCACAAACAAGAACCGACTTCAAAACTCTATTGAAAGTGTCACAAATTGAATAAAGACTAAGCATATGCATATTTTTCCTTAAAAATGTTAAAATAACATACCTAGTCCTACCCTGTCTGCTGTTGCCTCTCTGTTGATCCAGAAAGACACGAAGGACAGCACCACCACCAGGCTGCACGGAACGTACACCTGCAACAGGAAGTAACCCATGTTGCGCCGAAATTGGAACTTCACCTCTAAAACCTTGAGGCTTCCTAAAATGATGAAAATAATAACAATCATCTCCAAGAAGTGACGAAAATACGAATAGACATTCGCTTCTCAAATGATGAACATGGATTGATATACAGTATGGAGAAAGTATTTAGAAACACAAAACGATTACTCATTGACAGTGTCATAATGGCATTTCAGTCAGTTTTGTCTGGTAACACCTTATTGTAAATTGTTTTCAGAGTTTCAAGGCCGTGGCTCACCTTTGCTTGGCCATTGTAGCGTGTAGTTGGTGTGGGGGTGTCCTATGAGGTTGAACTGGGACAGTTTCACCCCCGGGTCTATAGTGATGGATGATGCGTTTGCCTGTTTCCATTCATACACAGTTTCACGATCGGTGTAGGCGTCTGAAATAAGAAAAGTAGACAATGTAAGACATACTAATCGGTTAAATTAAGATTGCATTTGTTATCTACAGGTTTCTTAGTCACATCTATGTGTGTGTGTTTTTTTTTTTTTTTTTCGCTTGTACCGCTTTACTTAGTGAGGGTCATTGAGTAATCCTATTATTTCATCCTGCGCTAATAAGTTGCTGACGGCAGTAATGCACATAATACAATTCGCAGTTTTTCAATTCCTTAGTTTTTTATCTAGTCAATTAAAACTGATAATGAAGATTCAACTCCTTGATTCACTTAAAGGCAGACTCTCGCTGTAATTTCTTACCGCTGCCAATGACCAGAGGGCAGATTTGATAGTCCAGTGGGAAGTACTGCAGAGCCATGGGACAAGATGTCTTGATAGTCAGCCTGGAATCAATCAATCAAAATATGGGAGATAAAACACTGATTTTGTGACAGTACGAATTGAGCCTTTAATTAAAAGTTATCTAGATCGCTTTATCAGGATTTTACAAATTGAATAAGATGCGCTCAAGTTGAGTTTAATCAGATCAGTTTAGACACAAGGCACACGCACACGTTTTAATAGTAAAGTAGGCGGATCGTTGGCTGAAAACATTCCGTTAATGCAGATGATTTTCGTGTTTTTGACATTTTCTTTTAACAAAACTATCAACTTCACATTTCAAATAATTTTAAACATTTTATATTCAGTGTCTTCAAAGCTTTGTCTTAAATTTGATTTTAATCATGAAAAGCCTTCGTGCATAATCTCGTATTTTCAAAGCAAACACAACTGATATGGATTCATTAGATGATATAAGTCAATTATAGGCAGTTCACCAATTTATAGCGAAAAAAGCAATAATTCAGGAAAATATTAAAAAATAACATATTTTAGTCTAGCATATAAAGCATGTGCCAAATTTTCCGTCTTTTGACACAGCAAATGAGCTTTGTAAACTTACCGCATCGAGTAATATATCGTCCCGTCTTGGCAAATTCTCAGAAATTTATTAGGGGTCGTAATGGTGTGCGCGTGGGACTTGAGACCGTTGTATATGACGGTATCGGGGGTCCATATTTTCTCCAGCAAGCTATAGTGGACAGCTAGAGTGGACAGGTTGGGGCTGTTAAACGCCAGACGTTCGTCCAGCCATGTCTGTCTGAAGTAGCAGTCCATTGAGTATGTCTGCGGTTAAGCATATAGGCAAAATAGATGACAGGACTTAAGATGGATAACAGTTGAAATACACACAGGATTAAGGACGAAAATATAGGAAACCATACCTATGGACCGTAACTGCTTTACTTAAGTAGTCTCCAGTTAGCGTTTTCAAAAGCTTTCTACCGTGATAAAATGTCTTTTTTACTTAAAGAAATTTGAGAACACACATTAGTCTTCATTTAATGTAATTGTCCCCTTTTTATTTCAAGGGATGCAGAGATAGCTGTCATTGTCAAATAAAGATTGTCAAATATTGGTTCATTCAACTTTATCGGAAAAGTTTGGGATTTTTGGTCAAAATCTGGTGATTAATGTTGATTAATGTCGAAATCTGCACATATTGAATTAAGATATCAACTAATAGAGCCTTATTTCTCATCTTTCATTAATTGCTTATTTCGATTCCATTCATTAAAGAAGCTATCGACAAAAAGATAGGTTTCATTAATCTGGTACCCTTAATATTTGTTACCATTTCAACCTCAGATATAGGCCCCATGCTACGAATGTAGATATCAGTCTTAATGATTGTTGGCGACCCTGGAAAAATAGAGAACACTTTGAAAATTATATGTTCCTATTGCCGATAAATGTTGGTCTGAGGGAGAGAGAGAGAGAGAGAGAGAGAGAGAGAGAATAGGTTAGATTTTCTGTAAGCTGGTACGAGCAAAATTTAAAATAAGTATTTTGTGATAAGTGCATGAACACAATATATTGCTATATAACTAACCGCCGTATCCCGGCCTTAGGTTGCTGTCGTAAAATTGCAGAAGGTTGTCTAATGTGGCGGATACGTTCTGTCGAAGATCTTCACTACACAAGACACTGGGTATTAGAAATACATGGATACTGGAATTGAATGGCGAACATCGTTACACTAAAAATTCATATATAGCACTATTTTTCAGAATTGTATTGCATTTTATGAATATGTCATTCCGACAATGAATTTCTATTGAGAAAAGTGCAGAATATTCTAAGACCCATGGTTTCCTTAAAAAATTGCGTGTTGAAATGCTCTGAAGAGATTGTGGCGCTCATAATACTTCCCTATAACTGACAAAATTAAAAATCAAATTGGTTTGCTTGAAAAATAAAAACATCTTACATGGCTTTGTTTCCTATTCAAACCCCTAATATTTTTAAAACGGTTCATTATGTGATTTCCATTCATTGAAGTATATGCCTACATTGTTGTCAAATCACCTCATTATCGCTTCAAACAGCCTTTTGACTGTTTATATCTAATTTTTCAAAATAGAATTGCGGATTTAGCTTTGATCCTTAACCAAAGAAAAGGGAAGGCAGGCACATATTTTTCAGCACTAGAAATGCCCTAAATGGCACCATTAAATTTCTCAAATATTTTCTTCGCAAAAGTATCCAGGATTGGTTCTTTCTTTCTTTCTTTCTTTCTTTTAATATCCTAATTCTGCTAATAGTCCAATGTCATTAAGATAAGCATCTTTGCATCATGAATATTATTACGGTGGCAACATTTGGCATTCCAATTCGCAAAATTTGTTTTCAGACAGTTACACAACGATCACCATACTTCCATGGAATGAAATAGTTCTACAGATCTCTGACTTCATATAAGTGCAGCTTTACCTGTGGGCGCATCACGTCCTCGTGCCATTAATTTGTTGCCCCGCAACCTTCCGTCGTCTAATGAAATCAATCGTGACATTAATGTAACACTTAATTAACAACATCGACGATTGGTTATTTCATCTATTAGTTTTATTTGCTATAGGTACGAGGTCGGTTTTGAAGTCCATATGTTTGTATGTGAGAGATAGCTGTTCCTTTAGTCTCAGCAGGAAAAATACAGATTTAAAGGGGAAACCACGTGGGACCCAGAAAGATTACCAGTGTCCGACGTTTAATTTAAATCGATAAAACCAATTATGCTCTTTAACTTATCAAAAACTTGTTTTCGCCGTTAGGCTTTCTATATCAGTTTTAGCGTTAATGCGAATGTCTCACAGAAGATAACTCCAAGAGTTTTTCTGTCAGATTGACAGGTTCGCTGATAACCTTAAGCGTTTAATTCTTGTTGTTGTTGCCACCGTGTAATTCTTTTCACCTTAAGGTATATTTGCAACACGCGATTAAAACATTTCCATCTGATGTTTTAGTGTTTTTTCATTGGTGGTTTGTGGAAGATAGTTTGTTGTAAAAACCTTTCAACGATCGCAAACGGTGAACGGAGGTGATACAACTCTATGCAATACTGTACATAGTATGTTTTTCTTTCATTCTTCTTTACTGCGCCCGAATGTAAGATGAACTCTACTTCATCTACCTACCGCTGTCTGTAGATTACTGTGAAACAACCGAAAGGTTTTAAAAAGTATTCACGCAAAAATGTTCAAAGACTTAGCTTTAATTGATAGCACGTGTCTATTCTTGCAAGGTAGGTTTTACGATTTCTAATGAGGCCTCGAAAATTGACCAAGCGAGTTTCCAAGCATTCGCACTTTTTAGCGCCTGGCATGATGCAGCTTGTTTATTTCAGGTGATATCTGTACTTACCGTATGAAGGTAAATCTCTTCAGTATACAGTGCCCCATGACTTTCCTCCTCTTTCAGTACTTTTGCCTGCCTGAAATATATCCTCAGTAAAGAAATGGCTTGGCACTGATCTACTTAAAACAATTCACCATAGTAGTTAACGGCGCCAGGTGACTTAAAGGCACTGGCATTTGACACCTAGCACATTCCCTGGGCATATTTTTGTATGGCGAGTTACGGCGACATGGATGTGTAATACGTCCTGTATCTTTCTCTAAAAATACCATTAGCGGTAAGAACGACGTGAATTATATCAATATCCTCTCGATCGATTAAAATGTAAAACAAGAAGAATATCGAATATCAACTCACCTCCTGAGTATTAGAAGGGGTATATGACCGACGTATCCTCACAACGTTTCATTCAAACAGCATGGACAATATGGTCGTAAAATACCAAATGATTGCGGTGGTCTTTATTTGTATATTTGTAAAGCATAATAAACTGAGAACGCTGCATGGACAGAGACATTTTCAAGAGAGAAGGCATATTATAAAATGGTACTTTGAACCAGATGGACTGGATTTGCCACAAAACCCCTGGATTTTCTGTCTAATTATCGGCTTCTGGCATTAAACGTTCATAGCGCCATCGGCTCACCTTACGGCAGAACCCAGAGTGCAAGTGTCTTTCATCAGTGCGCCCTATCTGTCAGGGATAACGTTTTTTTTTCAAGTATCACATAGAAAAGTTTATAAACTCGTCACGTCATATGGTAAAATAGTAGTCAAATTGATGACAAAACAGAAATTTCCGAACTTTCTTCCATACCCTTAACAAGCGTATGGCATTTGTTTCCAAATTGCCCTCTCATCTTTTCTTCCGAATCCTCTCAATGTTTTCTCATTATTTCCTCTCAATATTTTGTTTAACAGTATCTTGCTTTACTGTATTGTGGGCTTTGCGCTCGCATTGCAGTGATCAATGTTACTTTCCAAATAACAAAGGGATAATATTACTAAATTAGAGGCAACGGATTAAGACACCATCATTACTGCATTTAGGTTATGCTGGTTGGTTAAACCTAACTAGATCTTTAGTCGATTTTGAGTATGCTTAAGTTTAAGGTGAAAGCTACTTAGATCGTATTAACGTTTTCTGTCGCCAACGCAAGGAACCTGCGAAGCAAGGCAGATTTTTTTAAAAATCAATTATCTTTTGGTATTGGTGGAATTTGTTGGAATTGACTTACTCTCACATGAAGACTTAATGATCAGGTTAAGACAGGAATCGAACAGGAAGACTTAACAGCTGAGGTTTAAGTAGGCGATATTGTTTAAATTGATTTCATATGTTCAGTTAGCTCACCCAATAGTTTTCCATTTTAGATCTTCTCTTTGAAATAAATATTTATTGTATTTGATAATCACATTTGGACACATAGAGATATATAATAAAGGAATAATATATAATGGATGAAAAAAAAATCACCATCATTGAAAGACCTCTGAAATTTAATTACAGCGGCATTGATCTAAGTCGGTCACCGCTATCACAATGGACAGTTGTGCGTCTGGATACCAAGTGACGATGTGATATATGTATACATGTACAATAGACTGAATTCCGGATGTAACGTCTGTCCAGTTATCAATCTCCACACTGGTTGCTTCGTGTGTGAAAATAATGTGTATAACGTGATTATTTGGAATGTGGTCAACTTTGGCATGCAACGTACAGGGAGTGCGTAAATGACACGTTGATCTGAATTTGTGCGTATCAATTTCAAGTCCGTATTGATACACAAATATACCAAGAGATACTCTGTCATTTGAATGAGTGATTTGCGTTTTTCCGTCACGTGGTATTTGCACCGGTCATGTTTCCCGTGTCATGACGTCAGAAGTACAGAAATATCAGCCAATAGAAGAAATTCAGAATTATGAAAGTTCCAGGGAACACTACTCTGGCTGCTCTGTCTATTCGGCTGATGCTGTTTACTCCAGTAGGATTCCGCAGTCTTTGTTTGTAGTTTCTGTATACCGGGTTGCCTAACAGACAATGGAAAAAAGTTTGCCAACACGGTTCTCTAAAATCTCCATCAAAGTCCTTCACAGTGTTGTCCACGTGTGTTGTCCCATTGATAAGACGCGTCCACATGGTCTTACTGAGGAGGGGCTTTGTTTCGTCTTTCTCCTGTAAAACCAAGTCGTAACTGTTATAATTGAGTTGAAGCAAAAAAATTTTAAATTAACAAAAATACATGTAACAATGGGTCTATTAATTGTATTTGCCAGCAAGCGTGAACTTAAAGCTTAAATCAATCGGCACAATAATTAACTATTCAACATGACGCACTTGTTGACCATCTAATTTAATTTTAGACAGCATCTGCGGGCCGTCTAGGGCAATGAAGTAGATTAAAATGCCAATACCACTGTAGACCAGGTCTGAGACGCGAACTGATACCCTTTTGGACATGATGTTTGGTGCGTTAAAGCATTTTTGTTCCACTTCATGTTTTGAATTAGTTACTCTGGATATTAGAAAGAACTTGAATTTTTAGAATGTGAAATCTAATTTAGACAGGGTTTAAGTAGTTTACCGAACATTAGGCATGATTCTAAGATCACAAACATTGATGAAAATTCTTGATCCAAACAACCGTCTCAAGACCAAAACAAATCTAGAAATCGCCAAAATATGAAGGGACCACTCCCCTATGACTTTCAAAATGGACCTTCAGTGTGTGTGTGGGGGGGGGGGCAACCATACCTTCTCATCTTCAGCCTTTTTCGGCGTTTTTGGTGAGAGAGGCGGCTGAGGAGACAGGACTGGTTTGGGACCATCTCCGGCTCCTTTGGTGAAATAATTCACTGAGGCAAACTCCACAGCGGCGGCAAACACGTAGATGAAGCATATGAGGAGGAAGGTGTCCAGTGCGGTAAGATACTCCACTTTGGGCATGTTATCCCTGCCGGTCAGTCCAATTGTGCACGTGGTCAGGACGGTGGTCACCGCTAGATGGAACAGAAGTGACCATTAGACTTATTTCTGTATGATTTGCTCTACGAATTGCCTACATCATTGTTAGATATTTTCTTTTATTCTACATGTATCATGAAATAATGAGGATATAATTGGAGGCGATGGAACAGAGGACAGTTGCCAAAAGCTAGACACTTTCTTAATCAAATTATGTAAAGTACTTTAGAATGTGTTTTGGCGTCTTATCTTTGGCGAATCACAACTGCAAACAACTATACCTGTAGTATAACACCATTTTAACAGTTCACAGTGAACAACCAGTAAGAACACATACTCAGCTGTACCCTAGCTGGAACGCCCTCTCGGTTAATCCAAAACGCTATCCACGATGTCCCCACCAACATGTAACATGGGAGGTAGATCTGGAGGAGAAAATAGCCGATGTTTCTCTGGAGATGAAATTTGACAGCCAGAAGCGATGTGTTTCCTGAAACGAAAGACACATTTAATATAGTACACGTTACTGAGCGAGAGATGGCCTTCTAGTTTAAGTAAAACCATAAAAGAAAAAATGGAAAAAAATAATAAAGCAGAGCTACTGAACATGAAAAAAAAGATATATCGCAAAGAAGCCCACTTTTCAGTGCGTGTATATTTGATGTAGTTATTGATGGTTATTTTAAAGAGTGTCGCAGCTTCCATATGTCTGAGGATAACAAACGGCTTATGCCCCAAAAAACAGTGAATCTTTTTTACACTACACAACCAAAATGTACAATTAGATCTTTATTTTAAATGTTAAGGTCGGAGATCTCCCAACGTATTTACACAAAAGATGCTTGAAGTGGGCTTGTGCGTAGGAGCTTTTCTTATGGCGAAAAGATTTTTTTTAAGAATTGGGCATCATTGTAAAGCATTCCGCCTCACGCTTCGGTTTTAATGTCTTAATATTGTAAGGACGGCGCCAAAGTCACCATTCAATATGCTCCCAAGATTAATATTTCAATCTCTGATAGCAAACTTACATATTGTTATCACTATACTGTACATTTACTTCCATTGGTGTAATACTTGCCTATCACTGTTAAATGAGTATCAGGTTTCACTTTTTACGATTTGTTTTACCCCGCGGCTATCTCAGTAGCACAGTCTTTGACCTAATCATCCTGATCAGTATTTGCATTCAAGACATTCGTTGTATCTTTAAATCGTGTTTGTGTTTTTGTGGTGTTTGGAAATCTCTAGGTTTCGTAACCCGTCCCTGAACTCATGGCGTCGGGAGCATGGCCAGGGGTGGGGTCGAACAACTTTTATTTTGACAACGGAAAAGTCGAGAAGGTTTTGGTAAAAGCATTTAATTCACTTGGGTGGGCAGCTTCGAGATATTCTCCATTAAAATACTGCTGCAATGTGAAATGTCAATGTTGGAATAACATTGGAATATTCTGAGCTGCATGGGACTGCATCGGGCACAATATCACTAATAAATTTACAAGAGCATTCACATACACTGAAATTACATAGGAGATGACTTTGTCTGGGAGACACTGGATGGGTCTGGGTTGGGTCGGAAAGTGGAGCCGCTCCCAAATTTATGCTGCACGCAGATATACAGTGCAAAACTATGGGAAAACGTTTTTGAACTCCCTTGAACCCATATCCCCACCCTTAGAGTTGCTCCCGCTTAAAATTAGAATCCATCAATCGCCAGTGTTTTTATACAACGGCATCTAAACGGTAGTGATATTATGACTTATTATATACTAATATGACTATCACGTGGACCTCCCTGCCTAGGTTTAAAAAGAATACATTCCTTACGTGATATATTTGAGAATTGATATTTGTTATATTTTCCTTTGGAATTGGCCACACTTATTATGATGGTAAATAGTTGGTGGTGTGCATACGGATCTAATTGTCCTATATTTCTACAGTCACACGGAACGATACAGTTTTGTCTGTTGCTTTCCTATTTATCCTTTTTATCTGAACAGCTTCAGTGAAAGACCTACCCTAAAATTCCGTTCATTTTTTCGTGATTCGGGTCGCAAGTCGGCCGTGCCCAAACAATACTTGAAGGCCTGCGATTTCCCAAGTAAGTTACGTTTACTTAACGTGCTTACTTAACCATTATGTTCGTTCAAGTAGCAATTTTGACACTTTTAAGACAAATATTTATCATTAATTATATTAAATAAACTCTACATGCAGTAGCTTAATGACCAAAGCCAAGCGATTTTTAAAGGTTTCATTTGAACCACGGTTCCTTCCAAACTCGGCTGACTGGAAATTATGGTTACATTATTATATCTAACGTGTCAAATCCTTCGACAAACACGGGTGGATATGTGCATTTGTATAGATCGTCATGCCGTATTAACCAAATCAATATAGGATGCTTACGGGAGAGTTAGCTCTATTTGTTGAAATTCATATGTCCGTCATAAGTTAATGACCAGATTATGGGTCACTATAGGAGTCAGTAAGAAGGAAAATCTTTAATTCAGGAACAAGGAAAAATGAGGTCTATTTTCCAAATAACACCCATGAATGACCTGGGTCATTTAGCAGTAAATTATAATCGCCTGCCAAATGGACACGACCCCCGCTATGAATCCGAAGAGCGGTAAGACACACCTCACAAGAACAAGATATTGAGTGCAAATGTCCCCGAGATATATGCTGTGTTTAGATTTCCTAAGGATCGCGATCCCCCGGCTCTGAGGCTTTCAAGTCAACGGACGTAATTGCACAGAGCACGCAGTTTACTCAAGCCGCCAGTCAATTCTAAAGGAATGTTTTTTCGCCTCCAGGTGTCGCCTTTTCAAACTTACGGCATCCTAGATTGCGTCTTCTCGATTAAGGAAAGAAGTTGTTAGATACCTTAATTTTGCAAGATCACACTTCTGCAGGAAGAGTCATTAACAGGGAGAAAGAGAGAGAGAGAGAGAAAGAGAGAGAGAAAGAGTACCTTGTGGTAAATCTTCTATCATGTGGGACTCATGAATAGCGGCCAGTTCGAACTGCGCCATTTTTAGCTCGCCTTCGGTTTTCACAGAGTCCCCTTCTCCATATTTCCACTGGTAGATGAGATCTTCCGTGGAGTGTCCGTCTTATGTGAAAATAAAACATGAAAATTAAAAGTATTAGCATATACTGATTTTTATCACGATGACTATATTAAAGTCTTCCTAGATTGATAAATAATTTATCGAAATAAAGCTTATGCAAATTTTGCATTTCGGATCAATAAAAAATTACACAATATCGAGCTCCTGTCGCCAAGGCTTGTCCTTAATAATTTCCATCATTAAATATGTGCTTTGGAAAGGAAAAATGATCGATTACGACATAAAAAAACGAAACAGAGTATAATTAACACCGCACAAGAAAACAATAAATTATGCAATAATCCCAAAACATTGTTTGTGCGTGTTTTATTCTTTAGAATTTTTTTTTCTTTTGATATAACAAAACACACATTAGATCAATACTCAAACCAGGCATTTAAATTTACAGCGGCTAAGAATGAATCGGATGTAGACCTTCATGTCACAATATTGCGGTCCGGGGCTTTAAATCGAGGGGGGTCTAGATATTATATTCTGTCTCGAGGGTAAAAAAAAATCATCTTATTTCTGCATTAGATATTACACCCTGCAGATTCAATTGGATGCGGTTCATTGACCTTGTCTTTTATACCGTTAAAATGTTTTGCCAGGGAAGGTGTGCAAACATTAACTTACAGCTTCCAACGTACAGTGGACACTCCTGAGTATCTAGGGGGTACTTCCGCAACAGCATCGGGCACTTCGCTTTGATTGTCAATCTACAAATGCACAATGGTAAAAATAAGCCTTCTAATAGTTCTGGCGCTAAATGGGTATTAACACAAAACTAAACAGAATGTTTGAATTCAATACGACTGTATAGCAGATGGGTGCATTTGTTTGTATTGTTTGTACTGGATTCAAGTGCTCTGCAGCTGCGGTATGAATAGAGAACGGATCGAAGAGATAGACAGAGTAGAAGAGAGATGCAGAGAGAGTGTATGCGCTGTATTAACTCTAGTGATTCTTCTCAATGGACAATTGATTTGATTTAATTCAATGCAAAATATACTTTCTACTAGTAGACTAGTTCCACGGGTTTATTGTGAAATTGCCAGTATTCGTTCACACTGAGAATTCTGCGTGTTGTCCTGTCACGCCCTGTGCATCATCTAGCATTCGTCCTCTTCTGTACGGAATACGACCCGCAACATACATGTAAATTGGCATAAAATCTCTTTAATGAGCACTGGGAACTCACTTACCGCATAGAATAGAGAATTAACCCGTCCTTTCGAATCCGTAATAATTTATTGGGCACAGTTATAGCGTGCAGGTAGGACTTTTTGCCGTTATAAAAATAGGTGTCGGGTTTCCATATTTTCTTTAAGACGTGTATGCTAAGGGAGAGCTTCTCCATTTCTCCTTCGAAAGTGAGCCTCTTGTCGTACCATTGCTGGCGAAAGTAACAGTCCATAGAGTATGCCTAGGAAAGATTAAGAATACACAATGCCATCATTTGCCCACACCTTATATATATCAACATTTTGTTTCAGTGTGTGAATGTATCTCTGGTTAAACAATAACGGATATGATAAAAATACAAACTCAACACGTCACCACAACCACCACTTTTTTTTATTAAATTACATACGGATGTCACAAATAGTTGCAAATGGCAATTTAAATTGTTAAAAAAGTATATGACGATTACACTATAAAAATAGGTATAATATTTTCACAACATCAGAATTTAAGATGTACTTACTGCGGTCTAGCAATACGTACCCCCTCTAGCTCGGACACCGGTCCAAAACTCCTCACGTGGATATCCGTCTGGACTATTGAAGGGGGACCTATAAATAAATCACCAAATGGTCATACATATTGTTCATAGTCTTAGATTATTTGTTAATCTTCATTCCTTTAGTTGATGGTTTCCAATATTGTTTAATACGATAGAATTTGATATTATTCACATAACTTATATTTGTGTTTAAAATCTGTTGATAGCTCAACTGATAGTGATAAGAGCTTGCAGAGTATTTTTTCAATTTTATTTATAAACTATAATCTGCATAATGAAGCATTGTTAAGTAGGCACAACAATTTGCCTATAGAATATAAAATCTCTTATAATACACACGGGTTCGTGCAATACAGATATATTTAATCTTCACATGTTACTACAGTTGTCGCGCACGTGAACAGTTCTATACCCTTACTCTGTGTTCTGCTATTACCTGAACGTAAACAAATAGAAAAGGCAGTCTCTTCAAACTAGGATATTTATGAACAATATTTCGTTCTTAAGTAAATCCGTGACTTGCTTAATGATAAACTGTATATATAGGAAACCGAAAGCCTTTCAGTCGTAGACCTATGCAAGCGCATGCCAAACCACACAAGGAAAAGCAAACAGCGGGTCTGACTGGCATTAAAACAATTACGTAATAGGGAGGGATTTGATCGGGAATTACTAGTCATCTATTAGAAATTACTATTTTCTACACTGTATTTGGCTAACACAAACAGGCAGCGATAACCTTCGGTGTTATAGAATTGGTTGGTTCACTGTATAAGTGGTTTTATTGCCCTTTTCTGATTTGCAGTATATTTTTCATTTAGTTCTAAATGCCAGTAGGACTTGTGTATAGGGCTTAAATGTATAATTCAAGCTATCATTGCCTTGAATACGCTTTGTCTCGGCTGATCATGTCCTACAAATACCACTTGTGGAAGAGTAACTCTTATATAATTCAAATGTTGCAGTTCTCTATGCATTATAGACGCAATTAAGTCAATTAAAATTAATTGAATCCGTGATTAATAACCTTTGTCGAGTCAAACATGAATGTCCATGTAGATCTTAGTAATAAGCCAAAGGAATTATAAACGTGCCCTGTTAAGCACGACTCTGGAGAATTCGTATTAAATGGCAATAAGAAGTCCGGTTGACCAGTTGTACTTTTGATTTGAATACGAATCACCAAGAGACTGACCATTAATTGATGAAAAATTCGAAGAATGCATTTCTTCTATTCAAATCACGTTTATAAACAAAGAAACGACTGAATTTGAAAGGCATTAGGCGTTTTCAATACATCCACTGACTGATGTGACATTCTGAATTATTTAAACAAAATTACATTACTTTCGATCCAGAGAAAAAAAGTAGATTGCCGTCCACGTGCCTAAACAGTGTAAAGTTAATTATGTGGTTTGGAAAGATTGCATTTGCAAGTTACTGGATGTGGAAAAAGTACGATGTCTCCTAAAAATTAAAGACATTTCTTTTCTCATCATCTAGATGATTGAAAGATCTTTGGATAGTGTGAAAGACAGAAGCGCAGAAAAGTTTCAACCATGAGTCGAGGTTCTAGTTAAATTTTTAAAAAACTTATTCTGTGTGTATTTATCGACTCGACCCATTGAACAAAACTGATTATGGTCACCGCTCGTCAAGTCCTAATCAAATGAGTATAATCAATAAGGGCATTAATCTCATTCGAACAATGGGAGGCATTTTGGGAGACAAGAAGCTGAAAAGCTGAACGTTTTTCTTGGTTCAATTATATATTTTCAGTTTGTTCCTTGGCAGCAGCACGCCGCGGTGCCTATGGGTTGTTACTAAAACAAAAAATGGAAGTGGAACAAACGAATGGTTATAATAACCAAAACGCAAATAATTACAGTGATAAATATACATTATATAGATAGTAAAGGAAAGACTTCTGGCACTCGGCGTGTTTATTATGTGGTCACGTACCCCCAAATCCCGGTCTGAGTTGACGGTCATATCTGTCCTCATGTAATAAATAGTCCAGCAGGGTGGTGATGTTACGGGTTGTGTTCAGGGACTGGATACTGGAACTCTCACATCTAAATGCTTCGATGCTGAAATAGTATGGAAACAGAATGGGATATGATAGTTACAGGAATAATGATTAAAGCAAATAATGGTGCCAGATAGAATATTTTCATCACATGAATTATGTAGACTGTAAACTAACTGAGTAAAGTATATTTCTATACTGCAGGTACAGCTGTAGAAAGACAATGGAACTCGTACATTATTGAAAGTTACGTATTCTTAGGTAGTACACGTGTTTAGGGAAGTGTCTAAATGTGTAATTTATGACTAAATATTCGATCCTAACATAGTCCCCGTCGTGGTGAGAAGAAGTCCAATCGGTTAGGAGCATCAAATAAAACATATCTTTTTCATTTTGTAAATCAATTCAAATCTGTTCTCTGCAGCAGTAATGTATCTTTGTAAAGTGTGGTTCAACAGCCAAACTGAATGGGGGGGGGGGGGGGGGNATGATATAATTGGACGCGACGGAACAGAGGGCAGTTGCTAGAAGCTAGACATTTTCTTAATCAAATAATGTAAAGTACTTTAGAATATGTTCTGTCGTCTTATTTTTGACGAATCACAACTGCAAAAAACTATACCTGTAGTATAACACATTTTAACAGTTCACAGTGAACAACGAGTAAGAACACATACTCAGCTGTACCCTAGCTGGAACACCCTCTCGGTTAATCCAAAACGCTATCCACGATGTCCCCACTAACATGTAACACGGGAGGTAGATCTGGAGGAGAAAATAGCCGATGTTTCTCTGGAGATGAAATTTGACAGCCAGAAGCGATGTATTTCCTGGAACGAAAAGCACAATACATGTATTTGAGGGAGGGTTGGCCTTCTGGAAGGAAGGTAAAAAAATTAGAAAGAGTAAAGCAGATCTAATGAACATGAAATAAAATCTCGCAAAGAAGCCATACTTGCATTGATGATTGTTTTTAGGGGTGTCGCAGCTTACATATGTCTGAGGATAACAAAAAAATTAGTCTTTTATACGCTACACGACCCAAATGTACAATTAGGTTTTTTAATGTTTAGGCTGGAGATCTCCCAAAGTATTTATACAAAAGATGCTTGAAGTGGGCTTTTGTGCGTAGGAGCTTTTCTTAAGGCGAAAAGAATTTTATATATTTTTTTTAAGAATTGGGCATCATTGTAAAGCATTCCGCCTCACGCTTCGGTTTTATTGTATTAATATTGTAATGACGGCGCCAAAATCGCCCATTCAATATGTTCCCAAGATTAATATTTCAATCTCTGATAGCAAACTTACATATTGTTATTACTATACTGTACATTAACTTCTACTGGTGTAATACTTGCCTATCACTGTTAAATGAGTATCAGGTTTCACTTTTTTACGATTTGTTTTAGCCCGCGGCTATCTCAGTAGCACAGTCTTTGACCTAATCATCTTGATCAGTATTTGCATTCAAGACATTCGTTGTATCTTTAAATCGTGTTTGTGTTTTTGTGGTGTTTGGAAATCTCTAGGTTTCGTAACCCGTCCCTGAACTCATGGCGTCGGGAGCATGGCCGGGGGTGGGGTCGAACAACTTTTATTTTGACAACGGAAAAGTCGAGAAGGTTTTGGTAAAAGCATTTAATTCACTTGGGTGGGCAGCTTCGAGATATTCCCCATTAAAATACTGCTGCAATGTGAAATGTCAACGTTGGAATAACATAAGAATATTCTGAGCTGCATGGGACTGCACCGGGCACAATGTCACTGATAAATTTACAAGAGCATTCACATACACTGAAATTACATAGGAGATGACTTTGTCTGGCTGAGGTAGACACTGGATGGGTCTGGGTTGGGTCGGAGAGTGGAGCCGCTCCCAAATTTATGCTGTACGCAGATATACAGTACTAAACTATGGGAAAACGTTTTTGAACTCCCTTGAACCCATATCCCCATCCTTAGAGATGCTCCCGCTTAAAATTAAAATCCATCATTCGCCAGTGTTTTTATACAACGGCATCTAAACGGTAGTGATATTATTATTTGTTATATACTAATATGACTATCACGTGGACCTCCCTGCCTAGGTTGAAAAAGAATATATTCTCTACGTGATACATTTGAGAATTGATATTTGTTATATTTTTCTTTGGAATTGGCCACACTTATTATGATGGTAAATAGTTGGTGGTGTGCACACGGATCTAAATCCCCTATATTTCTACAGTCACACGGAACGATACAGTTTTGTCTGTTGTTTTCCTATTTATCCTTTTTATCTGAACAGCTTCAGTGAAAGACCTACCCTAAAATTCCGTTCATTTTTTTCGTGATTCGGGTCGCAAGTTGGCCGTGCCCAAACAATACTTGTAGGCCTGCGATTTCCCAAGTAAGTTACGTTTACTTAACGTGCTTACTTAACCATTATGTTCTTTCAAGTAGCAATTTTGACACTTTTAAGACAAATATTTATCATTAATTATATTAAATAAACTCTACATGCAGTAGCTTAATGACCAAAGCCAAGCGATTTTTAAAGGTTTCATTTGAACCACGGTTCCTTCCAAACTCGGCTGACTGGAAATTATGGTTACATTATTATATCTAACGTGTCAAATCCTTCGACAAACACGGGTGGATATGTGCATTTGTATAGACCGTCATGCCGTATTAACCAAATCAATATAGGATGCTTACGGGAGAGTTAGCTCTATTTGTTGAAATTCATATGTCCGTCATAAGTTAATGACCAGATTATGGGTCACTATAGGAGTCAGTAAGAAGGAAAATCTTTAATTCAGGAACAAGGAAAAATGAGGTCTATTTTCCAAATAACACCCATGAATGACCTGGGTCATTTAGCAGTAAATTATAATCGCCTGCCAAATGGACACGACCCCCGCTATGAATCCGAAGAGCGGTAAGACACACCTCACAAGAACAAGATATTGAGTGCAAATGTCCCCGAGATATATGCTGTGTTTAGATTTCCTAAGGATCGCGATCCCCCGGCTCTGAGGCTTTCAAGTCAACGGACGTAATTGCACAGAGCACGCAGTTTACTCAAGCCGCCAGTCAATTCTAAAGGAATGTTTTTTCGCCTCCAGGTGTCGCCTTTTCAAACTTACGGCATCCTAGATTGCGTCTTCTCGATTAAGGAAAGAAGTTGTTAGATACCTTAATTTAGCAAGATCACACTTCTGCAGGAAGAGTCATTAACAGGGAGAAAGAGAGAGAGAGAGAAAGAGAGAGAGAAAGAGTACCTTGTGGTAAATCTTCTATCATGTGGGACTCATGAATAGCGGCCAGTTCGAACTGCGCCATTTTTAGCTCGCCTTCGGTTTTCACAGAGTCCCCTTCTCCATATTTCCACTGGTAGATGAGATCTTCCGTGGAGTGTCCGTCTTATGTGAAAATAAAACATGAAAATTAAAAGTATTAGCATATACTGATTTTTATCACGATGACTATATTAAAGTCTTCCTAGATTGATAAATAATTTATCGAAATAAAGCTTATGCAAATTTTGCATTTCGGATCAATAAAAAATTACACAATATCGAGCTCCTGTCGCCAAGGCTTGTCCTTAATAATTTCCATCATTAAATATGTGCTTTGGAAAGGAAAAATGATCGATTACAACATAAAAAACGAAACAGAGTATAACTAACACCGCAGAAGAAAACAATAAATTATGCAATAATCCCAAAACATTGTTTGTGCGTTTTATTCTTTAGATTTTTTTTTCTTTTGATATAACAAAACACACATTAGATCAATACACAAACCAGGCATTTAAATTTACAGCGACAAAGAATGAATCAGATGTAGGCCTTACTGTCACAATACTGCAGTCCAGGGCTTTAAGTCGAGGGGGTCTAGATATCACATCCTGTCTCGAGGGTTAAAAAAAATCATCTTATTTCTGCATTAGATATTACACCCTGCAGATTCAATTGGATGCGGTTCATTGACCTTGTCTTTCATACCGTTAAAATGTTTTGCCAGGGAAGGTGTGCAAACATTAACTTACAGCTTCCAACGTACAGTGGACACTCCTGAGTATCTAGGGGGTACTTCCGCAACAGCATCGGGCACTTCGCTTTGATTGTCAGTCTACAAATGCACAATGGTAAAAATAAGCCTTCTAATAGTTCTGAATTCTAATAGCGCTAAATGGGTATTAACACAAAACTAAACAGAATGTTTGAATTCAATACGACTGTATAGCAGATGGGTGCATTTGTTTGTATTGTTTGAACTGAATTCAAGTGCTCTGCAGCTGCGGTATGAATAGAGAACGGATCGAAGAGATAGACAGAGTAGACGAGAGATGCAGAGAGACTGTTAGTGTATTAACTCTAGTGATTCTTCTCAATGGACAATTGATTTGATTTAATTCAATGCAAAATATACTTTCTACAAGTAGCCTAGCTCCACGGGTTTATTGCCAGTATGCGTTCACACAGAGTATTCAGCGTGTTATCCTGTCACGCCCTGTACATCATCTAGCATCCGCCCTCGTGTGTACGGAATACGACCCGCAACATACATTTAAATTGGCATAAAATCTCTTTAATGAGCACAGGGATCTCACTCACCGCATAGAATAGAGAATTAACCCGTCCTTTCGAATCCGTAATAGTTTATTTGGCACAGTTATTGCGTGCAGGTAGGACTTTTTGCCGTTGTAAAAATAGGTGTCGGGTTTCCATATTTTCTTTAAGACGTGTATGCTAAGGGAGAGCTTCTCCATTTCTCCTTCGAAAGTGAGCCTTTTGTCGTACCATTGCTGGCGAAAGTAACAGTCCATAGAGTATGCCTAGGAAAGATTAAGAACACACAATGCCATCATTTGCACACACCTTATTTATCAACATTTTGTTTCAGTGTGTGAATGTATCTCTGGTTAAACAATAACGGGTATGAAAAATATACAAACTCAACACTTCACAACTACCACCACTTTTTTTAATTACATACGGATCTCACAAATAGTTGCAAATGGAAATTAAAACTGTGTAAAAAAAGTATATGACGATAACACTCTAAAAATAGGTATAAATTTTCCAGAACTGCACCAGCATGGACACCAGAATTTAAAATGTACCTACTGCGGTCTAGCAATACGTACCCCCTCTAGCTCGGACACCGGTCCAAAACTCCTCACGTGGATATCCGTCTGGACAATTGAAGGGGGACCTTATGAATAAATCACTCAATGGTCATACGTATTGTTCACAGTTTTAGATTATTCGTTAATCTTCATTCCTTTAGTTGATGGTTTCCAATATTGTATAATATGATAGAATTTGATATTATTAACATAACTTATATTTGTGTTTAAAATCTGTTGATAGCTCAACTGATAGTGATGAGAGCTTGCAGAGTATTTTTTCAATTTTATTTATAAACTATAGTCTGCATAATGAAGCATTGTTAAGTAGGCACAACAATTTGCCTATAGAATATAAAATCTCTTATAATACACACGGGTCCGTGCAATACAGATATATTTAATCTTCACATGTTACTACAGTTGTCGCGCACGTGAACAGTTCTATACCCTTACTCTGTGTTCTGCTATTACCTGAACGTAAACAAATAGAAAAGGCAGTCTCTTCAAACTAGGATATTTATGAACAATATTTCCTTCTTAAGTAAATCCGTGACTTGCTTAATGATAAACTGTATATATAGGAAACCGAAAGCCTTTCAGTCGTAGACCTATGCAAGCGCATTCCAAACCACACAAGGAAAAGCAAACAGAGGGTCTGACTGGCATCAAACAATTACGTAATATGGAAGGGTTTGATAGGGAATCTCTAGTCAATTATTAGAAATTACTATTTTCTACACTGTATTTGGCTAACACAAACAGACAGCGATAACCTTCGGTGTTATAGAATTGGTTGGTTCACTGTATAAGTGGTTTTATTGCCCTTTTCTGATTTGCAGTATATTTTTCATTTAGTTCTAAATGCCAGTAGGGCTTGTGTATAGGGCTTAAATGTATAATTCAAGCTATCATTGCCTTGAATACGCTTTGTCTCGGCTGATCATGACCTACAAATACCACTTGTGGAAGAGCAACTCTTATATAATTCAAATGTTGCAGTTCTCTATGCATTATAGACGCAATTAAGTCAATTTAAATTAATTGAATCCGTGATTAATAACCTTTGTCGAGTCAAACATGAATGTCCATGTAGATCTTAGTAATAAGCCAAAGGAATTATAAACGTGCCCTGTTAAGCACGACTCTGGAGAATTCGTATTAAATGGCAATAAGAAGTCCGGTTGACCAGTTGTACTTTTGATTTGAATACGAATCACCAAGAGACTGACCATTAATTGATGAAAAATTCGAAGAATACATTTCTTCTATTCAAAACAGGTTTATAAACAAAGAAACGACTGAATTTGAAAGGCATTAGGCGTTTTCAATGCATCCACTGACTGATGTGACATTCTGAATTATTTAAACAAAATTACATTACTTTCGATCCAGAGAAAAAAAGTAGATTGCCGTCCACGTGCCTGAACAGTGTAAAGTTAATTATGTGATTTGGAAAGATTGCATTTGCAAGTTACTGGATGTGGAAAAAGTACGATGTCTCCTAAAAATTAAAGACATTTCTTTTCTCATCATCTAGATGATTGAAAGATCTTTGAATAGTGTAAAAGACAGAAGCGCAGAAAAGTTTCAACCATGAGTCGAGGTTCTAGTTAAAATTTTAAAAAAACTTATTCTGTGTGTATTTATCGACTCGACCCATTGAACAAAACTGATTATGGTCACCGCTCGTCAAGTCCTAATCAAATGAGTATAATCAATAAGGGCATTAATCTCATTCGAACAATGGGAGGCATTTTGGGAGACAAGAAGCTGAAAAGCTGAACGTTTTTCTTGGTTCAATTATATATTTTCAGTTTGTTCCTTGGCAGCAGCACGCCGCGGTGCCTATGGGTTGTTACTAAAACAAAGAATGGAAGTGGAACAAACGAATGGTTATAATAACCAAAACTCCAATAATTACAGTGATAAATATACATTATGTAGATAGTAAAGGAAATACTTCTGGCACTCGGCGTGTTTATTATGTGGTCACGTACCCCCAAATCCCGGTCTGAGTTGACGGTCATATCTGTCCTCATGTAATAAATAGTCCAGCAGGGTGGTGATGTTACGGGTTGTGTTCAGGGACTGGATACTGGAACTCTCACATCTAAATGCTTCGATGCTGAAATAGTATGGAAACGGAATGGAATATGATAGTTACAGGATAATAATTAAAGCAAATAATGGTGCCAGATAGAATATTTTCATCACATGAATTATGTAGACTGTAAACTAACTGAGTAAAGTATATTTCTATACTGCAGGTAGAAAGACAATGGAACTCGTAAATTATTGAAAGTTACGTATTCTTAGGTAGTACACGTGTTTAGGGAAGTGTCTAAATGTGTAATTTATGACTAAATATTCGATCCTTACATAGTCCTCTCTGTGGTGAGAAGAAGTCCAATCGGTTAGGAGCATCAAATAAAACATATCTTTTTCATTCTGTAAATCAATTCAAATCTGTTCTCTGCAGCAGTTATGTATTTTCGTAAAGCGTGGTTCAACAGCCAAACTCAATGAGGGGGGGGGGGGAGGGGGAGCGTCACTTGGTTGAACATGTAGAGATTGCCCAGGCCACATAATGATAAAAAATAACATTATTCATAAATCCTTTATATGTCATAAATCCTTAATTTTGCTCCACTTGCAGATAATAGGACTGCCATTAACGTTAGGAAATGTCCATGACTGTAACAATGTAATTTAGATGGTCTGTGACTTGTCAAAGTGAAAAAATCCACCTACCACGAGGTAAAAAAGGAAAAAAGACAGAGCAAGCAAACTAAAACTAAAACAATCCATCGATTTAGTAAAGAGAGTACGTTTCATACAGCCTTTGTGTTTGTTAACTTTTAAATGGTCCATGGAATTTCATTGTTACTCTTCGTCATTTACAGTGTTACTTTACCTTGAATAAAAGCAAAGTATTCACTAATGTATTTGTTTCACTCAGCGTCGATGGGTATTCTTATCTTATTGACCTTGTTCCTTTCATAGATTTTTTGCCTGCTCTTTAAAAAGTTCTGACGTTAATTGGTATTCTTTTCATTTGTCCAGAACGACACTATGTCCTCAAGCCATATCTAAGCTGACCCGTCAGCAGCGTGTGTAGCCTGGGGCCAGTAATGTACCAGGATACATAGGACAGCTGTCATTATTGGCGTATTCAACCTACATCTCTATTTATAAAGGCCAAGATGATATGGTGTCCGTGTGATCAATTAAAACGGCCGTCTTCACACATACTTCGTACTATCACCCATACCTGATGAGTTATTGCGAAGAAGTGCAATTTTGGCTACTAAAATGGCACTCAGTTAATATAATGTAAATAATATGACCACCGAGTGTGGTACGCTGTAATCATTCGTCCGTGCGTCGTGGTCACGGGCTTTGCTTACACCACCGTTAGTTCGAAAACGCACGATATGTTATTGTTTAAAGACACAATATCCATCACAATGGCGTGGCCCTGAATTAAGAATACACAACTTTGTTATAATTACAGCCAGCTGGGAAAGGTCGCATAGGTCCCTCAGAGAGTCTGGTACTTTTTATGGTACTCCAAACCTCGTGAAAAAATCAGTGGCTGTTTTTCGAAATCAAAGAATTTTTCGATGATGGCGTTAAAATCCTTGCTCTACTACCGACTCCCCCCGAGGCTAAATAAGTTCGGTATATTGTAGTTGCTGAAAGGCAGTATTGCACCTTTTAGTAACACGATTATCGATACAAAAAGCAGTTTCCCTCAACATGGCGTGATCCAAAGAGAGTTTGTGTACCTTTCTAGTGATCCGGGATACGCCTTGAGGAGATTCTGCTCTCAAAGAGTAAAACAATACACTTATTATATGACGAGTTAGCGTCCAATAACAACCATACAATGGCTGATGAAGTTAGTCTACCAGCAGCGATGAACTAGGTTATGACATTACGAAATATAGAAAACATCCCCTACAAATATACGATCTAGTATTAATGTGGAGAGGAAATTAAGCTTTACCTCATGAATATGACAAAAATGGCGAGGAACAACTTGCGACAGTCGTATTGCAGCCCCGGACCCATGTCTTGTCCCTTTGGGTATCCTGGATGACGGCGGCGTTTCCACACAGGCGCAGAACGGGCGTTCAGAAACCTAAGAATCAAACAAAATCTTCAGTCTGATGTAACTTGTAATATCTGTCTATCGATCAGCATGGTACTAGTATATATTCAAAGTACTGTAACTGTACTATCCTCTCTCTCCCTCTCTCTTTTTACCCCGCCCTGGTGATCATAATGTTTACACAGATATACTCGTGTGCCAGTGGAGAGGGAGAGCGGTCAGATTATTGTGGTCAAACAAAACCGGAGCTTTGCCTATTGATTGCTGCCCCTCCATTATAACGTCTACATAAAACTCGATAATTAATCCGGCAGTGAATAGAAAACACGAATTATAAGATTGCGTTCAACCACCCATTTTGTTCAAACCACGGTGGTTAAGTAATGCACTGATTCGGAACCTTTTAAGTAGGTTTCAAGTGGGGGATTTTTTCACGGTGCAGTTAAAATATCAATGTTATTTCTAACATGCCGTGATATACGTACTATTAGCAGGAATATTAGCCACAACACGGCGCAAAATGACCAGGACTGAGAGAAAATCGAAAAGATTACATAAGTTGCACTGGGATTAATCTATACTGTTTTCGATCAAAATATCGCCGTTTATAAAATACTTGGAAATAGAGACTCCACACACTCGTGCCTTATGTAAACCAAATCTAAAAATTCATCATGCCACACGTGCATTGAAATATGATTAACCTTAATATATGTCCATCAATGGATGGGGGTTGCTTTGAAATGCTGCCCAGAATATGAATATACATTTTCACAAACTCATTTCACCCAGACTATGACATTAATTTTATTTGGAATCAGCTCTCTGTCTTACCTGGACATTTCAACTTGTCTTCTTCACTTGTTATGGCACTTGGAGACTGGCTGCAATTTCAAGTTAATTGATCTTTAATGCTTTGAAAAATTATAATAATCTGTTCTTCGCTGATTCCAATCTGTCACCGAGTTGTTGTCGGCCGAAATGACTAGAGTGACGAAGTTACAAAGTTCTCACTCTTCCGCGAAGGCGACATACACAAAATAACATACGGCATACCCCCAAGTCATTCCTCTATGGTCACGTATTAAATGTGTAAATACACATCTATTAAGAAATTAGACGTCTCTTAGAAAAATCTAAATATGCTATTGAAAATCTTTAATCGACAGAACAGCAGATATTCTGTGTTTTCAATTGAATTAAATAGCCGCACCGTCTTTATACACAGACATGACTTTCCAAATGGCACAAACCATCAATGTTCAACAAAGGAGCGAATACAAACCCTTTCAATTGTCTCGTTAGCTACAGCCGTGAGTAGCAGTCTCGGGCAAATACGATTTGTTAGAATGACATAAAGAAAAGAGGGTCTATCACTGAAAGAAAATAAACTGAGTGGCTGCGTTAATTGCCAAAACAAACCAATGAAATGATTGCGTAACCAATTATTCCAAACCTTGATAGAGGAAAGTATAAATTTGGAAACTTGTTTATCGCCCTTTGCGTGTATTTCATGGTCACTGCGTGTGACGGGAATAAATATTTAATGCGAAAGTGTATTAATCTCAGCAAACCAACTGATTTAGACAATCTAATAAGTCGAGGACAATGGAGAAAGCGGAACCAAAATTAACTGGACTCCAGTTTTAATTTGATCTGGCTTTATTTGAGCCCTTGCTAATCTTTCTCGGATTTGTAAGCAGCTCATTCAAATCTTATAGAAGATTTCAGCTATGGATGGAAAATTTTACTACAAAAATAATCTACTTAATTGATTTTAATAACCGAATTGATATTGTTTTTATCCTTTTTCTTTCCTTTGCACCGTTTAATTCGATTTGCAGCTATGTCGCTGACATGGAACAACTTTTGCTAATTTTATACACTAACAAATATGTAATGAGTATTCTTATAATTCAAGTACTTACATACTAGCAAAAACAGATTAAGTTAAAACTAGTGCATATGTTTTACTTACATGTTCTTGATATTCTCATCGTCACTCACACCTCGAAAAGTACCATATCCGCGTTTGATACAACCAATGCTCTACAAAACACGTGATTGGCTTTCTGGTGATAACACATTGCCAACTATGCATATTACACTTACTCTTCACGGCGTTAAGTGGCTGCAAGGCGTTCCAAAGATTCTGACCTATGCAATCCTTACGCATGCTTCAACAAATATTGTAAATTAGATGAATCGATTTCGAACCTTTTTTTCATTTGAAAGGCATCGGTGCATTATTTAATAGGCAAACACTAACAACAAATAGAAAATGTCCTTCTGAAAAACTGACGACTCAAGTTTGAAACAGTTTGATTTTTTAATCGATCGCAAAGGTTACGGGGAAAGATATTAGCTCAAGGTCATTTTCGAAATCAACAATTGATTTCGGCGTCTCATGTTTTAATAAGAAACCTAGAATAAACATATAGTGACGACAAAGTACAACAGTGTATGCACGGGCATCATATTGTATTAACGTGCACACAAAGCATCCAGGCACAATTTTGATGTATTCTCACGAAGCACGCGCACTAAAAGTGTGCGCGACTCAACCCCTTCCCGTACTCATGTGTACACGCCCCCTCTCTCAACACAAAAACACGTTGCCCCTGGGTATTCAAGGCTGTTTTGCGTTCACCCGACTGGCGCACATAGATATAGATGTAAAGACATATGGTAGTTTTCACAATGAGTGTATCGTGCCAGCTAGGGCGCACTACCTCCAAGGGGAATCTCGCTGAACGAATCAGGTTAACAGCCTAACACGCCTCCTCCTGGTGTTGAGTAGAATACAGAAAAGCTGGTGACTATTCGAGCCAGTTCGACACAAGAGGAGGCGTGTCCATCTATTAATCTGATTGCATTAAGCGAGAGTCCCCATGGAGTTAATGTGCACTAGCTAGTGCGATAGATTCATTTTGAGCGCACCCATAAGGAAGTAATGACAGCCCCAGTAACCGCTGTTCTAGTACCACGGTGATCAGGACACACGGATCTTCTACAGCGCGCATAGAACCCACCAGTTACGAAACCCTGTTTCAGGCATAGATACCTAAAGCCAGCTTGTATTATTACGTAAGAACATATTATGTTAACTTCAACGCGTGTCTAAGACACGATGTTACCCTGAGATACATTCAACGAGAAAAAATTAAACAAGCTTTTTTTTTGATAAAGTAAAAATAATAAAAGTATTTTTTAGCAGTTTCACGACTCCAGAAAGTATCTTGGCAATTAGCATATGCTGATAAGGTACATAAAAATGTGATACAAATGCGCTTATTTTTCATGCTGTAAGATTGGCAAATTATACTTGTGTACCCGTTATCCTCGGGGCTATTAATCCTAGGCACCTAATTAGTTAAACCATTAATTAACCCTGCACAAATGATTAATTATCCCTGCGGCTTATGTCTTGATATTGCATAATAAGATGATAAAAAATGTAACATTGTCTAACCACAAACAACAACCTTATTACATAACGAAATTTGTGCACCTTGTATTGTTGAAATGTTTACCTGTACATGGCGTGACAGAGCTGGGGGTCAGCAAGTATGCATGTACAGAAACATACGCACTCAACAGATATACACCTCGTGCCCCATCAAACATTCTTTGACGATCTCTTTTAACACACGGCACATACTTCTGGGGTCGAAAAAGCATTGGTTGAGTTTTACCTTATGTTTTATTATTTTTTTTTAAGGAGAAAGGTACATTGCGCGTGCGATGCAGCTTTAATACAGAACATGTGAGGATTTGCCTTTCAAAATCCAATAAATACATTTTTGGACGAAATGACAACAGTTTAAACTTTATGGTTTCGTATCTACTTCAGTTCAGGATTTCTCACGCAAATGTGAAAACCCCGGCGTTGATTAACCCAACTTCGCAACATGTGGCGCCCCCTACCTAGACATGCGCAAACGTTCCATCGATCGCTAACAAGGCGAACCAGTGAGTAAATACTTGGGGCACCACAGCATACATCTTGACCACACAGCGCCAGCACGCACGGATTTCTACAGGGTGCGATAAATGTCTACCATTACGAGATTATGACATGTTAAGGAACAAGTTTCTGTACAGTATCTGTCTTTTTATGATACATCTAACATGGTAAGTGACAGATTAATTGATAAAGCAGCTCAATAGGGTTGGCATCGCATTGATTGAACTGTTCTTTTACTCATAGGCGTAACAGATGCTTTAGATAGAAGAAAGTGAACGTTTATAGATATGTGATGTACATAGCCTGGACGTGTCTGTGAAAATTAAAGACATCCAAAATTTATCATTCTAAGAAAAAAAATTAAGACAGAATGGTGGAAATATTGATGATACAAACTGAATACGTCGTATACTTATTTCTGAATGCATGCTTTTCAAATTATCTGAATATGGTATATTATAAAAAATGAGGCACAGCTATATGTGTTTTTGTACTCCACCTGCCCATCATTTGCTGCGCCCGCTGTATTGCTGTACACACTGCGCCAATATTTCTATGTCTTTTTCTAGCGCTCAGGTGGAAAACTCAGCCAGATTACAAAACGTATCTATGACTATCAAGAAATTATTGGATGGATACGACATCCGCCTTAGACCTTCGTTTGGAGGTAAGAATGTGTGTGTGTGTGTGTGTGTGTGTGTGTGAGTGTGTGTGCCCGCGAGCGTGCAGGTGTCTATTATCTATTGTATCAATTTTATCGCGAGAGAATGTGACCCCTAATTGTAACAGGAGCCCCGTCCCCAAACAATACCTGTCAACGATAAATAATAACCAAATGCAGAGATACAATAGACCCTGCTGGAGCACTGACGGGGTTCAAATATTTGCTCGTGGTCTTGCTCTTAAATTACACATAAAAGGTTTTATAACACCAAGTTTCAGTTTGGGATTAGCATTGTCTGTTATTTGCTGCATTAAGTAAATGCAATGTCCAGTTTAGAATGAAAAAAATCATTTTAATACAATATTTTACTACGAATGGAATGAAAAAAAATTAGTAAAACGTGATGTCCAACTCTAAATATAAATGCAATATTAAATGCAATGAACATCTTAACACAAGTCCACCAAGTACGTGGAAATCATTTGATTATACCTGAAATCAGAACAGTTGACCATGAAGGCTGCATACTGTTTTTCTAAGCTTGATAAGCTTTATAATCATGTTGATATTTATATAATTACTTCTCAAAAGCCCTTTTCTCGAGTTAAATTGATTAGAAAAACACCATACAAATGTACCTCAGGCCGTCATGGACAGAATTGGGTCGTGCTTACGAAGTAGAATCAATGGAAATGATAGAATGAGAGCGACAGAGCGACTTTATACCATATAGATTACGCCCCAAGGATCGGGAACGTAACGATGGGCGGCTGTAAGGTTGCGATCAGCCAATACGGACATTCAGTATAAGTTCGACCGTGGCTCAACACCATATTTGCTATAATCGCACCGGCACTAAATATATTGAGTCCATCACGCCGCCATTCAGCAGTTCTTATTTTGATTTGCTACGGTATTGCACAAAGATTCGGGATCGATTCAGCCGTACGGCCAATAACCGCCTTACTTTTCAAGAAATATAATATAGGACGGAGAGTATACAATACGCACTGGCCATAAGCACGTCCATTAAACATTAATTACAACAAACAAATTACCGTGGCTTTTCAAAGCCATGGTTTGTGCAACAAAGAACTGTAGCACTTGATCGTTTCCTTTCGCCCCACGAGTTGCTTATCGGAATGCAAACATTTCCAAGAGTCACGGAAGGGTATTCTAAGCCGCCTCTTCTCTGAGTACCTTAATGGTAACAAAACTCGGGATAACCGATAATCAAAGTGAGGCATAATAATCCTATATATCAGTAATCACCTGACAACTGTTCTTTTTATAAATTTGTAGGAACATACATCGTTAAGAGAGCATACCTTTAGACAAAAGCCAACATAACAAAGCACGCCTTCAAGAATTTAATGCAAAACACCTATTCTAGGTATTTTAATTTCCTCTACAATGCTTTCCTTTAGCTACTGTACATGTATAAACACCATAAATGATAATAATAATAATAATAATAATGATTTAGTGACGCTTTAGTGATGGGAATCACACATTTTGGAACAAAATTTTATTAAACAGCTGTGTTTCACACTTATCAGAAGAGCATCATCTAGCTGAATGTCCAAAGGTTTTCGCATGTTGCTAGATATTACCACTACAAAAAAAAAAAAAATATCTGGGGACCATGGTCAATACAATATTTAATAAAAACCGAGAACGATTTATACATTTTATGAGATATTCGGAAGGATTCGATTTTGAGATTTTTGATCAGATGTGAAAGGATTAGTTTCTAGTAAAAAGGATGGGTAATTTTTAGATATTATGAGAGTATTTTTATGTAGCAAGAATTGCTACATATTTAAAGTGAAACCTGTCCTTTCATTGATTTATAATGACTAAGAAAGTGAACTGCTATACCGACAGCCATGCAGCCAAGGAAGTAACAGCCAATGAATCACGCACTACGCACATGCACATGTTTCTTTGTCATCTAGTTTCGTTTACAGTATAGTTTTAAGTAGATTCCTTTCCTGTATCTGGTTGTAAATAGTGGATGTTTAAATTAATCAATTTTTGTTGACAAGATGTGTAATAGGAAGATTGAAAAGGCTTCCTAAGGGTCGTCCATTGCTTTTGAGGGTTTCTGAAGTTTGTGTTTTGCTGTTCATTGCGTATAAAGATTCAGCAGAAACATGGAGGAAATTTGCAGTACCGGTTTGCTGCCTAACTCTTGACTGTTAATGGCCAAGGGGGTCCCCGCCTCGATGTTTGCCTGTTCATTACCCGAGGCAACGAACAAAGCCTTTCAAGATTCTTATCTTCTCAAATTATGAAGCATAAGCCCAACTTGGGAACTGCGTTGTGGTCCACCTTACGCGCATGCGCCTATTTATAAAATGGTGATTATTATTTTGAGTTTTAAGCAGTGTATTATGTTCGGCGATTGTATAACAAATGAAGGAATGCCGCCACAATGTGCAAAAGTAGGGAATGAATAGTACCATGATACGATAGCAAATGCCTGGACTTAATTCGTAGGTTTAATGGACTTGGTTTAAAGTTATTGCACAAAATTATTCACTGCAACGTCAAAACACTGTTTTAATGACATATGGCGTGAGCTTGCGTACGTCTGTTTTAAAAGCCTCAAAGCAGCTTCCCGTATGGTCAATTGTATAATGGAATGGGAGAAAATGAACAACACTATTTTAATTTTTATTTCATACTTTAATGTCGATTTGTGTTATTCATGCATGAATCGTGAGGAGGAAGAAGTAGTGATCCAAAACTTCTTTCTTTTCACTCGGGGAAACATATTGTTTATCTTTTTTATACTACAATACATAACCAATGTATGCGTCGCCAAATGACACATTCTGTTTGTACAATTCGTCCTGGAGAATTCTGATGAAAATAACTTCATCAAGATGTAAATTGAAACCGTACTCTTAGGTTTCATACCCCCAAGGAGGGGTCTACCCGGTTAACAACATACGCATGATTCCACACTGAAAGACCACTGCAACCCTTAGAATGAATTACGTTACAAGAACAACAATCGAGTACTTCATGTATAATGAACACAAGCTAATAGACCATAACTCACGAAGTAACCTTTGCAGAGACTTGGATATCAGCTCACTACTTAGATAATCATAAAATCTGTTGGTAGACAAAATGCAAAGTGATATGTAATGCAAATATATAGAATGGCCATGCATTGCCATGGTTTTATTGAATTATTTATTTGCCAAGGGAAATGTCTATACCTGATCTTTATGCTGCGGCGTTTGCAAAGGAATAACATAATTGATATCTAATTGTTAAAATTTCCTAAAGTTTAATGTCTGATAAGAAGGACAAAGCGGCAGTGGCAGTGTCATTTTGGCGTCATATTTGGATAGAAACGCAGACGGAAAGGGTTTTGGGAATTCTTTGTTAAAATGTTTGAATACGTTTTTTTCTTCCAACGAAGCGCTGTAAGGCAGGCAAGAAAAAATACAAGACAAGTGAACGATAGACAGTGATACCGCAAGCACATCATCATTTACAATGACTATTTCCAAATAGATTCTGGCATCTAAAAGAGAAATATCGATTGTGGTTAAGTGAAATAAAAACGAATTTTTCTTTTGGCCTCTTTGGCCACGAAGGCAATTGCAGCAAACGGCAAATGACAAATACAGAGACCCTTAACTGTTTTAAAAGTCGATATAACAAATATATGACCTAGACGGGTCTTGAAGACAGCAATATTTCAGATGCTTTTGTTCCTGATCAGGTGATATAAGGAGCAACGAAATGCAAAGAAATTTTGTAGACTGCTTTACACTGTTATACTATAGCATTACAGGGACATTAATTCTTTTGACATGTGTAATAATACACTGGCAGTGCAATTTACAGTTTGTAAATGAACGAAGTGCATGGGATACATTTACCATTTGCTATTGCATATATGAACATTATTGTATCGATTGTATGGTTTTAGTAAGCATGATTGCCTTATGGTATTTTAAACCATAAATGAGCAACGCAAAAAGGTTCGAATCTAGATTTATCGCGCCAGGATTTTGATTTGAATTAATAACTTCATTTGGTAAAATAGTGAAAAGGGAAATCGCAAATCACTGTTGACCTCTTTGTAGTGACGTCAAGCTTTATGTAACACATCTTCACCTCATTGCGCCTGTTTTGATACGATTTGATCACAATGTAACCATTCATATAATCGTCATCTCCATCTATTATTTATCGAGCAGACGATAGCATAATACGTTTGCAATCAAAGCACCTGCACTTTGTAGAAAGAGCAAAATGAATAAATGGTATGGTAGGGGCGCACTGCGTTCCTAAAGGTTGTTTTGCTCTTATATTGTCGGCCTAAATTTAAGGACCCGTCCACTTCTTAAACTGAATATAATACATTTAATTGTAAATAAAAACAGTGTAAATTTTGGCAGCTGTATTGTTAAGATGAAAACTAGGGACTGAACGGTTCATAAAAAGAAATTGCATTGATTCGTAAACATGTGCGAAGATTAAAATTTAAGGGTTCACAGTACCCAATTCAAATATGTCAAATTCATTAAATGCAAAAAAAAAAAAAATTAAATGTGGTTAGGTATATTCTAAACTAGTAAACCACCGTGCGATACGAATATTTCTTTTAAAAAACTCGAGAGGTCGGTCGTTCGACGAATCCAATTAAAGATTGAATCAATTTTCTGCATATTTAGATATGATCATTGACGTGTGCACTCAGGTATGTGTGTTACCGCTCTTATCGAAATTTATGATACGATTGTCAATGAAGCATGAAGCGAAAATACCGTCATGGGTTCGACTGGCCGTTCTCCCTTATTGAACGTATTGAAGAATGTCTCACGTTTCAATAATTTCACCTTAAGTGTTATTATTTTGTTATGCTCGATTTGACAAATATTTCATATCTGACGAGATGGGGAGTCCCGTGTGACCCGATAGCTCCCAAATTAATGAATGGTATCTGACGCAACTACACAGGGAAGCTACGACACTCTTGCAGAGAGATAAGGGGATTTTTTTTATTCTATAACTTTTTTTATTCTATAACTTTTTTTAATCTTTAAAACATAAATAAATTTTGAGAGTCCATTATGCCGACTTAATGTGCTGTATGTATACAAAAGACCATTGCGTTACAATGTAAATGTATCTGACGAGATTACCCATACGTTTGAACTGACTTTCCCAGTTTACTAAACCCCATGAAATGTACTTTCCGTGCGAATAAATATAATAAATAAATTAAGATGACCGGTTGAACATCTGGTATATAAGCGCCTTGTAACTTTGAACATCGGTTACACCAGGACTGTCGAATTAGCGATTCTTGGAAAAGGGATTATAAACGAACCGAAGGTGGAAGATAAAAATCAAAATGACCTGTGTATGATTAAGTTTCCAATCAAGTCCCAATAGTGTAGGGCACCGGACGTTTATTCAGGGCGGTTTAAGTAATACTGCAAACGCGCGTCTTTTCGGTTCCCATTATATCTTACGGATATATGTAGACGTTATATTTATCAAGTACTTCTGCCCTTTTAACAACACTTAACCCACGCCCCTGAATCTCCTTCATTCGACATGAAAATTGCGTAAATTCGAATAATTCCAGATTCCATGAAGTTAAACACAAACAGTAGTACTAATACATGAAAATATATATTGCCATCGCTGTACTGTATCATTGTGTTTGTTCACACTGACTTTTTTATGGTTTCAGGTGATTCTTTGCATGTTGGGATGGACATTGTTATCGCCAGCTTCGATAGCATATCAGAAGTTAATATGGTAAGTTTCAGTATAGGGACAATTTTCAACTCATTTTTGTAGCCAAATACCATAAAAAATAATAATATGTCTTTTATTTAAAAAATAAAAATAAGTGAAATGTTTCATTATTATTGAAAAAGTGACAAATGCAATATTTTCAATATGCTCGAAAAGGGTTTCATTTTTTGATAGAATAGGAAGTAATATGGATGTCGTTGTTCTGACTTAATGAAATAGTATTCATTTCCATAGTGACAGAACATAGATAAAAGTGGCTTTCCGGTGAGGCAGTAAAATATCATTAATATCGAAATCCCCAAAATGAAAACATGTGGGTCTCTATCTTGGTTGATATAAATCTCCGCAGTTCTACAACCGCTCATTATTTATTAAGTTACCCAAATCCCAGCAGCATATCCTAAGGCCATGTTATGACGAGTAATGTGAAACACAGATATCAGGTATCAATATGCAGAGGTCAAAGGCCATCAACTTTGACCCGTGAGAGAGCGATTGATCGAATTAATAAACCATTGCTACCGACTGTCATTGGATTCTCCGGCCATACTGTATGCCTATGTCCAATAGCAAATCAAGTTCTGGCGTTTAACGTTCTTATCAGAAAATTGGGTTTCATTAAGAAAGTCTTTATTTCAAAATTAGGTTGTTATCAATAATCTTAATTGGCCATTACGCACACTGTTCAAACTTTCATTCCATCTCCAACAGTAGGATCTCTCAGCCGCTATGTCAAAGGCGAAAAAAATGAACGGTTATTGTTTCCCCTCAAGAAAAGAGAGCCGCCAAGTGGCAGCTCAATTAGCGCCTTGAATTAACTCTCTTTTATGAGTTTTAAAGACATCAGGACTGAAGTGCGTAGTGCTTTTTTTTCTTCGCCGTGGCTTCTGAGGCTCATGGTCTCCCGCTGTGACACTACTGCTGCCCAATTTGCCCCATAATTTTCGCCACGCGTCTCTCTGGAGGGCGAGGAGGCCAGTAACGTCTGCAAAGCATTAACGAAGTTTTTTTCGCGAAAACTGTCCAGGTCTTGTTTGTATGAGATAGTAATTGGCACCTCGTGTGCACTCGAACCAATGCAGAGGATTTTCTTTGATTTTCCTAAGATAATGTGGATTGTCAAAAACCATAACAACCCTCGTGTTTTTATAATCCTAATTTTAAGGGCATGCCAAGTAAAGGCATTTTTCAGAATATTTCCAATGATAAGTTGTGTTTTTTTTTTAAATCTTCAAATAGGCTTCTCAACAAGAAGGGTAGCCAGCATATCGTAGTGCGCTTTTCCTATAGACAGTGGCATATTGATTTTATCATAGCTATATCCCCGTCACTTGTTATAAAATGCTGAAATGTTAGCCAATTCAAATAGATATCACAGTTATACAAAATATTGTAAGCAGGGAAGTTGTTTCACTAATTTAATAAAAGAATTACTCCGCTAAGAAAATGTGGGGTACTTGGTACCTACATCGATTTTGAGTTATAGAAGACCTTTAGGATAATTCACCCATATATTTGATTTAAGAAGACTACTGTGAAGCAAGACATCTTCTCATGGACTCTTATACCTTTTAACGATTCTCCGTCAAAGAAAGAAAGTCTCGGTTTATAAAGGTAACAACAGAATTAACTGGATGCAATTTACGTCTTGAATTTACCAAATTGAGTTTATATTTTTTAAAAAATCGAAACCTGTGGCAACATAGACCGTCAGTATATAAATAGAACGTTCTTTTGAAACGCCAATTAAACATCCACAAAAAGTCTTGCGTTTGATTTAATTCATTGGTGGAGATGCCCACAATTAATCAACCAAATGAAATCAATTCCTGCCAAATCAGGACATAAATAATTGATTCCCTTGCTTTTATTATGTTATTAAGAAACTGGTTCAATACATTTACCAATGTAATCAGTTACCTCCTGCTCTCTCTATGCTCACAAGCTCTTCCACCAGACCTTTCTCTACCATACGTCATTGTTGAGAATGGGGAATTAAAATCTTGACCATTTTAACCATGGAAGCCGTACACTTTACTTCGTATTAATTTTGATAGAGTTAATTGGTGTTTGGAGTGTGTCATTTGATTGAGGTAGGAGAGAGTTTCCTTGCGAATGTTTCCTACCTCATTTGATGTTGTTTCCTGAACACAAGACAACACAATCAGTGTCCACTTAGTTTTAGCTATACATGTATGGGCAGTGTTTAAAGACACGTCAGAGGGAGATATGTTACGACACATACTTCATCCAAGACGACACTTAACTCTAGATTTTGATGAAATAACAACCCTTTCACACTGTCGTGAAAAATTGCGTGGCTGTCTCATTAAACGCTTGCCGATATAAACGATAATTTGCGGCGCTCGTTGATAGCATTTAGATTACTTTCGCCACGTCCTCTATAATCACTAGTTGGCGCTTAAAAGAGTATTATCTGTGAGAGTATAGGATTTAGTTTTTTTTCCTTTCCATAATCGATGACTGCGGCATTCTCCGTGCCTTCGAGTGATGACTGGGGGTGAAGAACACCGTATCCCGGGTAGTTAATGCGATTGCACGTTTAATTACCTTAGGAACAGATGCCCGAGGCTATTAGTACCTTAAAGTTCTAGAAATCGTTATTTTACATAAAAGTTGGCATTGTTGGAGCACGTACTTCAACAACGTTGGTGTGAAAAGGGTCACATGTGTTGAAACAGTACTTTTTCCGTGTCAAAAAAGCTACTGTGTTGGAGGTTAATTTTATTGACTGTGGTTTAAATAGGGCATACAGGTTTTCATCTTTTCTGGTCAAAGATGCCATTACTCACGTGGGTGTAGCTGGTCAGAGTCGCGCTTGTGTAAAACGCGTTGTATGGTTTTCCGTATAAGGTTACTTTTCTACGCAAAACCTCTATTCATTATACAGGAATGATGGCAATAGTGAAAAATAATGCAGTTGGTACAGGTTTTTCTTTTTTTTCAATGTGTAGATGTGTAGGCAATGATTGCATATGTATATGAGCAATGGTACTTAGATGCTTTTTATAAAAGCACGAAAACATGTTGGTCAAAAAAGTCTAAAAAGTTGACTGTCCAGAAAACCAATACAAAGTCACAGAGAGCTCTACATTTTCTCAAGCAAACTTAAAGAAGGAATAGAAGAAAACGGAAAGGGGCAGGGACATTTTCAAGTATTGTCTAAAAGCACGCTGCATCTTATTGTAATCCCCTTGCTCGCGCCACCCACACGCCAAGAATGGGGAGATTTTGCCGCTTCCCCTTACATTGGATACAAGGAGACTGATAAATCCCATGCCTTCGCCATTATCACACTGGATGGTGCTTCCAATACGTACCGGACAAATAGCCAGACGCATGGTGTGGATTAACTGTGAATACCTGCTACTTCGAACAACACCGTTATTAAGTCCCGCGGTGCGACTAACTCCTCTGGAAGTAGAGATCCGTGGTGTTTTGAAGGGGTTTAAAGTTTAAGCTCCCTCGGGGTTGTCTTGTACTGGCAATTGACGCACAGTTCGAGTCTAATAAAACCCGTGTTTGGAACAGTCGCATATAACGCAATGTAATTTAGTCCTGTTTTGTTGAGTAACGAATTTCCTTTATAAGTGGCAATGCATTGACGTTTATCGCTTTTTCGTATCAAAAAACACCCTTCAATTTGCTCTGGGCTACCCTTGTTTCACAAATTAGGTGGAGAGTCTAACTTGCTAATAAATCTACGCTGCGTGAGTTATGAAGCAGGAAGTAGTTGTTTGCATTTCGATCACTGCAAACTCCTTTAAAACATATTTTCCGATTTTTAGAACATACGTTATAGAACTTCAGGTAAACTTGAACGCTTTGGTCATCATAACAGATGAAAAAATTCATTTTCATTTTTTGAGCACATTTTTTCTTTTTGTGTTTTTCTGTCTTTTTCCTTCTTTTTTTGTGATTCATTTAATTTCAATTAATGATGTTAAGGACGTCAGTCATTTGTGGCCGTCGTATATGTAATCGCTTTATCTTGACACGGCACGCTTTAAGTGAATACAATCTTACATAGCATGACCACAAAGTAATCTAAATGATGTTAATAAGTGAAACAGATTATAGGTAGCCAGAGTTATTCCTTAATCCACATAAACCATTAGCCTCTGGTCAAAAATAGCGTTTACTACAATTTCACTACGTGTGTACTACAAAAAACTTCCAGAAGCTCTGCATATGAATGACTCTTCCCATGTTGATGCAAACTACAATTTGTAATAAGAGAAAACACCAAAAATGTGCTGTTCGTTACACCTCACTTCCTAGGAATCCTGTTGCCACGAAACCATTGAGTATCCAACGTAATTAAATTCCCTGGATTATAACATGAAGCATCTCGTAATGATAACGTAACAAAATCTGTTTCACGTTTGGTACGATGTATAATGGTTTCTGTAATGGGTTGTCTAAATAAATATTGGTGTTTTACTGTATAGATGCAAGCTGGATCGTTGAGACTGGCATTGGTTCCAGACAACACCACACCCCCGGTCGTTTGGCACCGTTAGGCCGTAATCGATACCAAATGCGGCAAATTTACTTAATATTCAAGAAAATTTAATTAGAAATCGGACACACTGGTCATTCTAGCACACAAGCAAAGTTCATCCTTGCAATCAAATTGGTCATTGGAGTTTGTAAACATTCAATCTCATCGACATGTATTAGGTAAAGGACAATGGAAGCAACCTGGTGATAACGGATGATGTATGTTAGATTCCAGAAATCTCTACAGAGGTGCTTTAGTAATATAATGTTGTGTAGGAGAAAAGCAACCTGGTCAAGAATCATTTTATCATGAGCGCAGTACAATGTAGGCCTACAAGTGTGCACAGTAGAGAAGTAAGTTTTGTTCCCAGCCCCTACAAACGATTTTTGAGCACAAACAGTTTTTATTACCTTAATTAGGCATTTATTTGCTGCTGGAGCGTCCCCGAGTCAAGGAACTGAAATAATCGCTCCAAATGGCGTGGGATACATTTTTATCATTCGACTTGATGAATTGATTGTACCATTTAATGAAAAATACCTTGGTTCAAAAGCGGAACGGTATTTTGCAATATTCTTTTCATGTGAAACGAAATGGAAAGGCTGATTTTATTGCCTGTAATCACTAATTTGTGATCCTAAAATTGCCGATGTGGACCGCCTGCGGATATGTTGTTCCGAAACCTAAAACCGATGCAGGCATTCGAGTACGCTTTGCACTTTCTAGACAGGTGTGTTTGAGAACTCTTTCGCCTGTTACGTGCATTCGCCATTATGACCCTTGACTTGTGTAGATGCCAATGTTGTATCAATGAGTTTAAAGAAACAACGGCTTCCTCTCTGACCTACAATTTGACAGACATTGATGACTGACAGTTGAATTGGAATTATGTTAGTTCAGAACATGTCTCGACGAAGTGCTCTTGACTGAAATCGTCACAGGAAACGGTTTGAACTTTTGTACAGAATTTTTGGTTTACATTTTCTCGAATTACATGTATGACTTAAGGAAGCAATTTTTTTTCATTTTTCTAATTTGCTCTTGTCAGTAATCGAACGAAAATAATTTCTCAGAAATAACTACTATCACAATAGCTGCCAGCGGCAATCCGAATCCAAGTGTTTCAACATGAAAATCACAATTCTTTCTTAGGTCAGAACCTAAGCCTTTCTAGCCTATCTAGCCTTTTACCAATTCATTTCAATTCTATATACATGTTCCCTGTGTTAATCGGTGCCTTTCAACGGTTGAAGCCGAGTCTGAAGCAAACTCGAGATTTTTCATTCATTCTGACAGCTTTACTTTCTATATTATAAGGGAGGCTTTTTTGGCTTTTTTATTTTCGGTTTAAAATCTGAATAGATATTGTGGAATTCCTAAACCTAGAGTCAGCCATTCGACTCACGGTATAAAATGTTCATGGTACAGAATCCCATACCATTCCCATGATAAAAAAAAGCCGTACCGTGTTCATGGTACAAAAGCCGCGCAGCATTCAACAAACTATACGCAGTAACCGTTTTCTTATTGAGGATACATGTTAGACGATCAACCGTGTTTTATTGTCTTTTTTTAATTTTTTCAGGATTATACTATAACTTTATACCTAAATCAGTACTGGAGAGACGAAAGACTTCAGTTCTCAAACGCGGATGAATACATGACCCTTACTGGGGACTTTGCAGAGAAGATTTGGGTCCCTGATACGTTTTTCGCCAACGACAAAAACTCGTTCTTGCACGAAGTAACAGAGAAAAACAAAATGGTCCGACTCTATGGAGATGGTTCTATAGCCTATGGAATGAGGTAACGATGGCTTACTGATTTGGATTTCATTGCATAGTAATTGCTTAATAATTGCGAAACTGTGTTCATATTTTGATTACTTTGTTATATATATGACTTTAAAAAAATAAGGAAAAAAGCTATTAAGCGGTAAATTTAGAATCATTTTCACCAGAAAGAAAGAAAGAATTCAAATTTTCTTGCTGTAAATGAAGTAGAGATTCAACCATTGTTCACTGTTTCCAGATTTACGACAACTTTAGCTTGCATGATGGATTTACATTACTATCCACTGGACGAGCAGAACTGTACCATAGAGATGGAAAGCTGTGAGTATCTGATACTATTGACCATTCTCGTTCTTTCAAATTATCCAATATAATATCATAATTAAAACAAAGGGCCATCAATCAAGTAGAGGAAGGGTCCGGAAATTGGCCGGAATAAAGGAATTCACAAGTATGTGTGTAACGTGCCCAAAGATAATGCATCTTCTCTTGGCCCCCACTTTCTCACCTTGACTTTATAACGGAAAACCGATCTTAAGCAAACATACCGCGATACTCCCGTAACTGGTGCACTATGCGAAAATCGTCGTCAAAAAGTCAATTGTGTCTCTCCTTTCTGTTTAGTTTGAAACGTAGATTGATCTCAGTCTATTGAAACCGTTAACAGCTTATTGATTTAAAGCTCGAGGTTTTCATCAGCTAAATTGGCTTCGCATTTAACATGCTTTAGCACCATGGCCCACAAACTAGTTTGGAAACGGCAATAAGTGAGAGACTGGGCACATACAGTAGGCCTGGATATCAAAATTGATCCAAACAACAGGCTTTTGTTTTCAACGATGGGGAAATGGCGATGTACATTGTCTGAGTTAATAGAAATAATCGACTGACGGCACATCTTGGGAGTCGGTTGTCTCTTTGAAATGCGATGAATTTATGATTTCAGTTCATCTTGAAATGGCGGCCTTTTCAACTTACGTAACCATTACCAAAGAGAAAGTCACCATATTGTCTGCCACGAATACAATATAGTCTCGATTTTGCACAATGAGTGAATCTACAAGGCAAACTACTTCTGACATTTCCCCAAAGAATTTTTGTCGACATTATAGTTGTTAAAAGATCATACGGCAATCAATGGAGAATATAGGCAAAAACGTCAATTCAAAGCCTATTCATTAGCAGTGACATTATTCTTGGTAGTATACCACGTTCAGAAACGTATATTTAAACTTCTATGTTGAAGATATGCGCATTTTACTTTATGGGATAAAACCGTACCGTGTGCATTGTTTCATATCATAGTCTACATGTACACCGACCTCTACAGGCGACTTATTCGGTTACGTTTGAAACCGATTTGGTCACAAGAGTTCTTATCTGGTAACTAGGCCTCTTAAAATTTGAATTGAACGAGCAATATTCTAACTTCAGGTTGCACAGTACAATTGCGGTTTATTAAACCAAAAGAATAGCGAATAAAGAGTATAAGCAAAACATGTGAATTTGATATAGACATTTGGAAAATACCATTTTGCCAACTGTATTGAGTAGACCTTAAAGTTATGCTACAGTGGTGGCTATAATATGATGACAAGTACAATGTTAAGATAACGCGAATTATGAAATATAAATCTGATTAAATTTAATGTGCATTCTGTGATCTATTTGTTCTTAATAATAATAATAATAATAATAATAATAATAATAATAATGATAATAATCTCAATTCGTCTTAAAATTAAAAGCTAAACTAAGAAATTGCTTATTAAAAGTAAATTATCATACATCATTACAGCCACTCTCTTCTTTACTTTACATCCTCTTATTACAGCATAGATGATTTTATCTATTCATTTTTTCTCATTGTCGTAATAGATGGTTACGCTATGCAGGACGTAGTGATGTATTGGAAAGCGGGGAAGGACTCCGTTAAAGGCGTAGAACACGTGGAGCTCCCCCAGTTCTCCATTGTAGAGTACAGAACCATTAGCACGGTGCAGTATCTTGCCACGGGTAAGTTGCTAATTATGCTTTGTAAACGCTGATATCTTTTTTACTCTATTCATAATAGACCATTCTATTGGTAATCATAAGTAATGCTTCATCTATTTTGAACCTTTAGCATTGGCCAATATTTGTGTCTTATACATGTACATGATCAAAAAGTTCTTCATTGACATATCATAAAGTAATATCTTATCTACTAGTTATATATTCACCAACCTTCCTTTTAAGTTGAAAACACATTCACAAGCCACAATAAGTCGGCGCATCCCTTAAAACTAAAAGAACGGATGTCATATTATTGTCTTTCCAGGCGATTATCAACGATTATCGCTCAGCTTCCTTCTACAAAGAAATATTGGCTACTTCATTTTCCAAACCTATCTCCCCTCCATCCTTATTGTGATGCTGTCCTGGGTCTCTTTCTGGATCAACCACGAGGCCACCTCAGCGAGAGTTGCATTAGGTGAGTCTGTGCAGGACCAAATCGTTATTTTAATGCATTAACCTGAAAATGTATAGCGCGCCCGTTTCTTCTATAATGACTGCGTTCAGTAACACTCATTGGTAGTTCATATGTATAACGCATTCTCCACAACAAGCTTCGCGTGTTTAACGCGACAGTATTAGTCCTATATTATTAATCACAACTGTACATGAAATGAATACTACTTTCTTTCCCCGGTTTTTCGTGTTCCAGGCATCACGACGGTGCTCACCATGACCACTATCAGTACTGGCGTACGGTCTTCCCTCCCTCGTATATCCTACGTCAAAGCAATAGACATCTACCTGGTCATGTGTTTTGTCTTTGTGTTCGCTGCACTGCTTGAGTACGCAGCCGTAAACTATACGTATTGGGGGGCCAGGGCCAAAAAGAAAGCCAAGAAGGCCAAGCAGGAGCAGGAACTTCAGCAGCAAAAAGTCAATGGCTTTCGGACCAGCGCCGATGAGGTAACAATTGATGCACAAATAAACGCTAGATGACCGATGTTGATTTAAGACGTTTTTGTTTGTTTTTTTAGCTTATGCAGATTGGAATAATTCAAGCTAATATAGAAAATATGGAATTACGCGGTGAAAAAAAAAACATATTACTTTACTTAAAATTATTCATATGCCACTGGATTCAGAATTTTTTTCACTTAAGTTCTGACTCTTTTGGGACCGACCGATTTTAAGGAGAGGAAATGATTCCCTGACTATTGTCAGATTTCCATAAAATGTTGTCATAAAAAAGCACGTATTGCAAAAGCTTGACTTTGTATTCTTGGCGTAATTGCGAGTAAAGCCAATGTCGTTTGTCTCATCATTTAAATATTTTTTTTCAGGATGAATCTATAGAAATGCAAGATCCAAGAATGTCCCCTATACTAAGTCTTAGAAACAGACAGAGCTGTTGTTATGAAAACGAACAAACAATGTCGACAGCACCCGTACGAATGACTACGTGCTTACCACGTGGATCCTACGGTTATCAAGGACGAGTTCAAAGGCAGAGCAGCGCACGACGGAGAACAAGTTCCATAAGGAGCAGTTTTAAAAGCGGAAAACGCATTGTGACAGGCATCAGGGAGAAAGCTAAAACTATAACAAAGAAAGTACCAACGGTCAAAGACGTCAATAACATTGATAAATATTCACGGCTTGTGTTTCCGACTCTTTTCCTCATTTTTAATGTTGGTTACTGGTGCTTTTATCTGTTGGCTTGAGACAGGGTGTTCATTACATCCCACACTGCGCAGGCGCATCAAATTGGCAATATGGATGCAGATTTATAGATGATGTAATCCTAGGAAAGTATTGTTCAAAATTGATGGGGTGATCCACCTTACTTGACTTAAGATGTACCAACATGGTGTTACGTTGGACAGCTTTTGAATGAGAAACTGAATCTTGTCACACAACTTATAACACACGACTTTTGGATTTTTGAAGCATTAAAAAAATTGGCATATCTCTCGCACTCTTACTAATGGTTTGTCCTCTCAGGGCAAATTTTTCAGCCATTTTGAGAACTTGTGATGCCAATGAACTTTTAAAAAGTCAAAAAATAGAAAGACCTGTCTGGTTTCAACTGGTTTGTCTGCCTCGAAGTATACATTCATTTATCCATGGAGTGCTATTTGGAAACATTTTCATCGTGTCCTCCATGTATTTGCCACACTGTACGGAATATTTGACACGATATATGTGAAACACAAGTCAACAAAGTCAGCTCAAATGACAGCTTCTCATATACGAAATGCATTGCAATTTTCAGCACGCACTAATTCAAAACCGTCGCATGTTTACAATTTCTTATAGCCAATGTACACTATAGCAAATAACAGTTAGCTTCACTCTTGAAATATTTGGACCATTCTCATATAATTCCATCTCTACATTACGGTTAAATGAACAAACATGATGTTACGAACAGTTACCTAACTCCGGCTATCTGGGTGAATATAGTGTAAAGAAGAGAGCATCAGCGACTCATTTTTATACGCTCATAGATATTAGTGAAATATCATATAGCGCCTGTAAATACTAGAAACCTGTATGGTTCTTCTAGTTTTATGCAACTTATTATGTTGTGGGTCCGTTTTGTCATCTGTCAGTTTTAAAACTGATATTTAAAAATGTCGGAAACAGGATAAAGTTAAATGATTTACTTTAGTGATAAGCGATTTTATGAATAGCGGTCAAAACTGAATCAAAGAATTTTGAAAATTATTATTTAAATTTGAATACAATTACGCGAGGAAGATATATTTTACTTCTTCAAACTACATAATCTGTCATTTTTATGTTTAGTTTTATATAACAGGTATGAATGTACACACCATAGTTGTAGATACGCACAAGCTGAATCTAAGGAAACGTTTTTGTACAACGTTTTACAAAGCCTGTAAAAGACATTCTTCATGCACAACAACAGTTCAATGAGTTGCCAATCATCTAATAACCAATTCATGTTAGTTTTACACGTAACCATATCCTAGCGATATTCATTTTCATTATGGTACAGTTAGTTTTAGGAATAGAAATAGGTACATATCCATATGCCATAAGATAACGATCTACTAGCTATATACTACTTATAAAGAAATTGTACTGCAGATAAGGGTCGATGTGGATGAGTTCATTGACCATGGTTATGGTGCAAGTGTCCCGTTTTTCCCTGTGTGACTCACGTAGCATTGAATGCACATTTATATGATAACGCCATAGAACTTTTAAAAGGCCATCTTAACTGCAGTTTGTATTTTACCTTAACATGCAGTCAGTCGTACCTGAAAACATCAACCACTGTAAAATGCGAATATGCGAATTTGATAATAAAAATGAAATAATATGGAATAATTTGAAATGGTGGTATTTTGAGTTTTGAGTTTTTTTTTTTTTAATTTGTGTATTCTGTTTCCATTACTTTGGAGAATTTGATGGTGTTTGATGTTGATTGTTGGAAAATAGAAGTGATACGGGATTCTGAATATTTTTCAATTAGAAATTCCAGACACTTTCCACTTCAGACTTTCATTAATATAACATCATTCATAAATATAACTAAATCTGCATAAATGATATTCGAATGAATATATACCATTATCCATTAATTTTGGACTTAAGATATTTTCTGGTATCGGTATACCTTGGAGCGTCATGACGTATGTAGTGCACGTATGATTGAGGACACAGTTATGGGGTAGAATGCAATGTACCTCAAACACGTCCCAACTAACGCATTCCTTGCTATCAACTGGTACACTTAACGTGGACTTTTAGAGCAATAGTTATAAATCTTAAGTTTAAATTGAGTCAGTGTGTAGAAATAATTCATCTATATCTGAACTTTATTAAATGAGATGCTCCTTAGCTTCTGTTTAGAGAACTGATTTATGAAAGTCGCGTAATCAAGTAAAAAGAACTAAGAACAGATTTCATGCTCATGTCAAAAAACGAAAATTATACTGAGGTGTCTGGGTGATCTGTTAAACCATAAAACATTTCAAGCAAAGTTTTGAATATAAAAGTTGTGCAACGTTTGGTACATTCGTCACATTTAGGCTTTTTGTCATGGTCTTTTTTCAAACGTTTTCAAGCCAGGCAGGTTAATTCTTAACCATCAACGACGCATGACAACATTGTGTCCAGAAATTTGCTCCATTATGTTTCACCCATGTTCGATACACAGTCTTCTTACTTGATAAAGAGCGGTAAACACAACCTTCTTGGCTGTCGATTTTGATATGTAGACAAGCGATAACAGAGCCTAAACCAATCCAGCTGACACCTGAGACCCATGTAGCTGGGGAAGAAAAAATCCTGCTCTATCTCAAATTTAACTTGATATGTAGTTATACAAACATGAATTCTACTCTAAGTTCATTTCGAATGTAGGCTGTATGTTATATGTGTTGATAACAGATATCAAATCACCACGTAAAGACGTAACGACACACAAACAAGTGACAAACATAGAAAACGTATACAAACTTGAAATGAGGATGTAGACATTAGAGAAAATACATTTTGATTTTCGCTCAAGACGGAAATGGCTACATGGGGTAGTATGATGCTGCGGGATCATTACCGTAGGAGTAAGTACAGTAGATTGAACATAGATAGGTTTATCTGTATTTCGGTAAAATGGCCTGTTCGCGTTCTCTGGAAAATATTGCCTACTCAATAGGATAGACCCCAATATTTACATGTATTATCCTTTTGTTAATACGACGTTAAACAATAGCTCTATAGTAGTGCTATGCTGAGCTGCTATGCTGGCAACTAGTAACACTATTCAACTTGGAATACGATGAGAATACAAATCGTGCAGTGCATGTGGTTCTATTCAGTAGTACCGATGTCAACAGGGCGACATTTTTTTTTAAACAGGTGCTTCTCTCTGGCGTCATTCTGATTTTCATTCTATTCAGATATGACGTCACTGAATTTTCTTCAATTGTCCCTGTGCACAAGAAGTCAATTAGCGAACTGGGGACCGAAGACAACAGGATAACCTTTTACGATGGACCTTAGTGCCTCCTCGTATCCCTTTATTTAATTGCAATTTTTTTCAAATTCACCTTTTTCTAAATATACAATGAAAAGTTGTCATCACAAAACCATGTGTACACAGCCAATTTGGGGTTCTGTCTGGGCGGACATATCATGACTTATAACCTGACAAATATTGCACCTGTGGTGAGGTTCATGGAAATAAACCCATTCTTTCAGTGACAAATGGTGTCGGATGGAGGGGTATTTGTACTCCCCTCAACCTCTTTCCATTGTTTTCTACGTCAACATTTACTCAGCAAATTACTATTTAAAATTCATTTCTTTGCTTTTAAAGTGGATATCAACTTGGGATTTCCATAAAAAAATTCTCAATTTGCATTAGGTTAAAGAGTTTATTCTCATTTCTGTTGTGCCTGAGGTAATGCGATGCGTACAAAGAAACCGTGATGAAACAGTCCACAGGTTTGGAAACTTGTTAGAGAGAAATTATTTGCTCAGGCACTCAATAAAGTGGTCTGGGTGTATTAAACAGGTAGATAGCAAATAGACGATGAATCTTAAGACAACATTATCGGACAAACGATACCTTAGCCTCTCCTACAACAATACCTTTCCTAATGATGGTAAACTGAATAGAAGCTGAATGGAGAATGTTGATATTTATTTTACTTCACAATTCGATTCATGACGAAGTGTTCCATAATTTCATTCACACTTTAGAACTTACCTAGTATTTTCTTCTACATTTCAAAATTTGCGACAAACTTAAGTTTACTCGAAACGAAATGAGAAAGATGTATGAACTTAAACGAGAAATCGCTTTTCTTTTTTCGTGAAGTATGTATGGCAAATTAGGCCGCGGATGGTGTTCAAAGTTTTTGGACTACCGTGTGACTTCCTCGCTTCTGTAGCTCAGATGCAGTCGTCAAGTGACATTGACAACAGTATTCCCAGTGAGACACTCAGATCAGGGAAGCAGGACAACTTTAAACAGACAAGTTCGATATTCAAAAAACCGGCAGTGTATTGTTCTACATGAAAATTCAGATAATGTAAAATCACGACAAGCTGAATTGTATCCTGTAGAAATTGATTTGGATTCTATTTTCGTGTCTAGAAACAGCTGTCGAAGAGAAAGGGAAGAAGAGAGGCAGTGCACTTATTCTCGATATGTGAGGGACGCTTAATGAAGTGACTTCATTAAGAGAAAGAAAAGGACCTATGGTTCGTTTAACTTGCTGTTGCTGAGGTTCTGATGATGGTTATTATCGATTGTTCCTGGAAGAAAGAATACTTAGTCTACTAGACCAATCGACCACCGATAGGTCTACAACTTAATATGGTATCAACGGACTAATTAAGCTGGATGCTAGCGAATTTAATTCGGCTTGATGTCACACTGACAAGAAAGTACTGGCACATGTAATTCCTATATTATTGATAAATTCTGATTCCAACGGAAGAGTATTAGCGTAGAGCGACTTGTGGCTTGTGCAAAGACCGGGCTTTCTGTGCGCAACTTTCATCATTGTTTTACCTTAAGAATTGGAATTAACGAACATGGCATCCGCAGGACTGGCAGCGGCAGAAAAACTCTTCCTAAGTTCGACCTCGGTATCACCGCCACCAACGAAGAGACGGAGGCATCGACAAGGAAGGAGAAATCGAGACCTGCTTCAAAATCTTCGTTCAAATCAAAAGAGAATCTCAAACAATGTGACAAGAAAGTTAAAAGATCCGGACAGTAAACAGTCAGAAGCGATCAAGAACGCCATGGGGCTTACGTTACTGGAAAGGTTATCAAAGGGGGCGACTGAGGGCTCACAAACCAGTCCTAAAATCGTGTTTCAGGGAGCTGGAAAAAACGAATCAAAGACGGACATCCACCAGAAACAGCTCCTGCTTGCTAAATCAGTAGGAGAGAAAAAGGACCTAACAATGTCTAGGGAATCTACCAGTTTGTCTTTTCCCGATACAACACTTCTTACCCCAAAGCCACTGTCACCTATGTTTCCACCCAATGTGCGATCGGATTCAGGTCTCAGCAGTGCCTCCAATAGTTTTTCCGGCAATTCAAATACACAAAAAGGGGGACAATCAAATGGTAAAGGAGAGAGAGAGAGAGAGAGAGAGAGAGAGAGAGAGTTGTTTAGTTTGCATGTATTTGGTTTGTTAAATAATAAACTATACAATACCGTATAGTATATAATCTATACTTACGCTCTATCCTCTATGGACGATTCTATGTAGAATCAAAAAGTGTTCAAATACCTCCATTTACCTTAAAAATCAACTGAAATTAGGTCTTTAAAGTATATATACGTGATATTTACAGACGAAGACGCCATGGACACCATAAAACGGCGATTAGAAGAAGTGCAACAAATGACGAAGCAGTCTCCCGTACCCAGCAGTATTAGTCCAAAGCCAGCCATTGTAAGTACAATTCCTCGATACTCAATGTAATTATATTTTCATCATAATAGTAGTCTTTACCCAATATATTAAAATGCATACTGCTATTCTTAATTTTTCTGGCTCCAGCTTTGACTTCGACTTGCCATTAATGCATGACATTACTACAGACATGATCAAAAGGTAGAATAGAGAAAAATTTAAGAATCGATATGCAACACCTTAAAACATTGAACAAAAATCGAAAACTCTATCAAAATACCTTACATCAAACGTGTTAAAGTGGAAGTTTCCGAAAAGTTGGAATGTCCCACTGCAGTGTTGACTAAACATGTCGTTGATTCTACAGTATTTATTCCTGCTTTGACCAGGTTAAAACGTGATACTGACTGGAGATATTTATAAATTTATTTCTACTAAGAATTAAATGAAACTTTACAATTAATGGTAAATTTCAGGTACTCATTGAGTGAACTAGTAGCAATGTGAATGATAAATTGCACATACATATATACTTGAGAACGACAAAAAAAAAAAATAATAATTAAATAAAATTAGTGCAATTCAGAAACTAAACTGCCATTGTCAATTGCATGGGCCCATTTGGCCATACCCCACAAAGCAGAGTCCTAAATTACGTATTAAAACATTTTAAAGAAAAAGACGAAATGGGCCCAAAATGAAGTCTACGGAAGAAAGAGTGAAAAACTGTAACACGGGTTTCATGTTCGATGTTGGAATCGTTGCTTTTAATAAGCCCTGGGAATGCGTCTGATCAGATTATTACAGATAAAGTTTTTTCCGGGGGAATTGCACTTCCAAATTTGCTCCAAGCTATCACGATGACTTAATCTATTTCCCCAGTTCTTGACAGGGTATAATCATGATAATTAGGACTCTTATGTTGCAAGTTACTATTTGTAGAACTAAGTGCTTAGCGCAGCTAGTTTATTTGCTCCTTCACTTCGTCAAATATAAACAGCGAAGGCGACGTGATATGTTCACAAACTTTAACTAATGCGTGTATTTAAGGTATTCGTCTTCGGCTGTATCAGTATCGCTTTATAGAATGACTTCCCGTGCCAAGTGAATTAATTGTTTGAAATTCGCTTTATATGCTAAAAACGATGGAAGAAAGTGATGTGAGTCACAATTTAACCAATTTAACCACAATACCATAATCAGTATGAAATAAACACATTTGATTATTAAATTTTTTTGTTTTCAAGGGATTTAACGTGATGTCTAGGATCGCCACTTCCTTGAAAAAATTCAAAAAGAAGATTAGTCCTGCAAACCGGGTAAGTACATGTACAATATTGAAATCAGGGATATAAGACCTACATACATGTAGTTATGAACATGTCTAAATATTACATTCATTCATAAAATCAATTAAACCTGAGATTGTTGTTGGTTTACGTGTTGTTGTTTTTTTTTCCCTCCAGGCCAGAAATTGCCTTCGCCATTCCGCGCGACTTGCTTTGCTCATCAAGAATGGGTTCACAGGGAGAAAAAAGTAAGTGCGTTGTCTTGAATACTTTTAATTTTTTAACGATTAAGATTCACCTGTTCATGATAACTCGCTGTTAAATAAAACAGTTGCTGTTTTTTAAAGAGAATGAAATAGAAATTAAACGGATAATCGGTGACACCGTCAACTAAAGGCCAAGCACGGAATGCAACTGCCTGTGCAATATATATTATTCTTAATCAACTTCTTTATCTTATTCCATTATTGTTAGTTTTTTCTGAGCAGTGAAGTGATTGTATAGATGAATAGTGTTATGTTATGTTACCTTACAGGTATTACATTGAGGATGATTTCAGCGTCGACGACGACAGTGAAGGACAAAGTAAATTTAAAGATGTCATCACAGAAACGCTTAGCGCTGACATGTTCGTCAGATCCAGTGTAAGTGCGTCGTATACTCTTATAAGAGTCACAAAAATTTTCTAGGCAGTTACTTTAAGCTACTGCTTAAAAATTAAGATATACTCTTTATGACATTGAAGAAAGGACAAGTGCCTCTTTTGCGACAGTGCTACAAAAATTAATCTATTAATAAACTCGTTTTTATGTTGATTGTTTTACTTTCAGATCGACTGGGAGACCCAGATGTGTTTGAGAACTATGCCTCATCTCAGATCCGATAAACAAATAAAAAGGGTAAGAGTGTGTATTTAATTCATTAACTGACGATAGCGAAGTCAGAAACTTAAACATAAGTGCCCGACCTTTTTATCAATGTCGATACATCTTAATCATCATCACCATTATGTCAATATAATATCATAACAATACAGTATTCTCAAAATAATGTTAATACTCTACCAGTAAAAAGTATTTTGCTTCGTTGTTACACCAGGTTGTGTGCCTCCTTCGCGCCACCAAAGCTTTCAGTCACATCTTCCCTGACTACGTGGAGGAGGAACTGGCCAGATATTTAGCCTACGAAATGTAAGTAAAATGTCATTTATCNCTCATTTTGAGTATTACATGTATACAATCCTGGGTACATGAACCATGTACTGTTGTCCCGTGGGTCTCAGGGTGAATCCTTTGAAAAGGAAGGAAGCTGAAACTGCTATTTTATTTTAAAAGATGGAAGGACCGGGTCCCTTGTTTCTCCTACGGTCATAATATAACTATTTGTGATCAAGTTAAATGGCACATCTGAGGAAAAATGTAATTAATTTCCTTGATCATTATATTACATTATCAAAACATTTTAACAAAAACGCTACATCCACCTTTATTGAAATTTTAGGGCCGTGTCAAAGTAACTCGAGTACAAGATGTCGTGGATGTCAGCACGGACCAAATGTTTACCACTCCTAACAGGCACGAGCTGGGCTGTGGCAAATCCTTCAGCCATGCAGACAGTAAGCAGTTCTCTCTCTCTCTCTTTGTGTGTGTGTGTGTGTGTGTGTGTGTGAGAGAGAGAGAGAGAGAGATCATTTATACCCTGTAGAACACTTACCTCTTGCGACCTTAAGTTAGCTGTAATGAGTTCGCTTCTGCTGTCAAGATTATAATGCGACTAAAAGGAAATGTAATTCGTATTTGCTACAAGAACATACGACCGGTGTATTTTCTTTCATTGCAGATATGCTAGGACCCGGACAATTGGTCCAACAAAAGAAGATCAAAACTTATTCCCATATAGTTCTTCCAAAGGTAAGGTTATAGTTCTATCTTCATTTGATCAAGATATTTTATCTCATATTCTCAGTTTAAATAAGAGTTACTATGATTATTCAGTTAACTTACGACAACGTGAAAATATTTTTTCAGAAATAGGTTTAAAAAGACATTCGGTAAATATCAGAGCACATCTTTACTACCCTGCCTTACTATCCTATCGTCTATTACTTATATTTCAGATACCAATTAATTCCAAAAACAATTGCTCAAAAACCAAATGCGTCTCTGGATCCAAGGAGCCGCCAGAAGACGATAACGCCTCGAATGAACCGAATGAAAACGATGGCGACGCAGAGAAAGAGAGCGTAAAAATCGAACATTTAAAGAAAATTTCGCCTCAAAGCAGCGACAGCGACCTGGGGAGATTTTTACCACCGCGCTTAGAGTCCGTCGCCGAAGAACCCCAGAAGAGATATACAGGAAGTGGAGTAAGTAGTTCCCCTATACGTCCCGCCTCCCATCCCCCACTCCCCGGCTGATGGTCATTTAAGTGACATGACAATCTAATGCAAAAAATAAAAGCAAACGCATGGAACCAGCCCGTTGTATTATATAACAAAACTTATCACTACCACAAAAACTCGCTGATAGCTAATAATATCTATTACGGTTTGTTATAGGGCTCGCGTCGCATTTTCCCTCCAATTCACATCCCAGTGGCGTCGGGGCGACTGTTCCTCACCAAAGAGCACACCGAAATAGACAAAAACTTTAGACCTAGGCGGCAGAAACAAGACGGAGATAAACACCGACAAGCCTGCGTACAACTGGACCACTTGGGGCCTGGGGACATCATTGTAAGTGGACGTGATATATCAGCAATATTGAGGGATAGCGAGTTTTGTGATGTCATATCAGCTATAAACACTAACACTATGTCTTGTCTTTATCTAGCGTTCTTAGTTATAGGACTACGGATGGTTTTACCGAATGGAGATTCTAGTGACGCTGTATCGAATTTGACTAAAGTTGTAAATGCTCCATGTCCGATCTATTTTACATTTTCTTCACAAATTTGTCAAGGACGTTTTTAATTGTTATCTTTTCCTCTGCAGGGTCTAGAACAAATGCGTAAACCAAAATCTTGGGAGCCGGTTATAAAAGGATATTGTCTGGTAAATATAAGTGACTTAGTGTCCACGGTTTAAAGATGCTGGTATGGTAATTAGACATACTTAAGTGAGAATAAATACCTTCTCGAAGAGCAGATTAAGAGTATCCTACCTATACACTGTTACCGCTAAAATATATGTTAATCGTCCGTCTTAAAGACTGACTTAAAGAAGTTTAAGTTATCTACGTCCGTTTTGGTACTCTCAGATCAGCGACGGAGCAGAGGTGGTTCGTATCAACAAGAGGTTCTTCCTGCAGAACGCTGAGAACAATACCATGATTAAGCTGGAAACCATGGTAAATATTCACAAAACTGCATGCCAAATTAAAATATAGTCAAATGTTTTACTTGACACTCAAGATGTATGAAGTTCGCCGTAAAATATTTAGTCTTGAGAATTCTCACAAAATAATAGTTGAAAAGTGAATAGAACCTTTTCAACAGGGCAGTAACGTTTTCTTTCGCTCCAAAATTTAATATACAGTTTCCAATATCTTGTCTCACTTCAATCTGAAACATTATTTCCCCAGATCCGCGAGTACCTGTCCGTGGACGAGAGTAAGGGCGTATTGCAAAGGAAGGAAACGTGGGCCCGCTACAAAGACTTGCTCATGCAGAAATGTGTTGGGGATGTGCAATACAAAAAGAAAACTGCAGCATCTCCACGGTGACAAGGGTCCTGGGAGGGAAAAGAAGGAAAATCACAAGTTAACACTTGAAGGCTTTTGATTGCCCTCAAAATGTGAAGGATATTGGGACCAGAGAAGATAAAAAAATCCAGGGTGATCCAAACCATATTTAAATTATAAGAAAAATTAACAAATCTTATGCAAAATTAGAACAAACGAGGAACAAAAATGTTACAACTATGCAAGCAAATAAGATTATTTGCCTTTATTTCATAAAATAAACTAAGGTCAAGTAACCTCCTGAGAGAACAAAAAGTAAGCTTGTCTTGTCTAAGCTGGAATACATAAAACTGTGAAAATGTCAGTCTACAGTTTCATACTTAGGTAAAACTGCTTCTAACTTACAACATGTTAAATCATTTTGGTTCAGACAAGACAGTGATCTTTGATAAGCATTATCATTGTTGGATAGATAATTCAAAATGCATGAAATGTATTTTAACAAATAAACAGAAAATACTAAGTTAAAATGTACCCAATCACAGAAAATGTTGATAGACCCAGTACACTGTATAAATCAAAGAACACCTGACAGTTTTCATTCTGAAATTGTAATTAAAAATGAACAGGAATGAATTCATGAATGTGTGACATTTTCTTTCTTGTCTTTTATCACACTTTTGTGTGCAATGCCACGTTTTAATTGCTTAAAAATAAAATATAAGAGCAAACATCCAGCTCCATAAAACATCTCGTCTTCTACTTCATTTTCAACATTCAGGCTGACATAAAATATCACAACAAGGCAGCAAAGCTGTCAAATGTACAGACAAAAAACAGGAAATAACTAAGCACAAAATAGGCTACTGTCAATTCTGATGCAAAAGTACATTATGTAAAACTGCAAATTCAACATCAAATTTTAATTATGCTCAACAGGTAATACCAATGTAAGTAAAATGTGTAACAAGCATAAGGCTTCAGGCCCATGGGAGTTAAAGTTCACACTTTGAAAATGTATAACTTCCAGAAAAAGAAGTCGATTAGACTGCTTTTCCAACTCAGGCTGCATTTTAGTCCTGTATTTTTTTTTTTTTTTTTTTTTTTTTTTTTTGAAAGTTTGGCAATCATAAGTAACATGATTTTCCCATAATGGTCATCATGGCAGCAGCACCCAAAATTGTGTTTTCTTCTATTCTGATGCAATATTACATACTGGTTAGCAGCATAATGACCGTCAATTTTTAATAATAAAATATACGTATCATGGATTTTCAGAAAATGTGACTAGCATGGGTCTTCAAGCATGTAGAACTTCAAAGTCACACCTTGAAAATACCAATATGTGAAAAATTAAATTATCACAAAAAACTGTTTAACTGGAAGTAAGAATTACCAAACAGACTACATTGCCTACTGAAGCTGTATTTTAGTCCCATGTTTCTTTCCTGTAAGTTTGAGAACAGTAAGTGACATGGTTTTTATTAAATGGACATCATGGGAGCAGTCCCCAAAATAGGTTTTTTTCAAATTTTGATGCAATATTACATAATGTGTAACAGCATAATGACCATCAATTTTTAATAATAAAATATTAGTATTATGGATATTCAGAAAATGTGACTATCAAAGGTCATCAGGCCCATGGAACTTCAAAGTCACAACTTGAAAATGCCAAAATGTAAACAAGACAGCACTGTTCTGAAATGTTTTTTTTTTCCATTTTTAACAATTTGTAACATAAAACAAAATTAACAGTTTGCTGCCATTTTTATATGATCAACAAAGAAAATTGATGAGATGAGAAAAATATCAATAGAGCAGTGTTAAATGTCCAATTTCTTCCATTCTGAGATTCTGAACATAGTGAATGATTGAATCTGACAAACTGCAATGATATGAGTTTATTTCCATTTTTGAAACTTTATTACACAATACACGATAACAAGTTTACCATCATTTTTACAAAATCAACTAACAATGTTGTAAAGATGCAGGAAATGTCAAACAAACACTTTTACGTGTCTTATTAATTAAATAATGAAACTGTTAACATGCCTAAGAATTGAATCTGAGGAAATGTGAAAAAACAGCATAACTTCTAAAATAATGGCCCGATTATGCTGCTTTTTGAACTCAACCTGCGTTTTAGCAGGATTGACCACTCCTGTGAGTTTATTGACAATTGGCCTATCTGTTTTTCTTATATTGTGTTTACAGTGTTGCATATATGCTGAAAAGTGAAAAAAAAGCATAACTACTAAAATAGTGGCCCAATCATGCCGATTTTCGAACTTGACCTGCGTTTTAATAAGATCGATTACTCCTGTAAGTTTCATGACAACAGGCCTATCAGTTTTCCTTGAAATGTCTTTACAGTGTTGCATATATGCTGAAAAGTGAAAAAACAGCATAACTTCTACAATAATGGTCGGATCATGCTGATTTTCGAACCTGACCTGCGTTTTATGAATATTCATCAACTCTGTAAAAATATAGCCAAAAAGTAAAACTGCCTTCCACTTATCGTGTTTACAAGGAAAGTGCACGGCGCCGGCGACGGCGACGACGGCGACGACAGACGCAGGTGATGGCAATATGTACAGACACATCTGTGTCTGTACATAAAAATGAAAATAAATCTCCTAATATGAAGAACTAAATTGCACGAACCCTTAAGACAATTATCATGATAAGTGTGTGGAGACCCAATGCACAACTTTCAGTTTTCTACCCGTATCTGTTGCTATGACAGCACAAGGTCCAAACCCATTGTCACCAAAGTCCAGTGCACTGATGTTACTGTAGCCTGTCTTGACCACTGAGGTAGCCTGGGTAAGGTCCAGCTGCAGGAAATCTTGGTCATCCTCTATGTAGAACAAGTGAACATGCCCTGGAACATGAATTACTAGTAGATTACAAAAGTACACATGACAGAAAAACTCAAGAAAAATTATCGATAATAATTTAATAAATGGGTTTTAATAAATATTAGCAAGGTTGACCAGTATCAAATGATGATGAAAGAACTTTAGATGGCTAAGAGCAATTTTGATCTTAAATTTAAATCAACCCTTTTTTAATGCCACAAGTAAGAATGTCAAAGATCAATCTCTTTGCTAAACAAAAGACAGGTATACTCTTGGATTCATTTAAGCACAGGATAAAAGACAGAACATATCAAACCACACTACAGACCTACAGCAGTCCCTAATGCAAATACATTTCCCCACAGTGACATCACACAAGCTGTGGAGCCGAGAGCCTCCATCACATTCCAGCTGGAAAAGCAGGCGCCATCATCAATGCTGACGTGTAGTATGTGGTCCCCTAGAAAAGACAGTAATAAATGGTGATGATAACAATTAATGGGAATTCAAGCACTTTTGTGCGGTTCACAGATGGGCAGTTATGTAAGGAAATATGACAGAAATACTGAGAATCAAGCACCATTATGTGTAATTAGTGGTTGCCGTGGTTGCCTGGAATGGCAGGATAGAGTTGATACAGAAATACTGGGATTGGAGATGATACAGAAATACTGGGAATCAAGTGACATTATCAGTACTTTGTGGTTGTTGTGGCTGCCTGGAAATGCAGAAGGGAGATGATACAGTAACTACTGGGAATGGAGATGACACAGTAAATTACTGGGAATAGTGACATTATCGATACTTTGTGGTTGCCGTGGTTGGCTAGCATGGCAAAGCAATGATGATACAGAAATAGTGGGAATGGAGTGACATTATCAATACTGTGTGGAGAAAGGCAGTAGTATCAGGCAATAAGCAAAACCTTCAATATTTCTTAACTAAAAATGTCACAAATCTTTATGAGTTTATTATCGTCTTCAATGCTTTACCTGCAAATTATAAAGAAAAGAAAAAAAGAAATAATTTAATCATAGAAATTGAAGAAAATGGAAAAACTAGTTGCATAAATATATCATATATAATACTTAAGCACATCATTTTACCTGTTAACACAATAATTAGTGTATCCCTGTAGATGAGCTTTGCTATCCAGCTGTCAAACTCCCACACCATAGTGCAGTCATCATTATGTCCCTGAGCTGAACTGTCCACTGTCCAACGGAGCAACATTTGGTCATAACCCCCTGAGAGCACCTGTTAAATAATTATATGGTGATTATTTACTAATTTCATTCCTTGATCTTAAAATAATATATTTCACAAAACAGTGAAATTATTCAAATTCATGGGAAACAAGTTTGGTTCATAAATAACCCACAGCTTTCTTTTCTAGTTGAAAAAATTGAAAAAATGGGAGAAATGTGTACCTTGTTTTCCCATACTGCAATGCACATAGGCACCTCCATGTGGCCATGTAAACTGGATACTTTCTTCAACTTGCCACCAGATGTCACCTCTAGCACTGCATGGCCATTCAGGGTGTGATCTTCTGAGGCAGTGACAATTTGGTTTCTCCACAAACTAGCAATGTGACAGATGTGCAATCACAGCTTATGTTGATAAGTTAAAATTTCATGTGATGATCAGTTTACAGAAAAGTTATCATGATAAATACATATACAACCTTTTGTGCGCAACATAAATGCCTTCATTTCATGATCATGTTACCCAAGGAATTTCATGTGACTATAAAGCCACATAATCTAACATGCCAAAAACACATGTAAGTCCTGGGCCTGTTTTATTTCTTCAATTCAAAATGTGCACATATTAGTTATACCTGATAGATTGTATTGGTGAAGAGTAAGAACTGGCATGGATTTCTTCTCTCATCCAGTTATTAGGAGACAGGTCAATGAGACTGACCAAGGCATCACTGCCCCCTGAGATGAGATAGTGGGAATGGAAGAGGTCACTGGAAAATGACCACTGGTCAGTATCACTCTCTTCATCAGATCCTAGCACTGGAATAACACAGAATGAATGAGAGCCATAGCATACTTCCAGATTTCATTAAAAAAAACTTAGACCCACAAAATTAATCAATCTTGAATTCATATACAGACTTCAAAACAACATACATATTCCATGAACAGCAGGTTCTGCAAGTTTCATCATATCTTTAGGTTGTTGAAACATAAAAAAAAACTCTGACATCAATTAATCATTAATCTGATGATAATCACTGATAGCTCCGATATAAAATATTCATACATATTGTTCTCAGCACAAAACCTGTTAAAAATTAGTTGAGACTGTCAGAAGACAAGTTTCAGTTTTCTGACAGCGAAGTAACCATTCATAGATCATATGATAAAAGACATTGACCTAAGACCAAAGGGAAGTTTACCTGGTGAGTTGATAAGCTTCATGTCCTTGACCTCTGGCCTCAGAAGTCTGACATTTCTGGACATCAAGGCACACCTTTTACTGAAGAGATTATAACATCTTATACTGCCATCACTACAGCCATAGAGCACAGCATCTCCTGAAACAATTGCTAATATTTTAATGTTGATATTTCCATTGATCTAACTTGGCTAAAACTACTGAAAAACTCTCAGTTTTTAAATGAAAAATTGTATAAACAAACTGTGTATTTCATTAGTCACACTTATATTACACTAGTTTACATCATATTTTGAAAAGTTCAGATTTTTTCCCACATACATCTCATCAAACAGTACTTATTTAATACATAATTCCCATGGGAAAACTGCTGGTCCTTGACTTGTAAAGCTGTGCAAATTGTAAACTCTGAAAAGGCATACAACTTGTTATCACTCAGATTCACAAGGAGATGATCTCCTGTCTTCTTACCTGCTATCCTGAGGCAGTTCACCTGGTACAACATGAGAGCATCCCCATCATGTGGCATCTCTTCCATCACGGGCTGCCATGTCCCTATGTGTCTACTCCTGTACCATACACAGTAAACTTTCCTCCAGTATTCCCAATGTCTGGGACATCCCTCCACTGAGGACGACTTCTTCTCTTGGTCTAACATGGTGTCTAGAATCTCAGCACCTCCTGTAATGTCTATTAAAACTTTGTGCTGGATTTCGACCATGCACCTTCGAAACCAGAAATTAGTGGTCTTTTGGACATTATCCACAAGATGATGCCACCGTTTACAGACTGTCTTGGCTCTGGAGAATGTGCTGCCATCTAAGTGAGCCAATATATGCTCCTCCAGTTCGGGAGGTAAATTTTTCAAACCCATAGTTTACCAGGGTCACTGGTTTTTGGTGACAAAACCACAACTGATCCAAATCATATGGCCCCACTTTGTTTTATCATTTCTCTCAAGCATCTGAAATATAAAACAGAATTATTCTTTTACTCAAGAGACTAAATAACATCAGCCAAACACAACATTTCAGTCCACCACTTCTGGACCTTGATCATATGCATTGTGGTTTCCCATCAGAATATGTTATAACTTCAGGGTTCTGCCGAGGCCGCGATTCTGCGAGATTCTCGCCAAAAAAATAAAATTCTCGCACAAAAATTACCAAAGATGCGAAAATTCTCGCATACAAACCGAGTGAGGGAGCTATCATTGTTCTTGAGATGATAAAAGAGACATTGAGAGTGGCATCTAAAATTGTTTATCTAAATAATCATCACCGGTATAAATTTCTGCACATCGTCCGCTGCATTGACTTGTTAACACAGTGTCCCTAACGTCGTCATATTGACGATGTTTTACTGCATGTGTACCCTCGTAAGAGATCGTTTCAAGCAGCGTCGTCATTTGTTGTCGTAATATCAATAGTACCTCTTCATGACTACAGTCCAATCGGCAATCCTCGGGTGACTCCTCTGCACTCGGCCTAAAGTAGGTTGAGCGATTGAGCGGTTTTATTGGTTCTCTCACTCGCGGGACAGTCAATGATAGACAACGTGACAGTGATATTCAGCCTCAGTGAAGCGTGGTTAAAATGGCGGCTTCCTCGCCGAAAGGGAAAGTTAAGAATCAGAGATCTATTTTAAGTTTTATGCCAAAGTCAGGTGAATCCGTCTCTCCGCCTGACAAGTCTGAGAAAAGGAAGAAACAAATTTCTGTAGATGCGACTCCAGATGAAACTGACAGTTCGTCGACGATAAAGGTATGGTCATTCCGTGGCATTTTTATTTATGTTTTGGAAGGACACTTGACACTTCGTTTGAAAATGTGAAAGAAAGTAAAAAAAAGGGTAATAGGCCCGTTTTTGATACGATTATTCCTCTATATGTGAGTATGAAAATTGAAAAAAAAAAAAAAATGTTAAAAAATGACGGGTCCCGTTTCTGATATGTTTATTCCTCCTATGTGAGTATGATAATATGAAAAAGAAGTTAAAAAAGTTCGGAGGCCCGTTTCTGATATGTTTATTCCTCTGTATATATGTGTGAGAATACTAATTTGAAAAAAAAAGTAAGGGCCTCCTAATCAAGGATATTTTCATAGAATGCACTCAACCAAATGTGTGACCTCACCTATATTTTTTTTACTTTAGCCTTTATTTTAAAAAGTTGTCGATAAATCAAAGATAAAAATGTCCTTCCCAAACACTATTATGCAATTTTTCCTGATAAAAGTGTTAATTAAGTCATGATTAATCATCAAAAACTAAAAATTCTTTTGGATTGTGGTGTCTGGTTCCAGAAATAAAAAGTTTGTAAGTAGGAGAAATTTTAAGTTTTTTTTAAATTTTAGGTCTGCAGACCAAATACCATCGAAGGGCCTGAAAGAAAGAAAGAAACCAAAAGTAGTGCCACAGAAATTTCAACACGATTGGTTAAGAGATTATTCTTGGCAACGACGTCTTGACAATCAAACTTGAGGGGGGGGATAGGAGAAAGTTTGACTTCATGGAATGGAGAGTCAAAAACAGGAAACTGTTTGTTAAATGACTCTAAGTTAGTTGTTCATTATGTGAACTTAATTGGACAGTACAGATGAGCAGTGTGTCTTGTTGGCACATAGCCTTAAAGTAAAAGTTTTTATTTAAAAAAATCATTTGCAACTGTATATACACACAGTCTATTTAAAGTTACTTTCAAAGATGAACCAGTTCAGCTTGTGAACTTTAATAAAATACCAGTACAGACTAGCAGTGTATGTTTTTACATAAAATATCAATTTTGCTGATCTCCCACTATTTCTCAAAATCTCCCCAACTTTTTAGCTCAGAGGGGAGAATTCTCCCCCCTTTTTTGAGACCTTGGCAGAACCCTGTAACTTCAATATATTGAGAAATGTGAGAAAGCATTTAAATACTCAAACAAAATGCATTTTGTTAACTGAAGTAAGTTTCTAAATAGCTATACCTTCTTGTTAAAAATAAAACATGTTTTGTTGAAAAATGTTTTCAGGGGAGCATCAAAAGGAGCCACACTCTGAGTGAAAATATTAAACATGGGAAAGCGGTAACTAGCATGCTTTATCCCCTTCTTCCTACCTCCTCCCCCAAACCCAGCTAGTACACCCATGTGAAATATTTAGTTAACAAAGAGGGTGCAGCAGATTCCTTATCCAAGAATCACATTGCTAAGCAATCCAGTCTTTGTTCAAGTTATATAATCAGGGAGTATGCATCAAGCCTACCTTGATAGGTGTATACAGAGAACCCATTCTCTCATTAATTTCTTTAATGAGTTTGCATGCTACACAATGGGAAGTATGCATGCAACATTAGTTTAACTGTATATACCTGACCACAGATTAAGATTTGTGGCTTCAGGTTACAGGTAAAGGTTGATCTAGATAGAGAATTATCAATTTTAAGTTTTGAATACTTGACTGCATGGATGTTTGAAGTTGTGGAATCAAATTACACAACTTTTCTTGTCTTGATCCATAACACGAAAACTACTTTAATTGTGAGGACATATAGTAGATAGAAAAACTTAATTTCAAGTGCTAACGTGTCTTGATTTTTCGTGCTACGTGCACTTCATTTCTTGATCCAGTGTTCGGCCTTTAACCAGCGCATAAGCTGGAAGAACTTTGCAGTTGCATACAATCATCAAAACAGCTCAGAAATTTTACTGGTATCGTCTACTAATTTTCTAGGTACCTTGTCCTTACCGTATTCTGTTTTGAATCATCAATTTCTGTATATTTGGTAATATATTAGAACATCCTTTTCTCTGCATCTTAGGCCCAGCTTATCGGCAAGTAGGTTTGTAACATTAGTGCCAGCAAGACAGCAGAGGGTACCTAGCTTCTGCACGTGACGCTTATGGGATTACTATGCACACCGATAATACCAAACACAAACAAATCAGTAGCGATTTGCAAAGCTTTTAATATTTGGCACAGTATTCGGTATGACTGCCTATAATCTTTTTCATTACATTTAGCCTAATTGAAATCTACCTGCAACCCTAATGTATGACGATTTCCTGGTAAAATTTCGAAGAAATACCAACCAGTAATTGTAAGCTCCTATTGAATGCTGCAAGATGGCGGACCCAGAAAGATACGTCCGCGTTGGCAATAGGGTAAATATATACACAACGTTCATCTTTTATGGAAAAGAAAGTGATGTGGAGCATCTGAATTTGCAATATCATGAGGAGCCCCCATATTAATATGATAGATGCCCTTATATCTGATTCTTCCGTTACCATGCCCTTGTTCATGATTACAGCCGATTATCGTTTTCTTGCAAGTAGCGTGGTTTGATAAAGAAACGATTTATATCTTTTCAAAACTGTATTGGCTATTAATGTAGAACTTGTTCCTGAATATATCTCTTTTTTAGTAGATAAATAATCTGCACATCATAGGTCAGAGAAAAGTAGGAGGCAAAATACACCAATGCGGTCCTTAGTTGTGAAGTGGTGGACTTAACTTATTTTTATTCATTATCTTTTCCATTGTCTTTTCTTTTACTATAGCAATGTTGTCTTGTTCAGTGTACGCTGACTATAATTTTTTAGCAAAACATATTATTTTATTGGTGATGTAATTTGTTTTAATTATTTACTATTTATTTTTATATTATTTATTTCAGACTATAGACCTCAGTTTGTTGCCTGAAAAAGAAAGATGGAGGTAAACAAAAGGGTTTAAGATATATTATTGACTAACAAAGTAAAATCTAAGCCTAAATAATTTGTCATAACAGTGAATAATTGGCAAGCTTTTTAAAAATTCAGAACTACTTCATGAAATAAAATCATCTTGGGTTTTTGGTGAAAATTCTGTACTAAAGGTACCTTGAGCATATATATTGTAAATTAGATATTTAACCTTAAAGTTATGCATTTTCAAAATTAAAATGGTGGCATGCACACAGTTGATATACATGTGTGCTCAAAAATTTCAGATTGCGCCATGAAGCGATGCATGAAAAGCATCGTGGTCACGAGGCCATGCATGCTGAGATGATGCTAATCCTCATTACCACATTAATCGTGGCTCAGGTGGTCTTAGTCCAGTGGAAACAAAGGCATTTCAAGTCATATCAGGTGGGCTGACTATCTTTTATATATTGTGCTGTTTTTTCCTGTGCATGCTTGCTGTTGTTTAAATGAAGCATTGACTTATTTCAGTGCTCATTTATTATAATCATTGTTATAAGTTATCATTATTTTATCAGTGTGCTACTGAGTAAATGTTTTGAATACTTACATGTTTTAATTGACATTGTTGAACTTGTTCTAACAGTGCTGGGCAGGCTTCTTTATATGCTCTTTACTTTTAAGATCATGTTTAGTTTTTGTTGTTGTTATTATTATTATAATTATTATTATTGTTATTTGTAGTAGCAGTAGTAGTAGTAGTAGCTGTTTTGGTGGTGGTAGTAGTGGCAGTAGTAGTAGTAGTAGTAGTAGTAGTAGTAGTAGTAGTAGTAGTAGTAGTAGTAGTAGTAGTAGTAGTAATTAAGTGCTCATATATTTCAGATTGCAACACTTTTAGGCATGTGGATCATTCCAGTAGGATTCTGCATCAAGTTTGGCTGGTGGCGGTTTATAGTAATCTGGATCATTTTTTCCATAATAACTTTATTTGTAACATATAGAGCTACAAGAAAACCAATCTCAGGGACAACTCCTCGGTAAGTTCCAAGATCATCAGTGCTCTGATAACAGTTGTGTGTATTTATTTATGTTCATACTGAAAGATATCTTTTGAAATATTTAAAGTTTACAATCATACTACAAATGTAGAGTGCAAGGTGCATAAATGATTTTCTATCCCAGAGAATGAAAATGCTGTGAAGGTTATGAATATAGAAGTATGTTTTGCTGATTGTTTAAAAGTTAAATTAGTTTAGAGAACAGATATGTGTAGAGTGCAACATGCACAAGTGATATTTACATCTTAGAGAATGTATTGGAAACAAAAGTTTTTGTCGATTGTTTTCATTTGAAAAGTTAAATTGGTTTAGGGGAAAGACACTATTATTTACATTGCAGATTGGTTTACAAGTGGTTTCTTCTCATCTACAAAGCAAGCTATGGTTTTGGCATTGCAGGCTATGCAATTATAATGGGGACTCTGTTTGGCCTCAACCTGCTATTTCTTATCAAGCCTCAAACTGCTATGGACTTTGGTCTGTTATTGCTGTTTTATGGCTTATATTTTGGTGTGGTGGGAAGAGACTTTGCTGAGGTTATAACTGACAAAATGGCAGCACACATTGGGGTAAGTGCAAATTTAATATATTAGCCTTATCCCTCTCTCCCTTCAAATCCTGAAATGGTATGTATGGTGGTATGTAAGGTAGTACGAACAAAATAAATATATTTGAAAATCATATAAATAGCACAGAGTAAAAATCCCAGAGTTCCAACAAGACTGCTATGTTTTTTTTATTTAAATTTATTTTTCTTATTCCAGTATTACACCACCACAGGGGTGCCAACCAGGAGACTGGAGACTGACATCTGTGCTGTCTGTGGCAATAAAATATTAGTCAAAGACAATGAAGATGCAATAATAGAAGAAACTTATAAATTATCTTGTAATCATGAGTATCCTTGGTGACTGTTTTTATTGATATTGTAATTGTGATTATTATTGATATGACACAATTGTCTTTATATTAACTGTGGTTTTAAGTTCTATATCCACTCATTATAAAGAAGTTTTATGATTATGAGAGCATTCTTATAAAAGTCATTTTCAACATTTCAGGATAAGTAAAAAGGTCAAAAGACCTTCGCAAAGTACTTAAAGGAAATGAGATTATAACATACTTAAAATATTCATAGTTAAACAAATAAAAGTATATCTATACAATTTTAGCACTTTTCCCATTGTTTTCAGGTGCTTTTACTATATTTCATTTCATGGCATATTTTTTCTTCCTAAATTATGGCATAAGTTCCTTGACTCTAATGTCAGATTCCATGAGTTCTGTATACGTGGCTGGTGTATAGTAGGCAAGAAACAGACCTGTCCTTACTGCAAGGAGAAGGTGGACCTGAAGAGGATGTTCCCCAGTCCGTATCCTTTCTGGTTTCATGCTTTTACTTTGACTTTAATATGTAATAACTTTAAAGGCATGCAAAATATATTAATTGTGTATTAACACAGCGTAATCAATGTAGGTTTTGTGACACACAGAAGTTTCAACGCAGTTTTGCCTATCGTTCATTGCTTCAATACTGTCTTTCTGTCATACAGTATTGGTTTGTTGCCAGCAATCCTTATATCGCTTGGTTGATATTTGTTTTACCTGTGATTGGTTGTAATTCCTTGACTGGCACCTCAGGTGGGAACGGCCCCATGTTCTCTATGGAAACCTACTGGACTGGATACGTTATTTAGTTGCTTGGCAACCTGTCATAATAATGGTTGTTCAAGGAATAAATTGGGCGCTAGGACTTGAATAAATGATTTGTGAAATGCCCCCTTTTTAAACTGCCCTTTGCAAAAGTAGAAATATTTTCTGCATATATTTCAAATTATATTTTGAACAAAGGCAAATGATTTGTGTATAGAGAAAAACCAGAAAGGCAGCCAAAGTCAGTTTGCATTAACCAGGCATGAACTCCTAATAAATTAAGCAACTTCACAATGCTCACTACCGGTGTATTTTGATTATGTCCACTTCCGTGATGCCCTATTAGTATTATTTGTCGTTGTTGGTATTGAATGGCTCTCTTTGTAAGGTAAGAGGTCCTCCATTTTTATCATCATTTTCCAGTCTACAAAGAGTAGACTTTTTCCACCCCTCCCCCTTCAGAGCGTACAATGTTAGCTACAAACGATGGTCTTTGCCAGCAATTTGAATCGTCATTTTTTATTTTTTCAAAGCGTACATAGGGTATTAGCCCCCCCCCCTCTCCCAGCTTAGGGGTTTGTAGACTTGAGAAAATGATGATAAAAATGGATGACCCCTTACATATGTAGGTACAATTTTACTTTTTTTTTTCTAGATATCTTCACATAATGATGTAACATTAAAATCGATTTATCACACCAATGTGTCAGTTCTTATTTTTGTTTTTACACATACATTACCCATGTGCCATTAAATGGTTTGGGCAACAGAAAACGCCAACACATTTAATACGCAATGCATTTCATTTTATTGAGAGCAAATGCCTTCAGCTTTCAGGTCACATCAGCAAATCAACAACGCGTCCACACGCACCCAAAGTTTTAGAGGTGCATGGAACTTGTATAGTGGGGGGGGGGGGGGACGTCCGGGTCTTCAGAGATTCGCGTTGCATATTAATTTCATGGGTTTCACAAAAATAAAAGTGGCTTTTGACGACCTAACGTAATCTAAACGAAATTTGCAGAAACTTCCCGAACTTTTGAAGTACCCCATCCCAAGTGAATTTAATACCTGTAGGCCCCTATGATAAAACAACAGAATGGCGCCAGTGAGAGGTATTCAGATAATGCCATTTCTGTCTGACAGCTTCGTGTTTTTCGATTTCCACTGGGGACAGCTTCAATAGTTAGATGTCTACAATAAATCTGTTATTCCATATTGTAGCTCAGCGACTAATTAAAAAATATGTATGACTAATTTGAAAATCAATGTTCTGCGCGAAAGATAGGAAATGACATTATATTACCACTCCAAAGTGGAAATGGATTCTTGATTAAATGTAAATGGTGGCGAAAAACGTTTTATCACGTGAATTTTATGACTTATTACCTTGTAATTGAAATGAAAAATAACTAACTAACAACACAGTATGTCAAGGCAAACTTTATTGAACCGCCCATATACTCTCAACTAAAGATAAAAAATCATATATATAGTCATTAAACAATGATAAAAATACACATAATAATATAATTTCTGTGAAAATGAAAGCCTCTATTCTTTTCAACTTCGGTTTGGTAGGTAACTTTTGTAAACAATATTTTGATCTCTGAACCGGATCTTACAATTATATTTTATCGAAGGTATGCAGTTGTAAAACTTGTCTTTTCATTATTTTAAACCACTTTTCTAGTGGAAACTCACACAACCATAAAATTTCCTTTGAAATTTTGATTTTGAAGTTTGTTGCGAAATTCCTAAACAAGTTTTGTCTCCATAGATCTAAGTTCAAACAAAACTTAACACAACTTTATTTCGTAAATATTTTTGATTTATATCTCTGTTGGCCAGAAATAACACGATTTATGCAACCAAAATTATCAAAAGATGCTCTCCCTTATTTTAATAGCATGCAGAAACCCTCTCATAAATTACCCCACCTCTATCCAGAATCTGCCACTGGTCTCCCACTAAGCATTTATCTTAAACAGCGTAATTTTAATGGAATCTACATTTAACATACAAACTAATGGATGCATACGCATTTTAATCAACTGACACTGTAAATAATAATAATAATAACAATAAAGAAATAAAAACGGAAGACCTCCTCAGGCTGTAGTTCGTTCTTGTACCGTATTTCATCATGACCCAGCTACGAGTCGTAGCGAGTTCTTGGTAAAATCGTGTCTACGTAACGCCAAATGCCGTTATATCCAAATGCCGTTATGTCAACAGTGGTTGCCACCTCCACCTACCGCAAATGTTATATGTTTGTTTTTCTGGTTATATGCCTATGTCAAGTTGATTTGGCAATAAACTATACTATACTATACTATCCCCGTCTTATGATTGCAATTTATGCATTTAAATTCTTCATTTGATTAGGAATTTTTCCAAATGTAGCAAGTGGAATTAAAAACAATTTTTTTTTAAATTTCTATTCTTGCTTGTCAAGACATCAATACTTAGCCCTAATATTCCAGCTGCAAGTGACTCGCCCGTAAAACAGTCACTGTCAGCCGACTATATCGAAAAAAAAAAAAAAAAGAAAAAGGACTGCGTTATGACAATCCAGCAAATAAACAAATAGATAAATATATAAGTTATATACATCAAAACAGCCGTCCGTGAGTGTTCAAACACAAGCTGTGTCGGACTGCGTTCCTTTGAAAATATTTGTAGCGAACTTTGCATGCCCGACAACATTTCCCCAGCATCCGTGTTAGGATCATTTAATGAGGAGAACTAACCTCTTCCTCACACAGAAGTACTTGTTGAAACTTTGGTACCGCTTTGCTCACTAGGTCGCCGACTGGTGCCTGCCAAGACCTGGTTTTTACATTTTCCCAGTCCACACATTTGACACGCTTCCTCGCGGAACATCCTGCACGTCAAAACGTACAGGAAAAAATTGACGCAGTGGTTCAATTTACTGAAGAAAAATAGCGTCTCTCGCGTAGTCGGAGTGATGAGGGCGTCCCCTCCATTGATGTCGATAATTTCAATGATGACAAGAGGTCCAACCAATAACAAAAAAGCGCCAACTGTACATATCAACATGACGTGTGTACTGGCATAACGATGTGAATCTTCAGTGGTGCGGCTATGTCGTCTGTGTCTCACGTCAGTCGCATTTCGTCGCAATTTCCACATGATAGCAACATCCAACACAAGCATTATTACCCAAGTTCCAATTGTAACAATGTAATAGCTGTAATATTTGATATCTGTAAAAGGCGGCTCAAAATCACAGTCATGATAGTGATAATTAGGCACCTGCCACCAGAAGAGGTAAACGTTGAACGAGCAGACGAGAATGACGACACAGGTGCACGCGATCAGAATATTCTTGCGCGTGAAGACGCGCGGAGCACGGAATACGAAATGCACAACTGCAAACCTCTCAACTGTCACCATTAGTATGAAAAGATACGACAGAAACAGAGAGTTTGAATTAAACCAGTGCTCCAGGTTTCTCAGGATACATAGCCTTTTGACATCTTCCATTTTAGAGAAAAATGGTTCGACGGCGCAAAACACAGTCAGACTTGCCATCATAAGGAAATCTGCCAAAGCCAAAAATACAAGTATTATGAAAGTTGATCGTTTTCTTAGTTTGTCACTGGAAAGTACAATAGCCACAGTCGTTATGTTTCCGACCGCAGATAAACCCGTTAAAACGTAGACGGTGGTACACCAGCAAGTTCCAAATATATACCAGCATTCTGCCATGGCGCGCCTCTATGGTGTAATGTAGGTCTATTCTAAATCAATCCTGTCGCGTTTCTCTTATACTGGAATCCAGATCAGCGTCTCAGACCAGCTCCGATGCAAACTATAACCAAATTATTAACAGCGATGAAATCCATAGACATTTGGTGTCAGAAAAAACACGTCTTTCCCTGAGTAAACACGGCTTCAAATCGCTTCACTTTGCAGATGAAACGAGAAGTGAGGAGGATGTCAACTTTCAGGATCCTAATAAGAGTCAATAAACGATGTATTCCGAGAATGGCGGATGTATGCTTAGTCTGAATATCCTGTATCGTCAAAGTTGCATCCGCTTTACGGTCCACTGTTTTGTTAAACAGCCGGATATTACCCTTGACACGTCTCAGTGGCGAAAAACCCGTTGCTGTTATTGTGAGATAACAAACAAGTGTGCGACGTCTTGTCATGTCATCTTTATATATTATGATATGAAAAGTGGAAATCATAAATACCATACGAGAGCCATCGATACTGTAGATTTTGTTTACATGAATATTTATCTTTTTGCTTTATTACAGCATGCCTCACTTAATTCGTCAACTTGTGACTCAAATATTATATCGTTTTTTTTCGCAAAAAAAAAAAAAAAAAAAAAAAAAAAAAAAACTTGGTAGAACTGCCTTCCTTTAATATTAGCTGAGACTGAACAACTCGTCCAGATTCCCAGGTCCCTTAATGCCCGAGTGCACAGTGTGCGGTGCAGTGCTAAACGCCATGTAGGCTTTTTAACGGTAAAATACCTTATTTTTAACTCTCCAACTATAAACAAGATTCAACATTATTGTGCTTGTACCGTGTTTCACTTTTTCAAGTTCATATGTCTTTTATTCTAATTAGAAACGTTATGCTATTAGATAGTTTACAGCCCCATCCAAACCCGGTTCAAGGAAGGAATTTAAAATAAATGGTTGAACCGATTTTCTGGGTGTAAGCTTGTGTGGTAAAGGAAGCGTAGCGGTAACATGAGATTTACTGCGTCGTAAATTGTTGTCCCCTTAAATTATTACTTAAAAGGACTTCCCAAATGAAGAGGAAATTTTGTACACTTTTACAGACAGATTTTGATAATAATTTCTGTTCTTTTCAATTTCACAACTTTATAGGATAAAAACAATGCTTCCGTATGCAATTTCCATTTTTTTTTTCGTTTGCGCATAAAGATGATCGTTACCATACTTCCCCCTGCAAACACGAATGCGTGATCTTTAACTTTGACAACTGTACTTTTATATTTTGCACATCGGACATTGGGGCCATTCAGAAAAGATGATCCGAGTACTAACTGACCTGCCGACTAAATATGGCCGACCACACTTCAAAAGCGATGCCGCCGATTCCCGATGGTCTCCTCGCCTCCATACGCGCCATTAAACGGATTGAATGTCGACTCCGAAGTTTAATTGCTGGGTCTCTGCAGCGACGGCGCGTGGAGGCGGGGAGACCATCATGGAATTAGCGGCATCGGTTTTGTAGTAGGGTCGGCCATATTTAGTCGGCGGATCAGTTAGTACTCGGATCATCTATTCTGAATGACCCCATTGTCTTGTTGAACATCACTTTATTTTGATATAAAAAATAATTCTTTCCAAATTGATGACAACTGACTTAAAAGCAGTGCACTGATATACGCAGAATAAAATCCACAAAAAATTCCAAGCAAACAAAATACTTTATTGAACCATCCATATACACTCTTATAACAAAAAATTGTAATACATGAAAAAGGGACAATTAAAACCATAATTATTATAACATATAAATTGTGTTGTAACAGTATATTTATTTTTAATTAGTCTTTTCTTAAACAATGCTCTGTCCTTTCATATCCAATATTACCAATAGCTTAATTAATACAAAGTTGTCAATCTTATCTCCCTACAATAATGGTTGCTCAAGCATAAAAACCATTCCTTACTACTAATAACCCTGGTGGTACGACTATTTCAAGATTACTTCAGAATTACCCCTGGAAAATAGTACAGACATCTCACTTAAAACCTTTCCTTTCACAGCTTTGTGCAGCAGTATACAAAATGAATGAGAAAACTTTCCTTAACAAAATTAAACCTGAACTCAATGTAGATTTTTAAAAATCTGTTTATGACAGTTGCCTCATTATTGCTGAACTTTAGAGAAATTAATCAAGTCTGCCTGGTCAGACACGCCAAAAATTTAGTGGCAACTGGTGCACAATTCAACAAGTTCATAAACAAATATAGTAAACAATAAAGTACATTATCGCCATGGCAACAAAAATGAATCTGAAGTAGAGAGTTACACTGACCCAACTTCTAGAACAAAATATGAAATCCAACAATGGGCTAAGACTGACCAATAGTTTTCCCGTGAATGATTTTTTTTACCTAGATTTGCAACCAAAGCTTTACAAAATACTTTAAAAACCGCAAGTTATATTGAAGTAGAAATGGCAAGAACATCAAGGATTCATTTCAATATGGAAGATTCAAACTTTGAAAAAAATCACCGCACCTAATTGCACTTATGAGAAACAAGACCCAAAACCTTAATCAAGCTAGAAGCTGAGGTCTAAATTTTCCAATGGCATATCAGTAAGGAAAGCATATGGACTAAAAGAATGGAAAAAGAGTGCAGCTGTTCTTGAAAATCAACCAAGAATATATGATATGGAAAAAAAATGGTTTATCACAGTTAATAATAGGTGGTGCTACAGTAGTTGCATGAGAAAAAATTCAACATAAGATGAAGTTTTGTCATTCGAAACAGTAACACAGGCTTTAGTTCAAAAGCTGTTCATATCCTTAAAACATCAAACTTCTTATAGGCAGTATCCAAATAGAAACAAAACAAAAACCCAGGTAAATACAAAATCTAGTTGTCATCAGGGTCTTCTTGGTTTTTTCCTTTTTCATTAGCTCAAGATAAACAGTCAATAGGATAAACTAGATACCAACAAGTGTCCAGATTAGTTTGTGAGGAATACAATTCAACAATAGCAACTGCATGAAGACTGTGTAAGTTTGTCTGCTGAGACAAGATACTAAAAATATGTCTCTTCAAATAGTCTAGCACTCTAGTTTTTTTGGTTTCCTCAAATATTGGAGCAGACTGGATTCCTCTCAAACAATGCATGTTTTGTAAATCAATGTACCTGTAAAATATTTCTGGAAAGACCTGACAGTTACAAGCTTTAATGCAAAATGCCAAGCTTCTTAACCTAAATATAAGGCCACTTCCCTAAAAGACTCTAAACAAAATAAGTCTGTAGCAAACAATTTTGAATGTACCGAGTAACAACTCTGTATATTCATGGCAACATAACACTTGGTTTAAATGTCAACAAAACAGTAAAAAATAGCACAGCACAGCTATGACATAAAGAAGATTTTGGAAGTCTAAAAAGTGTGATTCACTGATTTCTGTTCCAGAAAAGAGGCAACTGCTGGTTTACCCAGGAGAGTGGTTTGAAGAGGGTGAGGTATTTCAATAATCAGCACTCTGGAGATATGGTTTCCTGAATTTTTTCAGTATCATAGATAAGTCTTAGTATTAAATAAGCAATGATTTTTATTTGTAGCAGCATCAACTACTTTTTTTTCAACACAATGTTTCAACTTGCAACTTATGTGATTATACAAATATAACAATAAACATCTCTAAAGAATACGAGAATACATGCTAATATGGAGAAGAAAATATGATTTCCCAGGCAATAGAAAATATTCCATGAATAAGTGGACAGACAGGCAATCTTTTAAATTCCTTTTCCTTTTGTTTCGAACCACACATCTGCCTATTTTTTTTAAAGAATGCTTTAAGAATAACAAAGGGAATGTTTCCAATAAGGTTTTTGGCCACAAATGAGAATTCACAACTCCCAATACACAAAGTAATACCTGCACAAACTGAAGTCCAGCTGGACAACTAGGACATGCCCTTGTCCAGGTGGACATCTGGACAACAGGGGACAATTTTCCTCATCAAAATCATGGATAAGTTTGCCCAATTGTATTAAACATCATATCTAAAACTTTAAATACAGACTTACACATGAAAACACGCCATAGCTTAGAGCCCAAATAACAATACTGATCCACAATGAGCAGATTTCAATAACAACAACTCAAAATGTTTGACACCCTGACAATCATAATCTTTGTTTACACACCCACTGATCTTGAGAGTACACCTCGTCTCAGTGGTGGGTGGGGGGATAGTTTATCAAAGAATTATTGCAATATTTGGAGTTTTTTAATGTCTAGCATAATTTCACTTTTGGTTTAACAAATCAACTGGTGTGTTCCTTTCTCAAACCATAAAAAGTCCCTGAAAATAGATTTACACCCATGCAGTGAACTGATGTGAAAGACACCTTCAATAATATCACACACTCACATACTTACACCCAACAAGCAGGCTGAAGCAAACACTTCATCAAGCAGTGCTGCCCCTATTGTGTAAGGAGAGAACTACATCATCCAGTCAGTGCTGCCCCCTATATTGTGAGAGTAGAACTACAGCATTGCATTCTATATGCCTGGGTGGTCAGATCAACATGAGATTAAAATTCCAAGATACAAATAGAACAATTTATAAATATTATTATAAACAAAAGCTTATGAACACAAACTATCACAGTTACCATACAAAAGCATACTACTTGAACCCAGGATGGATTGTTAGTAATCATAAGGCAATTCTGAAGATGTTCTGTTATCTTGATTGTCTCCCATGTTTTCCTAATAATTATGCTTCAATTAAGTGAGAAATATATTATACATAAATAGAGTAAGAGAGAAAGAGAGAGAGAGCTTAAAACCAGAATTTGTTTCTTGTCTAATTTTCCAAAATCAAAATATCTGTGATAGTTTGATATGTTCATAAACCAGTACCATTATGTCAAAATTTAATTAAGTCACAGTTATACTTTTACAACAATCAATATTTGGCCTAGCCTAAGTTTAACACATGCATATGGTGACAAAAATACAACACTCTTTTTAAGCTTTTTTACCATGCTTATAATATATAAGTATAAAATACAATAACAAAACACACTAAATCCTAAATTAACAAAATATGAAAATTCAAAATTTCAAACTGGATACAAGTAATAAAACTCAACATCAAGATCATTTTAAGAACCAGCAAAAGTCAAAGGAGCATAAAATTGTTTTTTCTTTTTTTTAATACTTTTGTGAAACTTGCAAAATAAATGAAGACTGCGTATAACATATGGCATTACTTGCATGGTAGTGAGGTTACAAAAAGTGATTAACATGATTATTATAATATACAAACAACCAATCAAATATCTTCACTGGTAATACTTTGGATCCAACAGTGTTGGTGTTTTAGGATCACTAAAACAACTGTATTTACAGCAAGTATTTTTTTTTACAGCATTGCATAAGACAATTTGTGACACAATATCAAACCATGTACCAAGACCAACAATATCAACTAGTCTGATACTGGTGATGCCCCAAACATCTCTGTGTAGATCTCCTAAAACAGGCAGTCAAAATGACTGGGACTTGAAATGAGGCACAGCAGTTTATTTTCTTAGGTATTGCTATGAGCAGAGTTCTAACTGGGTGCATCATGCATGAACAGCGAATGTAAGGAAGCATTTGATTGGCTGCTGAGTTTAGACAGTTCCAAGGCACTCTAAAACAAAACGTAGCAATGTAACAAGTTTGGATATGGAATTATTATGACTTGATATGGAATAGAACAGTGTCAAATATCAAACACATATCACTTAACCTTCCTATGTTATTCTTTAACCATAAATAGCCTTAGTGATGCATAAATAGACAAACAAGCTGTTTTTGGCCTAGGCAATCCATGGCAGCTTATTCAGCATATGCCTGGTGTGATGCGGTAAACAATAAAACGTCTGCCATCAATTTACTAGGCCAAAGGCTGCTCACTTTCCCAGAGGGGACTAGGGAGGGAAAATTTTAAGTAACATTTAAAAAGTTTTTGTTAACCTGTACCAGATAAAGTAAGACAGTACTTTTATGCATGTTTGCAAAATAGACTGCGCACACAAAACATTCTAAACTGTGCAAATGGTGTCATGCCATTCCCTTTTTCCTTCCTTCCCTAAAAGAAAGTGACCACCTCTCAACAGCCTATGCAAGGTACAGCACAAAAAAATCAATATTTGCATGCTGCATACTGAGATTTGGATATACATCCGACATGAAGAAAGACATAGAAAATTGATCCCTTGATAGCATGAGTCATAAACTCTCCAACTGCACACGATCTGCAGTTTCACAAACACAAAATTATGTTTTTTGAAAACCAGCCCTCTAATGGTTGATATAATGAAATCACTGGGCTTTTTCTGTGGGGTAGAAAATAGGTCATTTTTTTACAAATAGATAGAGATCAACACTATTATCATAAAATAGGATAACATGGAAAATATGTGTGAATATAAGTATATATGAATATAAAGTTTGTTCACATCTAGGCATAGTTTTCAACACATTAGCAAAATACAAATGAAGTAGTCAAAATCAACATGCTGCATAAACCAACCTTAAGCTGATATCAACACCAATACTTAATTCTCATTTTATCTTAACTCTAGCTATCATATATTATATCAAATCCATGCAATATAAGTGCTCTGAAACCATAGCCCCCCAAATCTAATCATTACCACTTCTTCATGATGCAAGGCAGTAAGAGTCCACACATTTTAAACATTGTGCTATATCAGAAGAATAAAACAATCATCTACCTTTCGCTACGGAATGTTACATAAACTGCCAATTTACTAGTGAGTTTAAAAGAGAAACATGGACATAACAATTTCCTTTTGACAAGGTAAAAGAAACCTTTGGATATTGTGTCAGAGAACCAGAAACAAAGCACCAACAGCAGCAAGGGAAGTTTCCAGACCAGATTAGAAGGATATATTGAAGCCACTCAGCTTTTTGGAGCACTGCCAATTTCCAGCACAGACACCCAACAGACCAGGAACAAATGGCGTTTCTAGGCACCAATTTGCTGTGCATAGAACACTTCCTTAATTATGATTTCCCTAAAATCAACAACCTCAATGTAATAACAGGATCAGAGAGAGAGAGAGAGAGAGAGAGAGAGAGAGAGAGAAGATAAAATCTTCACTAAGATTTATCAGACAGATTGTATCAGGGCACTTTGCAGAGAAACACACAAGAGCCAGCAGGGCTGGGACTCTTATTCCTTTCAGATATCAAAACAATGAGACATTCCTAGTTTAATCTGAGCCCATAAAATAACAACAGCATTTGCTGGAATCGCAGCTACCACTGTTGCCCCTGATATAGGATACCATATAATGCTGTGAATAGGAGCCGACATCTAAAACATCCAGACCCTTACTGCCAAGACTACATGATTAAAACCTCATTCTCCCATTTATCTCCTGCCTATATATTTTTTTACTAGATTCACACTCCTCTTAAGCGTCAAAGCTATGACTTAGTTTATATTATAACAACAACGAAGTGAAAATATATATGGTTTTTCCCTCTCTGGAGAGGCAAAGACCGCATAAATGCTCTACAATTACATTGACTTATTCTTGTGCGATAATAATGATATATAAATATCTCTGATGACACTCTCTGTCCTGATCAACACATAACATTAACTTTTCGATGCACATGATTAATCTTTGTTCTACAATCTATATTATATACAACTGAAAAATATTAAAATATAAAAACAGTCTTTGGAAAACACGATTAGCAATCTAAGTCAGATTGAAGCACCACACTCAGTAGTCGTTCACTTTATATAAATAGAAACAACAGATCATCCTGCTACTGCTCTTTCCACACATTAAGCAATACAACAGCATTATCACCATCATCTCAAAAGGGGCAAGAAACTCGATAAAAGCCTTATATTATTGGGTCAATATTTGATTTCAGGCAGGTTAGATGCTTTTGAATGAGCAGGTTTTTTATGATGCCTGTATGACTGCATTTAAGACCCTGGCACTCGGAATTTGCTGAAGTTATGAAAATGGCAGTAGCATGATATTTGATATCTTGATTCAAACTCTATGTACACCTTAGCTTAATATTGCCTAGATCAAAAAGATGAGAAGAGGTAGCTAAACTGTGAAGCAGAACACCTTTTTGTTAATTATTTCACCAGTGTTTCAACAGAAGGTGTCTTAAGCTATCACAACATTGAAAAATAAAATAGTTATACGAGCATCACAAAAATTCAAACATCACTGGATAGATAATAAGCACTAATACAGCTTCTTTGTTGATGTTATCTGAGGAGTCCCAAGGATTTAATTTCCGCTGCAGAACATTTCCGCACTTAGCATCTATTTTGAGCAGGCTGAACTTGAAATTGTGCCAACCTTGAAAATATGACAAAGGGGGGAAAAACTAACAGTGATGGTTTTACTCTTGCTCTTTTCTTTCTATGACAACCTGTGGCGCAATAAATTATAATACTCTTTTGGTGTGAAAATAACACAACAATGTCTGATATGAGCAGGGGTAGCAAATTCATACAAAACTAAACTATTTGCAATCAATGACCAAATATTAGTGACAAAAAGTCCAATTAAAAAAAGACCCTGAACATGATGATCGGAAAAAAAAAAACAAAAAAAAAAAAACTGCATAACCAGTCAGCACATCTGTTGTACAGCAGCAGTGCAGTTATATATATGGATATATACGTATGACAACAGCAGCAAATTGCACAAATTATGAAGTATGTAATGTAACAGAAAGCTAGCAACAACGTGTGTACAATATGATATTGCATTTGCATCCACTCGCCTAGGCAACTAGTGGGCAGTCCTGATAAATATATATATATATAATATTCGAAACATTTGTCAACATCTGGCACGTAGTTCATTTATCATAACACAACAACAATTTTTGTCAGAACTTGGTTCTTCTTTCAACAAAATTTTTTCAATCTCATATTTATGGCTTATAATTCTCTTGGTATGTAACTTCTATGGCGTTGGTTTGACGTACAAAATCTAACGATCAATGTGAGAACTGATGTAAAATCTATGTTAAGTTCGATCAAGTTCTGACAAAATTGATTCTAAATACTGGAAAATAACATGTGAAGCCCCACTGCAAATATTCTATATAAACAAGAGTAATATTGATTTTTGATTTGTGCTTTTTTTCTTTTCTACTTGACAACAACAAAGAGTATATGTAATAACGTTCAATGTTAACACTGTACTTTTCAAGTTTTATCTTACAAAAATCAACAGGTGCACAAAAACATCATGCTATATGTATATTAAGATAATTATTGTTTAAAATACTATTTCTTAAGTCTTCAATGACCAGGTTTGAAAAATTTGATTGCATAATATTTCTTGGATAAGATAGTAAACTTCAACAACGTGCAAAGTCTGAGACAAGGATAAAGCACACATCTGTCACATCATCTTTCCTTTAACTTCACACTAAGCCAAGTTCACAATTAGTCAAGTTCACACTTAGCCAGATAAAATACCAGAGCACCAAAACACCTGATCACCCACAGCACTGCAATACAACAGTTAATGGCTAAACGTGTTAATAATACTTATCTAGGACATAATAAATACACTGATATACTGTTGTTTGTCATATAACATAGAGACAAACTCAAGTATTAACATGCCACGTATGGCCCTTAAAGGATACCAATTGTAGAGAGGACATCATTCGGCATCGTTCAGAGTTCTTTCACCAGGCAACCTTCAGAGTTCTTCAACCAAGCAACCAATTCAAAAGCAATCATCAAGTAGCAAATCAAGTTTTCAGTGGGAATTGGTCATTCACAGATATCTATGCGAGGTCTAAAGGCCACGGTCTTCTTACATCCCAATGTTCGGTAGCTGGTAGTTGTTGTAGCGGTACACATACAACCTGTAATCCTTGCTGGCCAAGACTACGGAGCTGTCGTCCATCAGGGCCACGTCAAAACACTGTGCATGCTTCACCTTGCTCTCCAGGGCATTGATCAGCTGTCCCTCCTGGGTGAAGATGGTCAGGTTGAAGTTGTTGTGGTTGTCTGCAATGAGGATCTCTCCAGCCTGGTTGATGCCTACACCAATGGGATAATTGGTCACTCCCTCACCACCAATCTGCCGTAGGAAAACCCCCTGGTAGCTGAAGACCTTTACACAATGGGCTCGATTATCACTGATGAAGATCTCTTCCTTGTCATTCACCACCACACCATTTGGGAACTCGAGATGCTTTGAGCAGCTGAACTTGTGAAGGACATTCCCCATCTGGTCGAAGATGATCACCCTCATGACCTTGCACTCCACTATGATGATCCTCCCCTTGTTGTCCACAGTGACCCCCCTGGGGTGCTGGAGGATGTTGGCACCAAACTTGCACACAAACTGGCCATACTGGTTGTAGATCTGGACCTGGTGGGTTGGACTTCTCTCAGTCACCACAATGTCTCCTGATGACCTCACGACAGAAACCCGGTTTGGGTATAGCAGCTGACCATCTCGCTTCCCACACTCCCCAAACTGAAACTTGAACCGCCCCTCACGATCAAAGATCTGGATTCGATGGTTGTTGGTGTCTGCAACAATGATGTCATTCTGAGCATTCACAGCTACGCCGCTGGGTTCAGTAAACTGGCCCTCCATCACGCCAAACTCCCCAAACTTGCAGTGGTAGATCATCTTTTGCCTCTTGATGTGTGAGATCTTGGGTGGGTATAGACTGGCCGTAATCAGCTTGGAGGTCAAATCCATCACAGGGTCTGGGAGAGTAGTACTGGCTGCTGTGGAAAAAACATCACCCACACCACCATTGCTACCAACAACACTGCCACCACCATTCTGCATGATCTCGAAGCCTCCACTTGACCACTTCTCGTAGCCATTACTGCTGGTTGTGGTAGTAGACGTGGTGGTACAGAAGCTGTTCAAACTGCTATTGGAGCCAAATGCCTTGGTGAGAGGGTTGGGTTCAAACAGACTCCCAGTGCCGTTTGGCAGCAGCCCAAGGGAACCATTGGGGTGTCGAGGCATCTTGACCCCATTAGGGCGGGCGATGGGCTGTGGCTTCGGTGGCATGTTCAGGTCAGCTGTTTGGCGAATGTAACCAAAGGTGTTGCGCACCCCAACTTGAATGGCTTGGTAGTTTGACACAAACTCAATGTCAAACATGCTCTGGGCACTGACATCTGGGTTGTAGTTTATGATACTTTGGATGCGGCTGTCTAAAACTCTCTTGAACATCAGGGTTTCTGTCACACTGGCATATTTTGTTAACTTTTCGATAAACTCTGCAGACTGGTAGAGCTTTTCAATGGAGTCCTGCATTTTCTGTGTGACAGCTGATAAGGAGACCTGCTTGGAGTTGTATACACCATCCAGCTCTTTCAGGCACTCTTGCTTCCTTTCTTCAAGCATTGATAAGTAGAAGTTATATGTGTCATTGATCTCATTCTGGGCTTTGTGAAACAGAATCTGAAGGCGGTTTGACGAATGCTCAACACTCTTTGATGCACCACGCAGGTTGTTGGCCTTGACCTTGGCTTCATCCACCAGGTGGCGCAGCATTTCCACTTGCTTGCCACCAACTTCCGTGGTGACGTCATGCTCATGGCCCTTGTGATCCCCCTGGGTACACTCCTTGCAAATAGGGGTCTCACAAACCTTGCAGAAATACTTCATGATCTCATTCTTATGCTGGCTGCAGGTGACGCTTTTTTCCACGTTGACTTCCTGGTCATTCTTATTCTGCAGCTCCCCTAGGGTCAGCACCCTGTGTCCCTCAAAGCAATGCATGAACTGATGGGCCATTACACAATTTGGGCATAAGAAATTAGCACAGTCAAAGCAGCGTGCAACAGCATTGGTGTCCTTACTCTTGCATCCCGTGCAGCTCAGGGCGTTGCCAATCTCTGCATTGGCTTCCAGCAGGTTACTCACAGCATAATCAGGTAGCAATCCCACCACACCAGAGGCAGGCAGGAGGGTCTCCTGGCGACACGTGGGGCACTGGATCTTTTCAGGGATCTCCTGCATTTTCTCCAAACATGGCTGGCAGAATGTGTGGAAGCAACTTAACACTTTTGGGATTGTGTAGGTCTCAGTGCACAGGCTGCACTTTGTGTTGATGGTGATGTCAAGCTCTTCTACTGAGTTTGATGTTGACGTTGATGTCATGGTGTCTGTTGAGGAAGGTGCTGGGGAGGCCATCGTGTGTTCTACAACCATTGATCTCTCTCACAGGAAAATTGCACCTGGAATTAAAAATAAATAAATAAATAAATAAATAAAAATTACATGTAAATAACTGACGGGCTAATGTGGATAAATTGATACTTGATACATTAAAATACACTGAAACTTAAACCCTACCCACAGCTAAAGCAAGTTAAGTGAAAATATTCAGCAGTCAGTAAATTTGAATAGCTACAGACAAATATCCTCTAAAATATATCAAACTTTGAAAAATATATATCTATGTGGTGTAGGTATAATCTGATGCATGATGGAATGATTAGATTTAATGAGCATTCTAAAATATGGTACTCTCAATCCCTGGCTTGAAAGGCCCCATAATGACACTCCACTACCAAAATAAGAATATCATGTATAAATATTTACATTTAAGTTCAAGATCAAAGGATTTAGGTTGATCCCAAACACAAACTTCTGCAAACAGTGTGTGGAGGCACAGCAAGTGCCATTGATATCAGGGTGGTTTGATTGGTCAGACACAAATTATAAACAGCACACTAATGCGATATTACTTCAAACTCTACACTCGTTTCTAAGTAAATACTGTAACAGCAATAACCAAATACTTTTTTATTGGCCTAGCAACTGTAGATGATAAATGACTTTCATAATATTCTTTTATCAAAAACCTACTAGTACAGTAAATATTTTACCTGATGTTGCTTGCCTGACATCAGTTATCTCATTTATAAATGACAACAAATATTGAACCTTCATATAATTTATCACTTTCTTCATGATGACCTTGTGGAGTTCAGCCACGTAGCACATAAATCAAGTGCTTTCCATGGAGATTTCTCCTAACTAATGTTAACTTAAAGGTCATTTTCATTTGGGGGACAACTTTGAGCACTTGTTATATCTACTAGTACAGGTACTTGAGATCTTGACACCTCCCAGTCCTCAACTGAACTGAACATTAACAGATAAAACCAAATTTAAAACAGGTTCCTGCTGACAACTAAATGCCATGTTCATCAGATAGTCTATCATGTGGAAGCCTTGTTTAGGTCACCTGGCTACAAAAAAATGTAAACAAAATACAGGTGATATTGATAAATAAACTAAACATTAAACTAAACATTCATGTACTAAAATAAGATCTGATGATACAAGCATTGTTTGTTATATTTTTGTTTTACTTCAGGGATAGGACCTTCACACTTGAAATATGTACACCTAACACCCATTGAAAGAAGCAACAAATTATTTTCTGCTGAAGCAATGAAGAAATGTTCTTATCAATCACCTTTTCATGACGGTATGCAGGAAAACAACACACAATGTAACTTATTAGCAGCAAATCGAGTTATCACTTCTGTCGAAATGCCAGGTTTGTTTCATAACAAGTACCTCATATTTCAAACAGTTATGCAATAATTGCCTACAAATAATAATGTACAGATTAAAATGTCATTAAAATTCTTATTTGTTTTACTCATAATTGAAGTATTTTTATCTATATCCAGAGCTTATATTAAATACAATTTGGTATTATTAAATAGGTGTCACTTCATTCTAAAAAAAAAAAATTTAGAAATCAGACTGCTATATTCCATACAACACAATCAACACTCTTACTTCAAATCAGTAAATCAAACTTAAAAACATAAAGTACATTTAAAGGTTACTGACTGTTTTTTTTTTTTTTTTTTTTTAATTTTTAGAATTCACTGTCATTAAATATGTTGACACTTTCTCTGGTGAATTAATCACTTCCATATTGAACTTACATTTTAACACACAAAAATCTGTCTGTTCTTTATTCCTAAAAATGTTACTGTATTCATAATTTTAAGTTAATACATATTACATTTTTCAATATGGCCTAGTTTCTGATATCTGAATTTAAAACAGCAAAATACATAATCCATGCCCAATTTAGTCAAACATTTGGTACTTTTGTAGTATACCCCCCCACCCTGTAACTTTCTGTAACTTTCACTTTTCAAACAGTTTTTTACATTTTCTTGTTCATCTATGTCAAAGCTGTTGAAATAAAATGCTTTTTTAATTACCTGTGGACTTTTTATTAGTTTTAATCACGTTTAATCCAGCCCATTGAAATACAATGTTAGAATCTTCAATTTACACCCGCAGTCAATAACTTGCCGCGTTTTCGTTGGCTAACTCTAGGGTAATTTTATGTGAACAAGTAGCTCATAATAATTTCACAGAGGAAGTCCAAGTATACAATGTATCAATCCTATGTTCACATAAAATAAGGTAGAATTAGCCAACGAAAACGCGGCAAGTTGTTGACTGCAGGTACATCGTAAATTTTCACATTGTATTTCAATGGGGTGGATTAAACGTGATTAAAACTAATAAAAAGACCACAGGTAATTACAAAAACATTTTATTTCAACAGCTTTGACATAGGTGAAAAAGACAAAGTAAAAAAATGTTTGAAAAATGAAAGTTTCAGGAAGTTACAGGGTGGGGGGGTACACTACAAAAGTACCAAACATTTTACATCTTTCATAGGACCACACAACAACAGACACACCCATCTTTGACAAGTTAAGTGACTTCTTAAGCCAATAAGTGAATTTCCAAATTGATTTTACTGATAAAATCAACTTTAAACAAAATAATGACATAGGTGTGACAAGAACTGGGAAATACTTACATCTTAAGGAATATATAGGAAAGTTTTTTTTCAACTGTCATTAATAAGTCTGGCTTGTGAAATTGACATCAACACGCTGCGTCTTACGTCTTACTGAATACATTTATCGAAGACCTGTTGATATATAAGAACCCTCATCTATTAAAATACAAAGCGAACGTAAACTTACTTAAGGCGTGACATCAATAAAATCCATAAACTAGAAGAAAAATACAAAGTAACCATTACCTTCTTGAATAGTAAAGGCAAAGTCAGCTGATTTTGACAGCTGTCGAGGGGTTAAAACGAGCTATTTCACGGAAAGCCTTTTGGGCAACTATCTTCCTGGTGCAAAGGTTCTCCAGTTTATTACTGCAGTGCCCAAGAGATATGATGCATCGGATAAGGGGCCGAGTCATTTCTTTAAAAACATGGACATTGCAAATTCCGGATGAATCATACAAATATCGATCGCCATGTTTGACAACTGCGAACAAAAACAAAGAAACGTGAACTGTTACACATACGAATTTGCACGATCGCAATGGTCTTACCTTGCCGATCACATATACAAATTATCTATATATTACCTGTAAACCTATGAATAAGGTAATTAAATATATACTTACTTAAATTATAACAAATTTGAAATTTCTTTTTCTCGGAAGACAAAGCACCTTTCAACCCGCCATCTTCGAATACAACTGACCTCGTTTCCGCGTGCATCTCATTAGCTGGTGCCGCCATCTGCTGGTCATGTGAGGTATGACAGGTGCATCTGCTGAAACCCGAGGCTATTTATCTAGATTACTGTTCATAGAAAGACAAAGAGGAAGCATTCCTTAGAAAAGGAAGGATCGATCAGGGATATGCATTTGTTATGATTGTTCAGTTTACCGCCTTGAACACTTCTTTTATGACGTCATGCCTTTTAGAAGCATTACAGTTCATTGAAATATTTTGAATAGCCTATATGAAATGCCCCCCACTCCCGCTACGGTGCTCCTTTCACGGAATATCGTTAACAAAGCTGGACAGGAAAAACATTCTCGCCATGAGATACAGACTGCTTGCATAAAAAGTCAATAAATGAGTGTATAAACTTGACCCAATTAAAGCCGAGACAAATCGTTGGAGCAATTAATTTAAGTGACGCCGCACCCGAAGATATCTTTTATTTTTCGCCCAGCCTTCCCGATCTTGTCTTTCTGCACAACCTATTATATTATATTATATTATATTATATTATATTATATTATATTATATTATATTATATTCTTGCATGTGTAGGTTGACGAGACTTTTTTGTATCGTATCTCGATTTGCAGTGAAAATTGAAAAATAACATTTTTTTCTAAATAATGGCTTTGTAAGCAAATGGGTTTTAAATAAGAGTAATTAAGTAATTATTTTATGTCGTTTAAAAAATAAACTTAAAATGTAGGCACCAAATCATTGCGGACGAATAATGTGAGTTTTGATTACCATTAATTAACTAATTTTTAAAAAAGATTTCACTCTAATTTTTATGTGTTTACTTTAAGGGCATGTAATAGGGACCCGTGTCCCAATGGCGAAGCAAAGGCGGATCCAGGATTATTTGAAGTGGTGTCCGGAATGACAAGCCTCGGATGCGAAGCCGACCATCGCCCCTTTGACGTGTGGTTCGGGGCCTTCTCAAGGGCCCCGAAAATTTTTGGTGTTTTGGAGGGCAAACGGTTCCCTTGGTACGGTTTAGAATTATGATTCAGCTAGTCCATATTCTAATTTCAAGAGGGAAATATTGGTGTAATACATTTTTCAGAAACCGAAGGGGGTGGGGGTGGGGCGTCCCCCCTGACCCCCCTCTAAATCCGTCAGTGCGAAGATGGTAATAACACATTTTGATTGTTATTTTCAAAAGATTAACAATTCCGTCCGCAATGTAAACTTTCACGTCTTTCAAGCTTTATAAAATTATGAATTCACAAACTACACCTAAATCTTTTAATTTATTGTAAACAACTCATAGTTCTATGAATAATTTCTAAATAAAATGAATTCCATTTTACCAACAAAACAGCAATTATTATGGCAATTATTCTGGAATCTGTGTTTGTCATAATAATAATATCTTAAAGATTATAGCAAAACGCAAACAACATAGAACGGCATGGGTAAATTTAACCACGAGGAAGTGTTTTATCTATTCGAAATTATTACGGTAAGTTATAGGCCCTACGTTCATTATACAATGACGACCGATGCTTGATAGCGATAGCAGGTATTGGTTGTGGTGCGTCTTGAGCCATAATCTCAAAGCACACTCTTCTATTAAACATAGACACATACATATTAAAGTCTTATTACTCTATCAATCTATTGATAATTATCAAAACAATACTTATTAGAATGAATATTATAGAAAATATGTTTTCCTTTATATTTATAGTATTAATAAAAGATCAGAATAATGTCCAGGGATTGGAGATTAAGCAGCGCGCCAAGAAGGCCGTATTTTCCAATCGCGATCCCGATATAAACGTTTTTGCGAGTATTTAATCAACAGTAGGACAAAATGTCGGAATCAGAGTCAGAATCATCTGCAGATGAGCAGATGGAATCTGAAGTAAGTATTGATATTATGTTAAATTTATATAAATACTTATAAAGCGTCTTGCTTATAATGCACAAAGAATCAAGATGGCTCCCTCCATGAACAATGCCGCCGGTTTCTTTTTGTTACAAAGTTTTGAATAAAGATGGTATTTTGGCTATAATTTTCATAACATGACATTTTTGCGGTGGAATTTATCGACGAGTCTTGTTTGGTAAACCTGCCATTATATTATATGGACAGACAGTTCCTGTTACAGTTTAGAAATGAAATCGAACGTCTTCATTAGTTCATAAATATGATATAGCCTAGAATTGCGGTTGCCAATACTCTATTCTAGACAACAAGACACAGGGTGTAACTTCCCTGTGTTAAGCACTCAAAGACAAGCCCTTACTGCACTCTACGATAATTAACTCTTCTATATATCTTTGATTTTAGTTAAGCCTGGGATATAATTTTATTAGCATCAACTTGACTAATAAGTACATAACTAATGGGAAACAAATGTTAACAGAACGATGCAGATTAATGATATACCATGATGTGCTGTAAGATGCCCCAAAGTTGTATTTTTATGTCAAGTATTGTTTACACCAAGTATCTCTCCCAATGTAAACCTTAAAAACTAAACCTATAATAAAACCCTATGATTTTCAGGGCATACCAGGTCCCTCCATTAAGCTTAAGACACCACCTAAAGGAAAAGGAGATGACAGAGATTTTGAAGCCAAACTGGTAAGGACACTGCCAGTTAAGGGCATTAAAGGACACTAGATTCATGCTATTATGTCTTTGCTTTTTATCCTTAAAACTGAAAAAATTTTTATGTACTAAAGTAAATATATATTTTGACTTGTGACATGCATTTCTAAACAAATGACCAAAACCTTTATTAAGGCTTTTGTTTATGTGCCCATTTTCATCAATGTTTATCATGTAGTTTTTGGAAGATTATATTTTAGTTTTCTACCTATGTTTTAGGAAAGTGACAGGGGGAACAGGTTTGAGTTTCTTTTAAAGCAGACAGAGCTGTTTGCCCATTTCATCAGCACAGGTACTGGCAATAGGGGAGCCAAGACCCCAACAAGTCCACTGAAGATGAAACAAGGGAGGCCAAGGTTGAAGAAGCCTGATGAGAAGACCAAGCTCCTTGAGGCAGGAGAGTATGTATTCAGGCTCAGTGTTTAGTTATATCAACATATATTATTAGAAATCAAAGTTTTGTGAAATGTACTTGGAAACACAGTGTTTGGTGCACAATAGTTATCAAGTTACAGCTTGACAGAAAAATAACTTGAGCAGTTTTATAGTTTAAAAAATAGAAAGAGAAAGAAGAAGCATATTAAACAGTTTGTTTTTAGTAGTAATGGTGATTTTACATAATTTTGTTTGCCCTTGTTCCAGTCACCGTCATCGCCGCACAGAGCAAGAAGAAGATGAAGAGCTTTTAAATGAGGAGAGAAAAGCTCACAGTTCAGAATTCAGATTTGATGAAAGTCCTAAATGTAAGCTATTTATGAGTAGACCAAATAGTGAGAAAAATTCCCATGTGGGGCTTTGTTTTGAGAATAGTGCAGTTGCCATATCAAGTGGCGATAAAAGATGTTATTATTTCTATACTGATAAACAATACAGGCAGTAAATGTAGACATTAGCTCCCACCTTTTTATATAACTTATGCTGACTACCTTGCTTTTCTTGATTTATATTAATTTATTATTTATTTATTATAATCATTATTATTTTTAGATATTGTTGATGGTGAAATGAGAGATTATCAAATTCGTGGTCTGAATTGGATGATTTCCCTATATGAACATGGTATAAATGGTATCCTGGCTGATGAAATGGTAAGGCCTCTGATAGATCATACTCCTAAAGAATTATAATTATCACATTTTAAAGTTATGTTCTTTATGCAGGTTGCTTTTCATATTTGCCACAATACCAATTTTAAAATGTCTTCATTTTATATACATATATAAGGTTATGGAAGTATTTAATATGAGACAAAAAGAAAAAATGCCACAGAGATATGATTTCAAAAAATCATATGTAGATGAACTCAATGTTTCCAGGGTTTAGGCAAAACTCTCCAGACTATCTCCTTACTTGGCTACATGAAGCATTACAAGAACATCCCCTCTCCCCACCTTGTCATTGTTCCCAAGTCTACACTGGCCAACTGGATGGCGGAGTGCAAAAGGTGGTGCCCCACACTCAGGGCTGTATGCCTGATAGGAGATGCTAACACCAGGGTAATGATACTATGTTTCACCACTAGCAGCTTTGCGGGTTTGATAAATTAAACACTCATGTTGCTTAAGTTTCTGTTGTTGACATCCTTCAGTTCATTGTTTTAAGTGTGAGTGTTCAACAATCATCCAAGAGAATTTTGTTATAATTGTGAGGAAGGGAATTGGAAAATGATTATGACAGATAAATATCAATTTTAGCAAAAGTGGCGCTTCAGGAAGACCTCAAACAGTATGTAGGTAGAGTCAATTTATCACTGACTGAACTCCCAAGGTTACAGTATGTACTCATAGAGAAATGTTACATATTTCCAGGCTGCTTTTATCCGTGACACCATGCTGCCTGGAGAGTGGGACGTGTGTATCACTTCCTATGAGATGTGTATCCGTGAGAAAGGAGTGCTGAGGAAGTTCAACTGGAGATATCTGGTCATTGACGAAGCACACAGAATCAAGAATGAGAAATCCAAGGTAAGTGTTCTTGGAATATTTATTCATTATGGGTTCAATTATTATTCTCTTAAATGGAATATTAACCCTCACCAGAAATATTTTTTTATCATTTGGCAAAATGAAATATTTGCTTATAGAAATTTGTCAATATTAAAAAGAAAAACTGAGGCTTTTTTATTAAAATTATTTTGCAGTTGGCTTCTGTCAAAGAATTGTATAGATGTGAAAATATATTTTGATACTTGTGAAAATTGATCCATATCTTATTTCTAGCTGTCTGAGATAGTCAGAGAGTTCAAGTCGACCAACCGCATGTTACTGACTGGCACACCACTGCAGAATAACTTACATGAACTGTGGGCCATGCTGAACTTCTTACTGCCTGATGTCTTTAATTCTTCAGAGGTACACTGTATTTTGTACATCATTTGACATAGTCAAATATAGTAGACCTTGTGTTCTTTTAAAAATTTTAGCAAAGAAAATTATTTCTGAAGTTAAAAATTAGGATTAATCAATTTATTTTGATTAAAACTGAATGTTGCTTTTCTGTAAATAGAAAAAAAACTGACATTTTTTGCCATGAGATGTGAAGGTTAAAGTGTATGTTATTTACTTCAGGATTTTGACTCTTGGTTCTGTGCCACTGAACTGATTGGAGGGAAGGAAGAAATGGTTACCAGGCTGCACTCGGTAAGTTGTATGCCTGAGTTTACATCAAAATAAAAAGCTTGAAGAAAATTTGATGTAGAAAAGCCTGAATGCGAACTCATAATCAGTAATGTAAATTGCAAATTTATGTTTGAATAAATCCCATGATGCTAAATGTATAACCATGTTAATGTTTTTATATTTTGTTTTAGGTATTGCGACCATTCTTACTCAGACGTCTCAAGTCAGATGTAGAGAAGGCACTTTTGCCCAAGAAGGAGACAAAAATTTATGTTGGTCTCAGTAAAATGCAAAGAGAATGGTAAGGCTACCTTCACATGAATAACCACAGTTTGATATAATAATATACATTGCTCATCATACTTTCTATCAAAACTTGTTTACCTTTTGTTTTAAAAGGTACAAATAGGATTTGACTTTCTATGCTGTTATTGCAGAACTTGATTACTTTCAACATACTGTGTAAAAATGTGTTTTTCGAAAATGGAAAAGAAAGATTTTAAAGTTGGACATGGATTTGGTTTCAACTGAATTTCACAAGAGCTTCCCTGTAATTTCTTTTGCCCACTTTTGTCAGTGTGCCATATACCAGGTTGATAATCTTTCAGGTACACCAAGATACTGATGAAGGACATAGATGTGGTGAACGGGGCAGGGAAGTCTGACAAGATGAGGTTGTTGAACATCCTCATGCAGCTGAGAAAGTGTTCCAATCATCCCTATCTGTTTGATGGTGCTGAACCAGGTATGTGAAATTTGTTGATGACAGTCATGCTTGGAAACAATGTTGTACAAAGTTATGCCTCTGAAGTGAGATCTTTCAAATTCATGAATGAGTTTGTGAGAGAGTTAGTTTAAGATAATCCATATGAATCATGCTTTCTCTTCCTTTACAGTACAGGTTTGAATGCCTGGCTAGTAATTTGGTTAAAGATATACTAAGTTTTGATTCATGCCAATTGGATGACTCCATGGAAGTGGAACAAAGTATTGTAGTTATGAAATAGTGCAGTAATTGAACAGATGAAGTGAATGCAGTGGTGTGTTGTTTCAGGTCCTCCCTATACCACTGATCTCCACCTTGTAGAGAACTGTGGTAAGCTGGTGTTACTGGACAAACTGCTACCCAAACTCAAGTCACAAGGTAAGATGAGTGGTTGAAATGTTGTATTGAGTTTTCATTGTGCAAGTGGCTGTTTCAGAAAGTGCCTTAGATTCATGCCTGCTGCACGTTTTTCTTTTTTTTATGGCAGGTTTTTATTTTGATGAAAATTAACTAAATTGTCCCAAAACAAAATTCCATAATTTATGCTGTTCACTCTAATAAATCTTGTATTTTCAGAATTAAACGACTGTTGACATTTTGTTTGGTTAGCTAGTTTATGTTTTTAAATTCCATTAAATAATCTTTCCTCATGACATGGCATGATTCCAGACTCAAGGGTGTTGATCTTCAGCCAGATGACCCGTATGCTGGACATCCTAGAGGACTACTGTGTCTGGAGAGGACACGACTACTGCAGGTTGGACGGTCAGACTCCACATGAAGAGAGACAGGTAACACAGCTTGGTCTTCACTCTCTTCATACTGCTACAATTTGAAGAATTATTCTTGCTATTAAAACTTTGGAGAATATATAGCATGGGTTAATGATTTTTTTCCAGGTTTACAGTGAATTCACAGATTTGATTATTATCTTCAGTGTTAAAGAATTTTTTTCTTTCTTTCATATCCAACTATAGTATGTGGCAGGAATCTAAAACTGTTGAAAAAATAGATAAAATCGAAATTAATTTATTATTATTATTATTATTAATTTTTATTTTTGTAATTTTTGCAGGCTTCTATCAATGAGTTCAACCGTCCTGGCAGTAACAAGTTTATCTTCATGTTGAGCACCAGGGCAGGGGGTCTAGGCATCAACCTGGCCACAGCCGATATTGTTATCCTCTACGACTCCGACTGGAACCCACAGGTAGACTTGCAGGCCATGGATCGTGCCCATCGTATTGGACAGAAGAAGCAGGTGAGGGTCCTCAGGCTGATCACAGAAAACACGGTGGAGGAGAGGATTATAGAGAAAGCTGAGATGAAACTTAGGCTGGATAATATTGTCATTCAACAAGGTATTGTATCATATCATTACATATAATAATAATATATCTACATTACAATATATATTCTAATTATAGTGTTGGTGCAACATTCTGATTTTATGTGATGAATTGGTTCTCATAGATCTATATAGAACTGCCTTGATTTAACATTTGTATTTATAAATATCTTTTTATACGGGTGACTTGGTGAGTCTTAAATAGAATATCTTGAATTTTGGTTTAAAATCATGGAAGTGTCAGTCTGTCAATTTATTAACTGTATCAAGTAAAGAACGCTATATGCAGAGTTGCCAAAAATGGGCTCTACAGAAGAAATGAATTATTTTTGTTTAAATTTAGGTCGACTTTTGGATAGTGCCAGTAACCGCCTGAACAAGGAAGATGTTCTTGACATGATTCGACACGGTGCAGATGCTGTGTTTGCATCCAAGGACAGCACTATATCTGACAAGGACATAGACGCCATCTTAACAGAGTCAGAGAGAAGAGTAAGCTGAAAATATTTGTTTTTTTTTCTTGTTTTAATTATTTTATTTATCCACTTACTAGTATTTATTTTGTATGCATAATTTAATTAAATAAATTTTTCAAGAAAATAGATTTTACTTTTTGTTTGTAATGTTACACCACTTTATAGCCATAAATGTTACATGTCAATATTTCAATTTTGAAAAGTGCTGTTTAATAAGATATAAAAATTGACTACCGTACAGTTACAGCTTTTCTTACATCTGTTATAAAGAATATTGAATTCTTTGAGTGGAAAGAATTATTTTTTTCTTCTCAGACAGAAGAAATGAAAAAGCGACTTGAAGCACTGGGAGAAAGCTCTCTGCGAAACTTCACAATTGACAGTGCATACAAATTTGAAGGAGAAGATTTTCGTAGTCACCAGAAGACGTCAGGTATAGCCTGGATTGAACCTCCAAAGAGAGAAAGAAAAGCAAACTATGCCGTAGATGCTTACTTCAGAGAGGCCCTCAGAGTAAATGAGCCAAAAGCTCCCAAGGTATATAGGTTTTAACTTTTCAGTTCATTTTGACTAATTCTTACAAAGCATGAACTCCAAATTTAAAATAATTTTTAATGAAAGTAAATCTATCAGTGATGTGAAAATATGTCCCACACAATAGTGCTTTTCAAAAACTTTTTTTACTAGTTTGATACCACATCTACTTGTCAGTGCATTGTACCATTAACTTATGCTGCAGACCTTGCATGTAAAAATGTTGACATCACAGTCTGTGTAAAAGTAACTTTCTTTGCTCTGTTACTACCAAACGTTTTAACATTTCAGGCTCCACGACCACCAAAACAGCCCAATGTGCAAGATTTTCAGTTCTTTCCACCAAGATTATTTGAGCTGTTAGACAAAGAAATCTACTTCTACAGGAAGAGCATTGGATACAAGGTAGGCTGCAGTTAAATTGTACATTTTATGAGAAAGCTAGATTGAATTAGTGCAAATTTTCTCCGAAGGTATATCATTGAGGTTGATTCACAGAGTAATGGAATGTTAATATTTGTGCTGATGTCAGTCCTGTGTGCTTTTATTTACATTTAAAGATTTTTATATAATCCAGTATCTTGTTTACATTAAGGTCCCTAAAGACCCAGAGTATGGCTCTGACTCTGAAAAGAAACGAAAGGAAGAACAGAAGAAAATTGATGAAGCAGACGCCCTCACAGAGGAAGAGATTGGCGAGAAGGAAGATCTTTTGAAAGAGGTACCAAAGGATTAAGTAAAAATGTATTTAGTTTGCATATAAAGGGCATGTCAGATCACCTTTTATGAATTTGTATATTTCTGACAATCCTTTTTGCAGTAATTTTTCCCCTTTAATTATCAAATTAACAATGCCCCTTGTAATATTTTATCAAAAAATATAATATTATAATATGATTATCACTACATTCTAATTTTGCCAATCATTTTTCTTTCAGGGCTTTGTAAACTGGAGTAAGAGGGAGTTCAATCAGTTTATTAAGGCAAATGAGAAGTATGGTAGAGATGATGTTGAAAGCATTTCAAAAGAAGTGGAGGGCAAAAGTCCAGAAGAGGTGGGTAATCTGGTTTTAACTCAATTACACATTTGAGTTCATAACCTTTTAGAATCAATCTCTTTTTGTTCCAGGCCTACTAAATTTAGAATTTAAAATTTTCTATACAGGTGAATTGAATTTGCTTCTCAATATTGTTTGTGTTAAACTCCTTAATTTTAACTGTAGATTTTAGCTCCACTCTCTGAAAATTAAAAGTCCAATTCAAAAAATAATCTAGGAATGCATCCATTTAACTCTGTGTTTTTCAAGGTGATGGAGTATTCCAGTGTGTTTTGGGAGAGATGTCACGAGCTGCAGGACATTGATAGAATCATGGCTCAGATAGAGAGAGGAGAGGCCAAGATACAGAGGAGAATCAGCATCAAGAAGGCAATGGATGCCAAGGTATGTATTGTGCAGTGCAGGCAGATAAACAGCAAATGCACAACTTGACTTGTTTCAGTGTTGACAGGCCTCACATTTACACCAATTCACTAGTTCAAATAGCCATCCTCTCGATTTCTTTTTGATGATAAATAAGTATATTGTTGCAAGTGATATTTTACTTTTTTTATTTTTAATTAATTTTTTTTTTTCATTATTTAAATGTTACTTGAGTCACGGTAGAATATATCAAGCATTTGTTGAAAATGAACCATGCCAGCACAGGGCTCTTAGGACTCTGCTTTTGGGTGCACCAAGTAAAAAAGCATCTTCACATAATATGTTTGTTTTTAGATGGCCAGGTACAGGGCCCCATTCCACCAGCTGCGTATTCAGTATGGCACCAACAAAGGCAAGAACTACACTGAAGAAGAGGACAGGTTCCTGGTCTGTATGCTCCATAAGCTAGGCTTTGATAAAGAGAATGTCTATGATGAGCTGAGAGCCAGTGTCAGGCAGGCGCCACAGTTCAGATTTGACTGGTTTATCAAGTCCAGGACAGCCATGGTAAGGGAACGGTATAACTTATGATTTAAAGTTATATTTGCATGTTCAAAGAATGCACATGTAAAGACATACAATGAGGCTTGTCATTAAACTATCTGATACCAATTGAAGCAGAATCTAATTTCATTAGCTGCAACACAGACAATGAGTTCTGTCATTAGTAGGTTTAATCATCCTCCTTCTCACATTTTATATAATTTTTACCTTGATTTTTAAAGTATTGGAGTTACTGTGCTTTCAAGAGAATGTTCATCTTTCCAGGAGCTTCAGAGGAGATGCAATACTCTGATCACTCTGATAGAGAGAGAGAATATGGAGCTGGAAGAGAGAGAGAAGGCAGAGAGGAAGAAGAGGGGACCAAAAACTGGAACGCCAAAGGTAAGGAAAATTATTTATATTATATATGTTATTAATATTCACTTTAAATTTGGATGTAACAATCTCTTGCTTTTGTTGACTTGAAGCATAAATCAAGTTTTGCTTGTTTTGTTAAAAATACATTTCTGTTGAATGTTTTGGTAAAAAAAAGTGAATATGATTGTAACAATTTCACTACTCTAATGTAACTTAAAATTTGTTTTCTATTTTGTATTGTTACTTGTGGTGAAAATTGCTTACATGCAGGAAATATTGCATAAATAACAATTTTTCTTCCAATTTTGACAGTTAATTAAAAGTTTTGTCTTCACAGGGACAGAAGAGGAAGGCAGACGGTACACCTGATGGGCGAGGTAGACCCAAGAAAAAGAAGTGAAATTATTGAGAATACGCAGAAATTTTTATAATAGTAAAAAATACTGCTGCACCATTTTTTGATTATTGGGTGAACTTTTTAGCACTGTTCAGAGGAATTCTGATGATGTGAAGGATAGAAGATATGTATATAATGTGTACCTGCAAGCAGTAAGAAATTGAACATAAATATCTGAATCCAGTAGGAAATTATTTCTACCTTAGAGACTTTTAGAACAATTGAGGTTGATTTGTAATTTTTACGCAGAAGTCCAGGAGATGTAAATATTTGTATTTTAGAGAAGAAATGTTAGGGATTGTAAAGCAAGATCACACGAGTCTGAAGACTATAGTATTTTTTAAAGAGAAAGACATTTAAAATTGGATTCTTAATATTGCAGTTAGAATCTCACAATCTGGTAATAAATAGATACCAAATGACTGTTTGGTGAAAATTCTATTAGCATTTATAAGTCTGTTGTAACGAATAATTATAAATGTGCTTATCAACTGTGGATGTAAAAAGTGACTACTAGGGAATAACTCTGTAAGTGAAACGCAATTGCAGATGTGAGCAAATCTAATAAACAACTTTTGCATATTTGTATCTTTTATTGTTTCAAACACCCACTTCCTTCAGCAGGGCTGGCACAGTATCACCACAAAGTAACGGCAACTCTCTAAAACATTTCATATGGTGTACTTTGAGAAACTGACAGGATAATGAAATGAACAATGAAAATTTGAGGATGTTGATACAAACTGATAGCAAAATTACATTTTGTACATTTTCTTGGAGTCGTTATCATTTACAACATTAATGAAGCTAAATTTCTTTTAGTTTTCAATATGGATATCAATATAAAACTTGGCAATATGGTGCTAATTGTCTTTCTGTCAAGGCCTTTGCCTCAGATTTTATATCTGGGATCTCCTGGTTATTTTGAAGCATATCAAAGCACAAAGCTTTTTGGTAAGAAAGAGATCTGAAAATCGTACAGCTTTTGTCATTAAGTACAGTTCATTATACTTCAGTATTGCACCAAATTACAAAGCACTAAATTTACAACATTAAAAAAAATTGTACTTCAATATTTGGACACATTTTTAAGCAATGTGAATTCCTACAAAAGCACTGTACTTGCACTGAAATCTTGAATGGGGGAGGGAGAAAATGTAAAAAAAAAAAAAAAAAAAAAAAAAACTGGTGCAATCTCTGCACAAACCAAAGGTTATGGGTCTCTCCACAGACTTAAACCAAACGTCTCCCATGCTAAGTTTATTGCATCATCTCCCAGCATGCAATAACACAACAGTATATTTCAAGACCACAAAAGTCATGTTCACTTGCTGCCAATGGCGGATGTACTAATTCTGGGGCCAGATTCAAACTAGAATAAGTCAAAATTGGTCTTAAACTTGGACACTAAGGGTTTTTTTCAGTAATTCAATCTTGATTAGATCTAATGCAGTCCATGCAAGTAACTACTGGTTCGTGGCATTTGTCATTACTTTTTGCAAAATAGACTCAATAATTCAAGTGGATTACTGCCCATTTATTTTCAGTTAAAGCAAACTGAAAGTTTTGATCTTAATTACATTCAGACCTAATTTTTCACATAAGCTCTTTTGTGAAATGGACCCCTGCTTCTTATCCCAGTGTGTGCTTAGAGCATTCCAAATCCTTTAGCATGGGTGATGGCTTTGAGCAATCTTTCTTTCAATTTATCCTTGGTGCTGTAGTCTGGTAGGAGTAGGACATTGAAACACGTGTGTGCAGTAGGTAACCTGAAAAAGAATATCTAAGATATAATAAATGTAACTCAGCAATTTTATGGTTAAAAATATGATAGTTACATTTGACAAATTGGAGGGTTCAAATACCGACAATTCAGTAGCCTTCAAGAATTTTTTTTACATGTTTAAAGTCAGCACCTGCGAAAAGTAAGCATGGCAGCTATTTATCATCAGGAAAAATGTCTGAAACTGCAACAGAAAACCTATTATAAAATCATTAAACATTTTAAGCGTATATTCCACCATGTTCATCTCTACCTGTCAGAATCTGGTCCATTCCTGGCTATGATTAGCTTCAGCTTGGACAGTCCCCCCACTGGGACACGGTCACTGCCTGTGGCAAACTGGAGCAACTGGCGCTTTTGCTCTTCTGAGAATTCATGCACCACTTCCCAAAAATTCCTAGAAAAAGAAATCGATTTAATTGGTGCACAGTTTTAACTAACATGAACTAAAAACAGTAGTACATAGTCAATATCTGCTCTTCCAGACAAACCTTGGCTTTTCTTCCACATAACATCATGTCATTGTTGATATAAAAGGCTCTTTTTATCATGCTTTATATTTGATGTGAAATTATGAAAATCTGATTATAAATTTGCCATCTTTTTTCAGTGATCAAAATCAAGATCTTTCTCATTTGATATCATTAATACTGTAATCCAATCTTTCTCATTTGATGTTCTTACGGTAACCCAATAAGAACTGTCTCCACACTAACAAACCACCACCTAGATATTTAACATACTAAAGGCCCAAAACTTTAAACTATTATTGGTATGTATATATAATTGTTTAGGAAATCTTACCTTTACAATAATGTTGATGTTAAAAGATTTTGTCACGCCCACATGTAGGCATGTGTGGTTTCCAATTTTACAAATTAAAGAAATACAATATAAATATTTTGAACTACGAGGTGTGCACTGTAAATTTTCTCCATACCTGCACCTATAGCAATAATCAGAGAAAGTCATTTTCCCCACTGTAAGATTGAATAAAGATCAAAGGGTACTAACCTGACACTCCTGCTCCCTGAATTGAAACCCCCGTCATAGTCTGTGGCACCCTCCAGTTGATGGAAGTCAAAGTCCTGGAATTAAAAAATATCTTCACAATGTAGAATGTCAAATACCTTAAATACTTCAACTTTTAATCTTTTTATATAATCTGATGAACATTGATAAAAATATTCTGAGCAGGCTGGTTTTTTGACGATCCTTTTTTCCCATGCATTTTCTTTTACAACATACACATGCACATACAAAATACTCCCCTCCTCTCTCTCTCCTTTAAGGCAATGCAATGAACTTGATTGAATTTAGAAAAAGAATGAAAATACTCATCTGGTTAAACACATTAAGTTTGTCCAAACTTAATTTTTCATGACAGATAAGGCAATAATTACCAAGTCAGCAGGACAGCCAGGCACTTGCCTAAGCAGAAAAGCAATAGCAATGGCTAGTTGCCTCGTGCTTAAATCAACACATTGTTTAAGATGTTGAATCAACTTCTTAAGAGCTTACCTTGCTTCCACAGACCAGCAGCTCTAATTCTTCAGGTCTGAAGAGCATCTTAAGTGGACTCTCATCCGTCACCATGAGGAAACCCCTCTTGAAGGCTCGGAACTGCTTCTCTATGGATTTGTTCAGTAAGTAGTCAGCGTACAGCTCTACGTATTCCTTGAACAGACAAAAATAAATAAATAATGTTATTATCTTCTGTGATATAATTGTAAATTTATGGAAAAAATATGTTCACTTCTTCATATTTTATTGTGAGCCAAACATTCCTTTTTTTCTAATCTCTCTTTTTGAATCCTTTGTCTCACGCTGCTCTATAAGAAATTTGCACAACAAGCCAAGTCTAAACAACGAACAAAATGCAATCAAGTCCAACTTGATTTTCACCCACCTCCCTATTCTCATTTGTGACTGGGATGTCCTCTCCCTTCTCCTTGAGAGGGTGACTCAGAGTGGACTCAAACACATCCTTAAACCCAATGACAAAGTTCAGGAGGAAGTCGTCTTCCACGTCCCCATCATGGTCCAACAACTGCTGGAGACTGCTGGCCAGCGTCTGAAGAGTTAAAGGTGGCAAATATTCAAAGGCAAACCTTAACCACAATTAAAGGTGTAAACTTAATTTTACACACATACTGAAAAATACATTAAGACTGAAACCTTGATGAGATGTATTGAAATTACAGATGGAAAACTCTAAAACAAGGCAGCAAAGCTGTCAAATGTACAGACAAAAAACAGNATCATGCTGATTTTCGAACTTGACCTGCGTATTATGAATATTCATCAGTTCTGCAAGTTTCAAATCAAAAGGCAAAATGGTTTTCCACTTATCGTGTTATCGGTAAAAGTGCATGGCGACGGCGACGGCGACGACGACGACGACAGACGCAGATGATGGCTATATGTACAGACACATCTGTGTCTGTACATAAAAAGTAAAAAAAGTATGACATGAATGCAATCAATGTCGACAACGAACGGAAGAATTCTGCATTTATGTTGTACTATAACATAAATATAAGAATAAAATATAACCAAGACATTCCTTGTGCCTACTATCTTCAATCAAACAAATTTGAGCGTCAAGTGTTACTAGACAACTTACAGGATGGGAGTCAACCATGTCCTCAAAAGTTCCTTTCTTCCCCATCAGTTTCCTGTACACCACCATGGGGAAGTTGATATCCAGGATGACATTATTGTAGATGGCCAGACCTAGCACTATGCCTATTAGGGAGAACTGAGCATCATTCTCAAATGACGTGGGGTTAAACCAGACTCGACGGGTCTCATCGTCATAGGTGAACATACCTGGAACGTAGGTAAAACAATGAATAGCAAGCATAATTAGTTCACAATTAATTATGACTTTTATAATTTACAGTTAACCAAAATATAATATTAGCAAAATAGAAAATATTTAAGTGCTGCATTACTTATGATAAATGATAAAAAGAAAACAAAAATATGCTTTGTTACTTTACAAGTTGTCGGACTATTCTCCTTTCCATCCTTACCAAAGTCTGGGTTAAATATTTCCTCTATGATGAGCTGGAAGAACTCCTTTGACACACCTCCCTCATCAATGCCCTGCTCCCCTTCAAACTCCACATACAACTGCTTCTTCAAGTCCTGGGGGTTATCACGAGCTGCAATCTCAAGCTGAAATACAAAGGTAATCTATATAAAAAACTGGAATTTTCTTATAAACTGATATTCTTGATAACAATACAACAGGATTTTTCTAGCACTCAGAGTTAATGTCTTTTTTTAGTGTGTGTGTGTTTGTGTGTGCGTGCGCACACATGCGTGCCTGTGCATGCAGGGGGGGGGGAGTAACTGTATTACTGTTATCTCAGAAGGGACTTTTCTTAGATCATTTCACAAGTTTACATAAATTAAATGACATAGGCTGGTGATTAGATTGCTTTGTAAGGGCTCAGAAGTCTGATGGGGGAGGAGAGGTACCTGTATATTAAATGTGGTTGTTTGGTAATGACAAATAAACAATTACCAGTTTCTATTTGTCTAGTTGTGTAATTACTTTATCTCATAATAATAATAGTCTAAAAAATAATAATTATAACATATTTACCCCAACCAAAGCATCATCTATGACGTGGTCCCTCCTGACCCGCACCCTCAGGAATGGCATTGTGGGAGCACCATGCACTATACTTTGTAACATGGAAGTCCTCCGCTCGTTTATCATCCTGATACGATTATCAAAATACATGCCTAGGTTTTTGGTAGCAGTGCTGAGCAGGAAGGAGTGCATCATGTAGGAGAACCTCCCAGTGTCACTCTTATAATTGGTGAAGTCTTTGTCCATCTCCACGTGTTCGTTCACCACATCGTTAATAAAGTTTTCAAAGGGAATCAAAGGTTTCCTGCAGTCTATTGGGGTGATCTGGAGCTCAGTGGCCAGAGGGTCTGGCTTTGGCTGGTGCTGGTCTTTGGGCTCTTGAGCCATAGCACCTTGGAAAAACTCATGCATTGCGTTCTCTTCCTCCTGGTTGACTCTCCTCTCCTCCTTGATCAACTCCAGCTGGTCACAGCGTCCACCTATCATGCTGGCATAATACAGTATTTTCATCACTCGTGCCGCGCCTGCTATTCCCTCGTCATCACTTATAGTGTGGGTCCGGCCAAACTGTCCAGTGATTATTTTTACAGTTATTAACTGCTGAAGTGACTCTAATAACTTCTGCAGCCTAACAACATCAAACTTGGACCAAACCTTTGCAATCCTTGCTTGTGCCGAGGCTGGCAGACAGCCCATTGCCTTACAGAACATAGGGAAAGCATTCTCCAGAATCTCTGGACTCTGTTGCACAGGTATCTCCATTATGATCAGGAATAGATTAATATAGTCTGGATTGCTACTGGCCTGGTGGTAGCGTATTTGCATTTCCACATCCCGTGCTAGGTACATAATAGCATTATTCAGAGCAGACAAGAATGGCAGTCCTTCTACAGAAAACATTGCTTCAAAAGCTCTTCTTGTTGAGTTAAAATCAAGAGTCACTTTATTAAATTCATCATCTGTGCTACAATCCACATCTGTCTCATCAGAAGGTGAGACAGAGGCACTACTTGAGTCTTGGTTTTCCTTTTCCTTTTCATTCTCATCCTTATCTTTGTCTGCATCCTCTTCCATGGAACGCATCTGCTCCTTTGATTTTGGCTGCTTTACGAAACTTAGATTCAATGCCTCAGCATTTCTGAAGGTTTCTCCCACAGTGCGTATCAACAGAGACCAGTCACCTTTCTTCTGACACTGTTCTATGATTGCGTGGACTTTCTGTTCAGTTAAGAATGGGGTTTTAGTTCTCTTGGTTGCTGAAGCTGAAGCAAACAAAAAGTATGACAGTAGACATTGTGAACTCACAAAAAGTCAGTGTATGAAAGGAAGTTTTGATCTATATTTTGAATCTTTTCTCATTTCAAACAGATTTCACTTAAAAACTCTGAATTAACTTAAAAATTAATAATAAAAAAAAAAACTCTGCTTTAATGTGGAAATTAAACCTTCACATCATAAAAATAATCTTAATCTTTTACATTCCCATTAGACTTCAGAACAAGTCGACTATTGTGCATGACATCAAAAAGTAATGCTAAAATTAGTTACAAAATAGTTTATCTAGCTAAAACAAAACATACTTTGGTTGGGGAAATTGAAAAAAAATATACCTTTTTGCCATATCCTGATTGTTTTGGTTAGCAGTGAGTAACATGGAGAAATACCTACCTGAGCTTGAAGTTCCTCCAGAAGTAGAGGGTCGTTCTGTGGCACTGCTCTGTACAGTTGACATGTGGTTGGCCTCCCCAGTCTCTTGAATGGGAACCTTTGGCACTTTGGACGCAGGCGTGGAATCACACAGTCGCGCTTTCTGCTTGAACAAATCCAAGGCTCGGACTGCCGCTTCATTTTTCGACAGGTTTTTCTGACTGAAGACGGTGCTTGAAGCACAATGTTGATTGGTACACTGTGGGTTGCCACAGCCATCTGTGAGTTGGTAATAGTACTTTTCTATTAGCTGCTTGGCTGCTGCTCTTTTCCTGTTTTAAAAAGGGAACTTAGAATAATTCACCTTTCTAGGAAAATCTTGTTTAATAACTCATCATAACTATTTTTCATACACACTTAGAATGGAAAACGGACTGTTCTTGTTAAAGATTGAAGAATCAAGCTTGAGGTGATTACAAATGTTACTCATATTCAGAAGGAAGAATCTTAGGAGTGTATTGTATTTAAACTTACATCCCGTCTGTTTCAGTTCCGTCTGCTGTTGATGGACGCGTGGGTAGAGTGACTGTGATGGCGCTAAAATGAAAGAAAGTTCACCTTGGAAATATGGTAAACATCTAAGTTAATCTACATCGTAGCACTGTGAATGTGCTTTAGCAGCTGGTGACACTATAGTTCAACTGGAGACAAAAACTTTTTAAGGCGCTGTGACACAAAAACCAAATGAGCACCATAAATCCTTTGGGAAACGGATCACAATCAGACTGAGACAGCCAGAATAGAACTCATATTTTCTCATATTAACATCACTGACACCAATAACGCGTTTCATGAGCCCATCTGAAAACATAGTAATACCTTCTTAAAAGAGCTGGTGCTCAATAATTATGACGAATATATAAAAAACAAAGGCCCCTCAAACTGGCAAAGACAAAAACAAAAATTGAATGGAAAACCCCGAATCGACGACGACATCACTACATTAGCCCGAGATTTACCTGGCAGCTGGAGCTCCACGGTCACTGGAACCGTTACCGTTAGCGCTCATATACAATAATGATGGCACACGACTAAAACGAACAAAAAATGATGGACAACAGTGGAGATATCGGGGTATATTTGTAAACAGAAAGTGACTTCACATCGCCATCTTGCTGAATCTTAAATCTCGCATTTCTACACTCGAATGATATTAGTAAATATCCTAAATATTTGTCGATATTTTCTACCAGTATAATTTTCAATAAAATTTTTATTTCAACGTGTCAATAATTGTAAAATTTAGTGGAATATAAAGAGAACCAATAAATAAAAACCTTTACCCATCAAGCATTAACCATCATGGCCGCGCCCATGAAATGAAAGATCCACGTCGTCTCCGCTCTGGTCAAATCTCACTTTCCCCCTGGATAAGTGACACAAGTCGGGTAAATTGGTTTATCTTAAACTCTAAAAACTATATGACACACATTAAAAAAGTGTCATTAGTGGGATAAGACATATTAATTACTCTCAAATGAAAGATCTATGTTGACCGGCAGACGACGGGAACTGGACTGTGGTTGGTTTTCAGGAAGTCTTCAGTGTATCTCGAGCCAAATTCAGGCATGATATTTGCCGATTTATCGGATAACTTTTTTGGGGGGAGCAGATTGTATACAATGCAAAATCATATGTGCCTTGGTTTTTATTTTGCGAGAACAAATTTTTTAAACCAAGTGTTCATTTGGGGATGTTGAGATATGGTGATTAGATGTCCTGTAATCTGGGCGTTAATACATACAAACAGGGGAAACAACTTTAACCTTTTTCTCCATATATACATCTTTGACAATCTGTTTTCACCAATGACGACATGAAAATAAATCCAGCTTCATTATCTTCTGGTTTGGTTGTTGGCAATCAGGCTAAGTTTCTTCAAAATACCAGTACAGATCTCTTGTTACGGACACTTCCTTCAAATAAGATATTGTTGTCTTAAGACTCTCAGAGTGTCTGCCATGGCTTATTCATGTTTTCACTGGTATATATTTGCTTAATTAAAAATACAATCTAATTTTTCAATACTAAAGCTGCCTCATTCCACAATCTAAGAGATTGATCATTTTTTTTTTTTTTTTGATAATGTATTGATTATCATATCCTGTCTATGACAGCAAAAAGAAATAATCCAGATTGTTGTTTCCCTGTTTTTTTATTCTGGGCTCCAGCTAGGTTAAAACTCAAGATGAAAGAAAAGATAAATGCCATTTCTAATAACTGATTAAGTCAGTTTGAATCAATATTCACAGTTTAGCCTATGAAACTGTTTACAGTATGCATTTTGTTTAAATCCCCTTTTATGTTACTAATTCACCCTGCCAAATCTGTGCATGGCACTCTTCTATTACGGTCATTTATATCCAAGATAAATGCATGCTGAGATGATCATGTGTATTTAATTATTTACATATTTATTTTTCACAACTCTTCTTTTCAGTCTGTAAATGAAAAAAAACTTGCTATAAAAGTGCTGTACCAAGATGGGAGACAAGCCCCTGTACCTACAAGGCTCTGGCCAGGGTAGAGGGAGAGGTCAGATGAAAGCACCACATGGGAACTCTGTCCCTGGTGGACGGGGGAGAGGAGGGGCAAGATTACAGGGCTCTCTGCATGGAAATACGGCCGGTATTTGTTACACTTATTCTATATTTTTGCTTGTTTGTGTCATTCATCATAATTTTTGATAGCAAATAATTGCCTAACCATCTTGACTTCTTATCATATTTTACATTTTTGGTGTTTTAGATACACATTTTAGAACCTTTTTAAATTTAAAATTGAGAAAAAATTCCTCAAAAACAAACAGGAGAGCATATATGTGATTGTGTAAAAATAAAAAACGTATTTGCCAGCATTTTCACTTTTCAGCTTGTATATTTGATGTATCATTTGTTATTAACATTCCAGGTGTTTTAAAGACAGCAGAGCAAAGATTCCAGACTGCTAGTGCTAAACATCAAGAAGCAGTAAAAAAGCACCTGAATAGCAACCAGCAGTTTGATTCTGATGGAGAAGATGATGATGAGGAAGATGAAGAAATGGAAGATTCCAAAAATGATGCTGGGATTCTTAGCTCCTTACTTAAGTCTTTCACAGGCCAAACTGGTAATGGCAACATTTCACAACATTTTGTATGAGTGTATTTTAAAATTTAATCATAAGATATTTACACAGTTATGTAACATTCATATTTGACACAAACAGAAGTTTATTATGTGCCATCAGTTACAATTTTTATTTCTACATAATTTGGTTTACAATTAACAAATTATTTTTCTGTTGTATTTAACTGTCTGCTGAATATTTGCCTTCTTGTGAATGTCATATTTGTTTTCCACATGGTCATTTAATTGATTAATAGATCTTGCTCTTCCTCTGATCTATGTACATATTACTGCATATATTTTCAAAATAAACATTTAATTTGGGCTCTAAGAAATGGAGTAAAAATTCATAGTGCATGCACTATTTATGAAAGATGTCATATAAAAGTTGTTTTATAAAGTTGTGTGTAAAAAAATCTCCTTTTTCAGGTTCATAATCCATTAAAATGTCTGAAATTGAAAGGAAATAGTTGCTTTACACATACATGGTGTTGGTATCATACATTACTTATTGTTTAAACCTGTTTGCAGGTGATTGTCAAGATGTAGGGACTCTTGGAAAGACACAGGAGTTCCTGCTCAACTCATTTAAGTCCGAGTCTAACATCTGTTTGATATGTATTGAAACAATCAAGAGGAGTGATGCAGTAAGTTTAAACTTGTCTTTGTATGTAAGAACAATTCCTTGTATTAGTGAGTATGTGGCCAGTTTTTTATGCTTATATCTATATAACTGGAGTAACATTTTAGGTTTTATTTTATTTTTTGTAATTTGTAAAGACAGGGACTGAGTGTCAAAGTGATGTTTAGATTTCTCATTATCAATTAAACTTTAAATTATAATGGTGATATTTTATTAAAGTTGAAGGTAAGATTTTGTTCACAGTTTTGTAACCTTTGATTACAAAACAAGCCTCTAATTTAACTGAGCTTCATATCATAAACTTTACTTTTATGAACACATGTAACAGAAGTTGCAAAATTTTAAAAATCTGAGTGTCTGATATTAATAAAACATTTGAAATTCATGAATAATTACCGTACATTCCATGTTGTGTCCAGATCTGGAGCTGTGAAGGCTGTTACTGCCCCTTCCATGTCCCCTGTATACAGAAGTGGGTGAAGGAGGGGGTCTACCAGCAGACAGCCCTGTCTGAGGAACACTTCCCCAAAAGAGATCTTCCATGGTTCTGGTAGGGAGCTGCAAATATTACTGTTGGTTATCTACATGTTCATTATACACTACAATTTATCTTTGAAATATCCTTGGAACAAACTTCTCTTTGGGTGCATTGCATGATAATTAAAATTATCAATTATATTCTTTACATTTATCCTTGTTCCACATTTTCGTTAATTATTGGCAAATCAATTTATATATTATTATATCTTAATTTTGGTAAATATATTTTTATATTAGATGCATACATCACTTGTGTATTACAACTGTGCATTGTTCATATGTTTGATATTCTGGCTTATTTTTACTTGTAGTCCAAAATGTCGCTATGAATACAGGCAGAGCCAGTGTCCCTCCAAGTACCTGTGCTACTGTGGCAAGGTGATTGACCCGACATTTGACCCCTGGCTTGTGCCTCACTCCTGTGGGCAGACATGTGGGAAGTTACTGAAGCCAGAATGTGGCCACTCTTGCCTGCTGCTGTGTCATCCAGGTGAAAAATTATTGAAATGTCTTTAAAAATAATGTTGAATGTTTTACCACATATTGCCTATATATTCAATGTTAGAAAGGCCATGTCATTGAAATAGAGCATTTGGTACCAAAATGTTAAAATATCATTATTTAAGAACATTATATTGTGATGTCCCTTGATGAACAGAGACTTAACACAATAAGTCATACATTATATATATTCATACCTATTTTCTCCAAGGTCCTTGTCCCCCATGCCCCAAGACGGTGAAAGTGGCCTGTTTCTGTGGCAAGCAGCCTCCATCACTAAAGAGGTGTGGTATCAGGGAGTGGTCATGTGGGAAGAGGTGTGACAAACCTTTGCCTTGTGGAAATCACAGGTGTAAAGAACTGTGTCATAAAGGTGAGTGATCCCCCCCCCCCCAATTTTTTTCACTCCCCCCTCCCCTATTGCAGTGTTACACTAAAGGGTTAAAAACTGTTATATAGGTATGTCCCCCCTCCCTTTTAACTGCACCACATCCTTTGCAGCATTCCAACTAATGTGTTAAGTAGTGTACATTTCATTAAAAAGTGAGTGGCACAATGTCAACTTGGGTGTACTTATATCTGCCATTATCAGGATACTGCACCATTTTTATCATAATTACTACTCCTTTTTATAAATCTGGTACATGTATTTAGTGGCTGGTATATTTTGACCAAAAGACCCATAAAGTGAAACATCTGAACAAAACTGAAATTGAAAAGAGCTTTCTTTTATATTTTGTATATATACTATTTAAAGTTGTTAAAATAATAAAAGAGTAAAGTGAGAAGTTTAAAAGTCAGTGGTCATCATGATTCTGATGGCACATGATGATTGTCTTCCAGATGACTGTCCAGCTTGCCCTGAGGTCAGTTTACAGTCTTGTCAGTGTGGACACAAGAAAGTCATGAGACCCTGTGCCTCTCCTGACTGGCAATGTGACAAGGTAACAGTTATAACTCTGTGACAGGTGCCTGTGACATGTGACAGTACTGATACAAGAAAGTTAACAATGGCTGGAGTACAAGTACAAGTGAATGGTTTTTTATGAGCAAAATTATATTTTGTTGATGTAGACATTCCAGCCATTCTCTCCAAAATGTTCATCTTGTGGTTAATTAAAACTGGGAAGAATGGACAAATTGTCTGAACACTGCAACATCAGTGCTGGCATTTGGCTCTTATAGGTGTCATTACTTCTATTAATCATCATAAAAGATGCTTGCAATAACCTCTATTGTATAAATGCTTGGTTTGATTAAATCCAGTGAAGGTGTATTTATGCTCAGTAATGAAGATGGCATACAGGTGCTGATGCATGCAAAGGAAGTCCATATGTGAAAAAGTTTATTGATTCAACCTTTACATGGAAGGTACAATCAACTGAGACTAAATCAATATCTACAAATAACACAGTACATACATTTCATTATAATAATAGTGAAAATAGGAAAAAGAGAAGTATTAAAATGTCATGCATTGTAATGCTATTCTTTTATGCATTATCCCTTGCACTCCTATACACTTACACAGTACAGAGGAATATCACATGCTGTGCCATGTAATTTTGAAAAAAAAAAGACTTTATATATATACAGTATAAATGTTATGACAGGTGTGTGGCAAGGTGCTGTCCTGTGGTGTCCATACATGTGAACAGGTGTGTCATACAGCAGACTTCAGTCATATATGCCCCAGAGCTCAGGAAAGAACTTGTCCTTGTGGGAAGTCAAGTAAGAACAACACAGAATATGGAGTAGGAAAAGAAATGTATTTCAGAATTGTTATAATGATGATATTGTATAAGATTATATTATAACTATAAAAGACTTAGAAAATGTAGTTCAGTATTGTGGATATGGATAATTGTAATTTATTAACGTAAGATATTAGGTGAAATGTAAGAAATAGATAATTTCTGATAAAAAATATGGTCTCTAAAATCATAGTAAAGTTTTGGATTAAGCTAATATCTATGGTCTGGTGTATTCTGTTTGGTGTATTTAGAAAGCTGTACATATTCCCATTGTAGAAGCAAATCTCCCATGTACAGAGGACATCCCTACCTGTGGAGATACCTGTGATAAACTGCTGGAGTGTGGGGAACATAGGTGCTCAACTAGATGTCACTATGGACCATGTGGAATGGTGGGGGATTTCTCTCTCTCTCTTTCTGGTTGTCTTTGTGTTCACGTTGAATATGTTCTTAGGTGTGCATGCGTACGTGAGTGAGTGTGTTTGTGTGCACACATGCACATGAAAGAGCTAATAAATGTGCTTGTGTATGAGACTTGGTGTGCGTGTTTTGTGTGCGTTTACCATATGCTACAAGATTTGGTACACCAGTTATTATGTCACAATGAATCAAGATGAATAGTAAGGATGAAAATCAGTGTGAAACGTTATAAAAGAGAAAGAAGTATATGAATATATGTATTTTTAACATCTGTAAGAGTGAGGTCAGAAAAGCTGTACATTTTTATATTACAGTGTCTTCAGATGATTACCAAGAAGTGTCGTTGTGGAGCAAAGAAGAAGGAAGTGCCGTGTTACAAGGAATATTTATGTGAAATCAAATGTACCAAACTGAAGGATTGTGGGAAACATGCATGTAAGAGAAAGGTATGGTGCAGAGAATATGACTTTTTGAAAAAGATTTAATATTTCTAAATTTTCTTTCTAGACTGTGATCTTATATTTTAAATTTGAAATGCAGACTGAAATATCTGTATGACATTAAAAAATTCTATGAACACAGCCAACTAAAATGGTGGAATTCACTGAATAATTATTCATTGCCATTATCAAAAACTCAAAATTTATTTTGACCCCAGAATGCCTTATGTCTGTATTTGTTAGCATTGTAAAAAGTAAAACATTATGTTTTTCACTAAACAACCTATACAATGTAGGTGTTGTATATTTTATACATAGTGTTAGAATACTAATATCCCATTTAGTAAACAGGCCTGCAAATACTATATCAGCATATTTCAATAGACAAGATACAGGCCCGTAGCCAGAAATTTCAAAAGGGGGGTTCTTTTTCTGAAAAAGTGGACCTTTTCCCATAAAAACTTCATGTACATAAATCAAATTTTACCCAGAGTGGACCTTTTCCCAGCAAAAGGGGCGGTTCTTTCGAACCCCCCGAACCCCCCCTGGCTACAGGCCTGAGATAACACTGTATTATGCTTTGATATGGTTTCAGTGTTGTGATGGTAGCTGTCCTCCCTGTGAACAGCAGTGTGGTAAAACCTTGGGCTGTAGGAACCACAAATGTGCAAGTGTATGTCACACAGGTAATATGGGTCAATAACCTTCACCCCACCCTCTCATCACCCCAACACCCTTAAGAAATTATTTTGGTGAATCCAGTCTCCTCTTATCTCCAAAAAGGGGGACTGAACGTTAATGGATACTCAGGATCTTTTTATAACATTCCCCATAGTTAAAAAATTGGAGTCTGGCTTTATATACATTATAATATTTTATAGCATTATTATTTTTGTGACATATTATAGCATATGAAATATTAAAACATATCATAACATATTGTTGTATGTTTTAATAGCACATTGGCCTTATATCTCCCACAGGTCCCTGCTATCCTTGCCCCCTCACTGTAGAGGTAAAGTGCCACTGTGGCTCTACTGTCATTACTGTACCTTGTGGCAGAGAGAAGGTGACCAAACCTCCCAGGTGCAATAAGCCATGTAGGTGAGTACTACTGGGAAATTCTTTTTATATTTACTTCTTAAAATGCATTTAAAGTGTACTGAAGATCTGAACAACTTTTTAAAAAATAGTTGATAAAAAAGATATGTATAAGGCCATTTTACTTTTATTTGGGTAAAAATGTAACAGTAGGATAATTATTCAGTTATCAACTCATGGCAGCAGTGTGTTTGGGATGAAAGAATGTTGTCACCAGTTTTTATATGCTCACAGCATTTTACCGAACAAAGCAGTATATATGTTCTCTGTTACAAAGGTGATTAGATGTCCTGTAACCTGAAACTTTGCTTTACCAAATTTCCCCCAGCATTCCCCCAGATTGTCACCACCCAAGCAGGGAGAAGCACAGGTGTCACTTTGGCAGGTGTCCTCCATGTAGACAGGTGTGCCACAAGACGTCACCCTGCGGACACATTTGTCCAATGCCCTGTCACTCAGCCGTGCTCATGAGATTCCAGGAAAAGGTGGGAGTTACTCTGTTTATTAAGTTAATGAACATGTTCCACCTGTCATTTTAGGCCTCAGGCCCATAGTTCCTATATACGTGTACTGATTTAAGCAAAAAGTGTCTTTTTACAATATCCATCCTATTTAATGAAAAGATTCACCATTATGCTTTTCACAGATTAATGCTTAATTTCAAGGTAAAAAAGGAATGTCTAAAATAATATAATTTTTTCTGTGTGTTCTTGTTGTTAGGTCCAGAGAGCTGGTCCTTGGGAGGCCAAACCAGAGGTGAGGATAGAGACTGTGAACCAGCCGTGTCCTCCATGTCGAGTGCCCATGCCAGTCACCTGTAGAGGCAAACATGAGGTACCAGTTACATGTTTCTCTTGTTTGTTAAAGTCCAATAGCAGTTTTGACTCTGAAAATTTAAAAAAAAATCTCCTAGCTGAGGAACATATTTAAATCAACTAAGACAATGTGTGACCATTGAAGATGATACATTTTGAAAATTGGAATCTTAAATAATCTTTATGTGATCTTTTTAAATTTTAGACGATCCATGTCCCTTGCTCTGAGCTGAGACCGTACTCTTGTGGTGGTCAGTGTGGCCGGCAGCTGGACTGTGGCAATCACACCTGTCACCTGGAGTGCCATATTGTGGAAGGGGCTCCTGATGACAAATTGGTATGCTAAATGTTCCTTCTGATCTGAAAAAATTCCACTTTCCTCTAGTTTCATTCTGCAAAAACCTGAATGCTGCTGCATTTTTTCATATGTCATTTTTAGGTGTACTTGATTTCAGTGTTTTGAGATAAAAGCAACTAGAATATCTTTGACATCAGATTTTTTGATAGCCAGGTGCATTGGGAAAATATAAAGAAATGCCAGAAAAACACCAAAGCTCATAAATAAAAAAAGATTGGGTCATTAAATATGATATACATAAAAATTATATTTACATTTTAAGTAATCTTTCCTGTTACACCAGGCTGGATCTAACTGTGCCAAGTGTGAGGAGGCCTGTGGAAAGCCCCGTCCCCAGGGGTGCACCCACCAGTGTCTCCTCCCCTGTCACCCTGGGGACTGTCCCCCCTGTCAGCAGATGTTCCGTATGCGCTGTCACTGTAAACTGATGCTGCTCCATATAGAGTGTGACAAGTGGACGTGTGCTGATGACGTCACCAGGGACAAACTGCAGGCCTGTCAGAGCAGGTGCCCCAAGATGGTAGGAATCCAAGGGAGATACTTTGGTTGATTAGTCTGATTTTTTGTGATAACAACTGGAGATATTCTGTCAGGGTAAAATATTTATATAACTTTACAGAATCTGGAATTTGTGTGTCTCTCTGTAATATTTATATTTTAATATTAAAATAAACTTGCTATTGCACCCACATATGAGCCTATGTCTCACTGCCAAATCCCAAACCAATGAATTAATTCCTTTCCAGCTGACTTGTGGTCACCAGTGCCCCTCCACATGTCACAGTGGGCAGTGTCCAGCCCCTGACCAGTGTGTAGAGAAGACCAAAGTGACCTGCCCCTGCAGGAGGAAGAAGAAGAACTTCCCCTGCCAGGAAGTCCAGGCTGGGAAGGTCACCCTGGAGTGTGATGACAAGTGTAAGGAAGATATGGTGAAACAAAAGAAGGTGGGTTCTCAATAAGATTCTGAATAGTTCATTTGGGTGGTTTGAATAAAATGGGGGCATCATGCAAAAGCCATTTATTTTAAGTGTAATATTAAAATGACTTATTGGCAGTAAGCCCAAACGAAATATCATTACAGAATCAGTATCAATCAAACTTTTGATTAGCCTTTCAATCACATGCTTTTATCTTTGGTTATTTAGCAAAAAGAAATTGAAGAAGCAACCAAAAAAGCAGAAGAGGAGAAAAAACAGCAAGAAGAGCTGGAGGAATATGAACGAAGACTGAAGGGTAAAAAGCGGAAGCCTAGAAAGCAGAAGGAAGTCGAGGAAGTTGTCCCAGTGTGGAGACTGTACGGGAAATATGCAGTACTGGGAGTAGTGGTGGCTATATTAGTTGCATTTTCATATAATCTGATGGTACAGTGATAATATTCCACTTCTTATAGGCAAGTCCAGGAATGAAGAGATATTGGATATGAGGGCTACCCATTCCCTGTGGTTGTTTTTGATATTGTAATTTGTATGTTCAATTGTTGACTGTAATATGTAATTGAAAAGACGTTAATGTTTTAGTTTGATGTTAACTTTCCATGCTAAGGCCTATTAAATGCTGGGAAGTGATATAAAATTTTGGTCCTCCATAACCTGAGACAGATCAAATTGTTGTAACAGAATAAATGAAAAATATGGATTTTGATGTTATTTCCTAATTCAGATTTTAAGAATGTGTTTTAAGGATGTTGTAAACAGATGATGTATTAGGATCAAAGTGTAGAGGAGCCTGATCATTTTTGGCCATGTAAACCATTGTGTGGTGAAAGGAATTGTTGGGGTTTACTAATTATTTATACTTTTATTATAGTATTGGTGTCGGTAGATCATGATCGTTGATAACTTTATCATAACATTAAGATATGTAAAAATACCTAATACTTTCATTATGATATAAGGATTTTTAATTGTCAATTTTTTTCCAGTAATAGGTTCCGTAGATAAGGGCTTGCCTCATAACAGCAACATTGACGTCCGTACGTAATTTGTTAATGCCCGTATTGAAAAATTAAGGTCTATAGATAATTGCTATTTCTTTTATCACTAAAAAGATTGTGGGTCGACAGCTGGTTATACAAACGTATAATGCAGGTTTGGGGCAAATATGTTTGTCTGTCATTTTGATAATTAAAATTCGATTCTTGAGTGCAGCATTGTGGACAATTCGTTTAGGGCAAGTTTTTTTTTTTTTTTTTTTTTTTTTTTTTTTTTTTTTTTTTTCCAGTTAAGTTACCTATAGTATTATCATGTGTTCACGAACAGCACAGATGAAAGAGCTCTTGTGTCGCGCTTAAAATACATGAAAAAAAACGTTATAAGCTCGAAACGTGACCGTCGCACGTTCACTCGACAGCGAATTGCAATTAATCGACTGCTTTATCGCACGTCTGTTTTATCTTATGACGTGCACACTGCATGAACTAATGCAACCAAAAAATAATAACCATTCTCAGTTTGAACGCTAATGATGCACTTACAACGTAATTGACGCGCTCAGCAGATGACCGTGTTTTCACTTAAAACTGAAAGTGCTCTCATTAAGAATTTATCTTGTGTTATCCAGCCCTCTGCCCTCATCTTTCGGACTCCCGAAGGCAAAGATTAATCATTAATCCATGTAACTCTTATTCTGTTACTTGTGACACAGGCGGACAGACGGGTATGTTTAGGTGCACAGTAGTGCAACATTTGTCCAATATTCAATTACGGGCAGATGTTACATGGTAATTGTATTGACAGAACAAAGAATTATTGTGAGGAAGGGTGCCTAAACGATATGCAATGCCGCACCAAGAGAACGTGGTAGTCAAAGAAGATTGATACCGTGAATGCGAAGGACTATTTATCACGTAAGTAGTTGTAATCTTTTCGCTTAAACCGGTAGCGTTTTACCACGTATTTTATTTTACCTGCATATGTGCATGGTAACTTGAAAAACTGAAAAAGAAATGTGGAATGTTTTGCAGCGATGTCGGTTGGTTAAGAATATGTAGGCCTAGCATAAGAGAAGTGTATAGTTTTACATTTCCCTCTTTCCCTTATCTAAGCGGCAGTATTGACTGCCGTTTAAGCAACCATTAGTTGATTCGTTGCATAGCATGCGAAAGATGTCTTACTAAAGAAAAAACAAAATGAAGAAAATAACATGGATTAAACGTCAACACTCATCGTTGGTTAGTCGCTGATCAGGGAATTTTAAATAATGATAGTCGCTAAAAGAAGAGTTTTAGAACCGGTTTCCAAATGATTACATCAGGTTATTGAAGATGCAATGCTTCCATTTACACTTGATGTGACAACGTAATAAACAGTGTATCCTTGAGTTAAGTTGTTTCAAGATTAAGCTCCGAAGCGAGGTTCCATAGGTTAATTGACGGTTCTTTCCTTTTACGCTATCAAATCAAATTAATGGATTCGTCCCCCAAGTTTAGCCGTGTTCGCACGAAGTTCTGGTCGCTGGAGCTGCAGTTGGTCTGAAGGACGTAGGCGGTACTCGTTGTAATCAAGCCGGTGTGTCTGCGACTTGATTTTCGAGGGAGATTATTTCAGTTCTCTGTGCTGGGTGTGGCCAGAGCCACACAAATCAGTTCAGATGCATTGTTAAGAACTGAGACGGAACTAACGTCACTCGGGGCGATTTCGAGTCGCTCTGACTTGGCTTAGTGTGACCCGGCCTCATTCTGCCACTGTCTGTATTGATCCCAGCTTCGAGCCCTCTGTATGGTGTACGTGCAGAAGAAAGAATTAGTTTTTTATGTTTGTTTTGTGTTTGATGTAGAAGGTTTGTGTTTGAGTTAATTGAGTCCCCAGTGTGAAAGAGCATGTGACTGAAAATATGACACACATGTAAAATCCAATTTTCACGTCAAAAATACACCTTGTTCGACATGAAAAAAAAATCGAATTGAAGTTGTTTAAATCGCGACAGCATACTTTCAACACTTCGTCTCTCCCCCACGAGCCATCACTTGTGAATTGCGATTTTTTTCTCTCCTGCTTTCTTTTATGAGGATCCAATTATGGGTCTTGGGCCTTTTCTAGTCTTACATGAATCTAGGTACCTACATTAAGAGCAAAATTATAAGTGTTCGGAACGCGTGAACCCCTAAAGTTTTATTCTCTCTTCAAACTTTTTCTGACTCTTTAGACGCCAGCACTTAAAGGAATACAGACTCTAAGCTCGGGTTCAAACAGAGCGTTATGTTTGGTAAAAAAAAACTCGAATTTGAAAAGAACCAACTGAAAAGAATTGCCAGCAGAGTCTGTGCACGTACCAGACGGCCGATACTCGAGGTAGTTTGAAATAAACAAGTGTACTGGAAATTACCAGGCAGCTGAGGATTCCCTGGATACGTATAAACAACAACACCAAATAATATGTTCTCTTAAAGAAGGAAGATGTCTACCAGGTCAATTATAAATGAACAGGACTAAAGGGCTGCCTTTAATTATGAGAACCTATTATATTGAAACCTCACTATATCCTGAGTTTTATTTGCTTAAATTTTCAATGTGCTTCCAACAAGGCGACTAACGATTGTATTGCATGGGAGGATAATGTCATCGTAACAAGTTTTCTGTTTCTCAAATTAAACCAGGCACAGGAAACCTCAGTAGACGCCCAATTGGGAAACCTGAAATGGCACCAAAGTTTCAGGTTAGTCTTAGCTTCGCGAATTTTTAGTTAAAATATCATGTCAAATGAGATTGGTGTTCGGAGGCTTTTTGATATGCAAGTAACTTTTTGGACTCTGTCCTTGAATCTTATGCGGAGTTGCATCTATCAAAATCTCGTATGTCAAACATTGCAATTTCATTTTGATTTTATTCTTATTCACTAACAATAGCTACATTATCCGCTGCTATTCCCCAGTTTTCATACCTATTTTGTTTTAAAGTATAAAAAATAGTGTTGAGAGCCTGTAAAATGTAATTTGTGCACGTTCTTCTTCTTCTTCTTCTTCTTATTATTATTATTATTGCGAGCAACCTCAATGATCACCTACAGTATTCCCATCAAACATGACTTCGTTGGGGGCGTAATGTATACGGGTTATAAATCTAAATAAAATACTCAAAGGTGACAAGTAAGCTAGAATGACATATATGATCAAGGGACAATAATTTAGAACGCTTAACAGACGTTTATCAAAACTCCATTAACAGTGGACATCCACCAGGCGGTGATTTTGATCGAGACAACTGGTAATTACATGTTTCAATACGTTACTTCTCAGAATTGTTGTTGCTTTGAATGCAAATCAAATGGAATTCATTTAAGATTGGCATATGGGGAATTTGGGATTATCATTTCAATGAATGCCTTCTAATAGGAAAGTGTCAATTCCACGTCTGAAAGCACGTCTTTTTGAACTGCTTCTTAAAATCTTAGTTTTTTTACAGTAAACGGTGTAATTTTCATAAATGGTAATTACTGTTAACGCATGAATTTCTAGAAGGACTGTGGAGACACAACCTAACAACAACTGCTTCTGCTTTGACATGATCCAATTTATTTGTAGAATGCCAAATATACGTTGTGACTGCCCTAGCATGTATCAGATAGCAATTTACCGTTTGATCTGTTTGAAATGCTCCCAAGCAGAATGTGAAAACAGTACAAAATTTATATGAGGATTACACAGAGACTAATTACCAAACATTTTTGAAGCCATGAACTTGACTGAGTTGTGTATAGGCAATAGTACCAATGGTTCAGTGAAAAAAAATTAATAAAAAAAAAAAATAAAATAAATAAAAAAAACACCGGACAGTCCTTCATAGCCATCGGCATTAACTCTGCTAATGCCGTATTCTTTAGGCAAAGAACAAGCGTGCCTCGGGGACTGGTTCATCAGCGTACGCCCATCACCTAAGAGGTGCTGTTATCACCATTATTTGCAGTATAGAAGTGCGTCTTTCATTCCCCAGAGTATTGGAACCCGTTCAACAGGTCGACCACAATGTCTGCGAGTGATCATTACCGTTTATTTGCACATCATCTAAAGTAAAGGCTAATGTGGCTTGCTACTCAATCAAGTCCCTGCACATCCATCATAAAACCGGTAAATTGGGAAAGCCCAGAGGCGCACAGTAATTTGGAGGACATTTCTTAAGGCTTAGACGAAAAAAAGGGCCGGATTTGAAACCTTCTGGCATTCCCAACAACGTCTGTTAATTTGATGATATGAAATGCATTTTGGGGTTTCCAACAAGCTTGACATTTTTTATTTTCGCTTGCCGCAAAATTGCCATCAACCCGCTGCCTCCGTCATTATGCCCCAGCTAGATGTTAATAAAATGCATAGGTGAGCATGGTTTTTTAAAAAAGTTTTACCCGGTTTACGTCCCATTACACTTTATTGGCTGTTTTTTCGTGCAACATCTGAATTTAGACAAAATTGAATGTCTATGTGTAATCATACAGTCTGGGGTTCTTCTTTTAAACTTTACTGGCCAAAAAAAGAAAAAGAAAAGGAAAAAAAGAAACGCAAGTTTGTTTTCGACCACAGTGCTTCAACATGCTCAAATGTGCACGTTAGTATGGTCACTATATTCAGTGACAGAACACCATCTCAGTCCAGCAGCGGAATACTATATACGCTCGAGCGATTCCAGACAATGTCTAGCTTCAGATTTTCAGAAATCTCATCTAAAAATAAATGGAACAAATGTCTGGCAGGTATCGCTTGTCTACAATCAATGCCAGTGGACATTGAATCAGAAAACCAAGATCATGTTGACATCATGCCACCGCTGTCTGATCTGGACGGGGTCGTGCCATTGTCCAATGCCGTTGGCAAAGTGTTATGGTTTGGGCGGGCATGAGTGGCAATTTCCAGACAGAATTTATGGAAATTGTAGTGATTGTTGACATCATGCCACGGCTGTCTGATATGGACCGGGGGTCGTTCCTTTGCCCGTAGCCATAGGCAAAGTGATTTGAGCGGGCATAAGTGGCAATTTCCAGACAGAACTCATGGTGCTAGCGGTGACTGGTGGAAATCTGACTAGCTAGCAGAACAGAGATGAACTCCAAAGGACAGCTGTTGTGCCATTCATGCATCAACACCCAATACTACAGCAGGACAACGCCCGTTCCCATACTGCCAGGGTAGCGCAGGCGTACCTGCAGCGGGAGCAGA